CATAGTTAGTACGTAGTTACTAGAAATACTTACTAGTAACTACGTATTAACTACCTCTACTTCTAGACTAGTTCTTCTACTAGTCCTCTAAGCCTACTAGTAGGTTAGAGTTAGTAGATAGGTAGTAATACTTAAAAATAAAAGGGTTATATTTTATTATATAGGAAGAAGCGCATTATTAGCCTCTATATAGATACCTAATTTTTACTGCTAGCTAACGCTAAATATATAACTAGTATTACTTTCTACCTTTCTTTCTTTAAGGCTTTATACTTATATTTAGTGTTAGCTTAAAACTGCCTATTCTAATTTAGTATTAGCTTAAAACTTTCTATTCTAATTTAGTATTAGCTTAAAACTTCCTAATTAAGATTAGCTCTATCTAACTGTCTCTAGATATAAAATATTAAATAACTCTTTAAAATTAAGAGATATTATATTAAAACTTTTATAAAAGAGAGTACAGAGTAGAATATATATAATAGTAGTAGTGCAGTATTATAAATCTAAGTTCTAACTATAGTGTTATTACTGTTAGACCCCTATTTATATTTTAATTTTCGCTATATCCTACTAAATTTCAGAGGTGTCTATAACCTAAAGGGGTATAATAAGCTATAGTTACTAGATATTAACCTAATATCTATTAACCTTATTTATATAGGTTTAATATAATTTCTAGTTATAAAGTTACTAAGTTTTTAAAAAGTATACTAATACTTTATTAAGTTTTTAAAGTACTAATTATTAGGTACTAAATATTATCTAATATTATACCTATTTTATATTAGTTTTTTAATTTTTAACTTAGGCTTACTAAAGCTTTATTATTATTACTAAAAATAAATTACTTTATAGGTAAATATATTAAAGAAATAATTTAGTATTATACCTAAATAGCTATAAATAGAAAGCTTCTTTAGTTTCTATATAGGTTATTATATATAAAGAAAAGGTTTTTAATACCTCTTTAGGTATAGTTAGCTTAATACTAAATAAGATAAGTATATTATAAGTTAATACTCTATTAAGCTTTTATTAGAGGCTTAGTTACTATATACTAATCCTAGATTATATAACCTATATTATATAATCTTACTTTAATACTTCTTTAGATATACTTTCTTTATTACTCTACTATAGTAAGTATAGAGTAAGAGGTATATTATATATTATTCTACTAGCTCTAGCCTCTTAGCTTATATATATAGATAAAAGTACCTTTTAAAGAAATATAGGTTTCTTAGTATTATATCTTATTATATATTAAATACTATTATTTTATCTTTACTATACTACGTTGCTACTATAACTAAGTCTTATATCTTAGAGCTCTAGTATAAAATACTAATAAATCTCTAAAGCTTCTACCTAAAAAAGTAATATAATTTTATTATTACTATTTATTTATCTTTTATCTTAATTATCTATTTATAATTCTCTTAAAAGTATTTTAACTTATTAATTACTAAATACTTAGTTTATTCCTTTTAAAGTTATATTTACTCTCGAATTTACTATAAGACAGTAACTTCTAGCTTTGCTTATTAGTATATATATATTAATTTTATAGTCTACTTTTCCTTATAATCTTTTCTCTGTACAGGGACGTTAGGTATCGAAATTTGGCATATTAAAAGATGTGACGCGTTTCAGGTTCAACGCCATAGCAGCACCTTAGTGGCTCGAGTTCGTGATATCAAAGAACATTGAGAGATAATCGTTGTTCTGCATGTTGTTGTTTTGGATTTCCTCGAACTCATACATTGATGGCGGGCTGGTGAAACTTGCAGGTCGGTCTACGAAATCCGAAGTCGCTAGGAGGGGGAAGTTAGGACTCTCGCCCAGGCTACCGCCTATCAAGGATTGATCAGAAAACTGTTGCGGAGTCAAGTCGTTTCTTATAACGTCGATGTTCACATCCCTGGCGCTGAGGTCATCCATTCTTCCCAATATGGCTTGCAGTGATTTCGTCTCGTTCGCCGAGGATGGGTCGTCTTGCGAGGCCATCAATGAGATGAGCGTCTCATGAATATGCGACTTGCATGCTTTCAGTGATATAGCGTCCTCTGACTGATAGTCCGGCCATGATCGGGAGGGTCTGCTGCCTGCGTGCATGCTGCGAATGTTTATAAAGGATAAACCGGCTAGAATGGCCGATCTTGTAGCAAAGGGCTGTAGGATGGCAATGGCACCCTTTGCGAAGCCTGAGAGGCTGTGGAGACTGGAAAGGGCTTCTCGCAGTGCAGCTGTGCTGTTGGCAAGAAGCTTGACATGTTTATGTGTCATACTTCTCTCGCTCTGGCTCATCCCTGCAAGTGCTGCTTGGTCTAATAGCAGGGAATCCTGGAGGATACCGCATTGAACCATGAGTATGTTAACGTGGAGCCACTCGCGCTGGTGTTTCAATATCAAATTTTGCTGGTCCCATTGCTTGTCTGGATGATCGAGGTTGAAAGCGTTGGGAAGTTGGTCGATGAACGACCTTTTCAGTCGACGGTATCGCTGCTCAACTTGAGTTGGGATCGATTTTGACTTGAAAGTGGCTCCACCGTCCTCCTCCTTCATAGCTGTCCAGAGTTGCCAGAGTTTAGCCTGGAGCATTAGCTCAGTGTATAGACTAGGCTCGCTTTCGAGACGCGGATTGGTGTGATAGCCGACTTCTGCAGACTGAAGGTCGATGAAGCGCTTCTCAGAGACTGTTGGTGGCCGATCAAGGAAGAAGCAGAGGATTGAATCCATGATTAAGACGTCTAGAAACATAAGATGGTGCGCCTGAATTTCGGACTTCAATCCCCCGTTGTGCTGGGCGCCCTGCGGGTTCACGTTCACGCCTATGTGCTGCACTATGCGAATAGCACTACTGAGTTTGTACCACGCAGTCTCTATGTGGCCTTGAATCGAGTGGTAAACTGCATCCAGATAAATGATTTGGACATAAATGGTGGACTTGGTGCCGGGCATGCCCTGAATCAAGTCTTGGATCCTATTTGCAAGCTTGTCGCAATGTGTCGAAACTTCCGATATTCCGATTGCCAGAATCTGCTTGTTCATTGATGTCCCCGATTGAAGAAATGCTGAGCCGATGCAACACACTCTTAACAATAGGATACCAAACATCACCTGCTCCAGTCCCTGCACGGGCGCTTGATTCCACCATTCTTTGTACGACTCCGAGAACAGAGCCTGATCCAACTGCTGGCCCGACCGCCTAATATCTTCGAAGAAGCTTTGGACCAAGGTGTCTGTAATGGAACGTCTCGGATATGCCTCGAAGCAATCCTGCAAGGTCAAAACGAGACCGGCTGAGATGTCCTGGGACTCGAACTTGACGCAAGGAGAGAAACCGAACTAAATCAGTGCAGATGGTCAGCATTTGTGGGGGTTTTCTCGACATCGACCAATGTGACAAGCATGCGAATTTACCTTGTCCAACAACCGTTCTATGGGATGACGCTTATCATCGATGATGTCATGACGAGGAACTGCAGTGTTTTGAGACGGAGAACATTCGTAATCGCTGGACTGCCTGTAGGACCTGCATTCCTGGAGAGAGGTAGAAGAACCAGCTTCGCCGGAGTGTTGCCTAATCGTCACGGCCGCATAATGGCAGAGTTCCGGCTGCTTGCGGCGCATACAATTCGAACATGGCACTTGACGGTCGCACTGCCATGGTTAGGGCCGTATTCTATGAGACACTTATTCTGCTTCTTTGGAACCATACCCTCTGCTTTTTTTGGTAACACGGCTGGCAAGCCGTCACGGGCCGTTTCCGTCGCTGATACCCTCCTAACATCGTGGATACTCGTGGTCTCCTTCGCTACAAGCTCTATGAGCGGATCGGCATCGTGGTAGGCATCCTTTGAAGGATATGGAACACGCATACGAAGGCCAGCTGCAAGTTTCAATATATATAGGTAACAGGTTGCGGCGTAGCAGGGCGGTTTTAGCATGCTGATTGAACTCAACGCATCCTTCGCGCGCCCCATCTGCCGCGGAGCTGCCTCCCTAGGGATCCATACCGATGCAACTTGAGTGCGAAGGACTTACATACAAATCCTTAGGCATATTGCATGATGAAAGAGGACTCCCTCTTGTGTGCTGGCGGAGTTACCTTTCTAGGGTGAACCCCATTTGAATATCCGTATCGACTCCGCCTTACAAGGAGCTTGTTTTTAGTGACCGGACACACCTCGCCAGATTAGTCTTGACGAGAACACGCAGGGCTGCCTAGCGCGCCCTGCAGAATCTACCAGGACTATAATAAATTTCTTATCGGTGTTCTCTTGAAGAATATTTAGATTGTAGAATAATCTTACAAAAGAATATGCAAGCTGCTGTATCCTTTGATCAAGTGATTCCAAACGTCATACACGAAATCGCTGGTGTAGATGATTATTGATAGCCTAGGACGGTGCGCAAGTGCGCCAAGCCGAGTTTCCACATCAAGCCCGGCCAGGTGCATCTGCAGCAAGCGGGGAACACGGTTACCTTCTACGTGTCTTACTGCTGCCGGAGCGCCACTACCACACTGCAATTGCAGCGCCGCCAATTGTGCGGAAGGCCTCCGTTTTCGGGTTTCCAACATCGCACTAGGAACTAGATTCTACAAATCCGCAAACTTCTCCTTCTGCGGCACCAGTCCGCCCGGCAGCTTCAGCTCGTAGTTTGCGAGAATATGCATCAGGATGACCAGCCACCCAGCGCAGCAAAGAATCTTCCGGGCCACGCCTACCTGCCGTGGCCAGAGAGCATTCCATGCAGGCTTGAGTTGGTATATAACTCAACTTGCGGACTGGCCGACGGGCCTCTGGAGGTAGCGAAGCGGAAACCTCTGAATCCATTAGATTGCTCGTACACGCTCGGAAATATACTCAATGACTCTGCGGCCATAGCAAACCGTCTACCTTTGGGCAAGAAAGTCCCGTCTACTACAAAGTTGTCATTGAGCAGCTGTCATTGGAATGAGACCTGAAATTTATGTTTGTCACAGGACTTCAGTATTAGCTGGCATCCACGGCGCAAAGTTACTGGCGGTAATTAGCGAATGCCTGAATGTTTCTTCCATGCTAATGTCCAGCTTGAACAACTTGTTACTCCTGTCCATTGTGATCGCACCGCCGCTCTCCTTAAGAGCTTGCTCCAGATCTTCAATAAGCGCAAGGGCATAGTCATTCCATCCCTCCGCTGATGCGAACATTATCTTCACGATGACAACGGCTAAAGAATGAATCGCCGTAAAGTTGATGTCAAGCTGACAGTTGATGACGTCTTGTGTTTGCCGAAAGTCTCGGTATTGTTGGAGGAGCCAGTCCATCATGCTCGTCAGCTATTCCGCTTCCTCTCTAGTATACATTGCACTCATCGCCTTTCTACAATCTAGGAGAAGGTGTGAATCTACTTACCTATCTCTTCGAGCAGATCTTCTAAACGTGCAGCTACTTCAGGACTGAAAATTTGGCGATCTTTGCCCCGTAGAGCTTGGATCCTCCCCCAGAGTGGGGAAAAAAGATTGATGAACGGGTGCAGAAAGGCCAGAGGCATCTTCAAGTAAATTTGCATCGTGAGGGCCGACTAGACATAACTGGAGTAGACTTCTCAACTCTTTGGTGTAGTGAGTGGGGACAACGTAGTCACCTTTTCCAGCAAATAGTATTTGGTATATCGTATCCGATTTTCAATTCAACATCAGCCAGCGTCTATCAGAAAGGATCCTACCGTCTTGACCATGTCTTCTACGGTGGCGATCTCAACGAGCGATGTTGATGCGGACTTAAAGTATTCGTTCCATCGCAAGGTGGCTTGCTCGACATCTCTGTTGTCCGCACCGACGATGACTGCTTCGGCGGACATCCACACGCCATTACCATTACACCGGAAGCTTGACTGAGTTGGGAAGATAGAGGCGGGGGGTGTGGATGCCATAACACGCTTATGGCATGTGGCGAGTCTATATGTTAAAGCCGCATGACTGGAGGCTTTTCGAAATCTGTAGAGACGGTAGAAGGGGAGCGAGATGAAAGTTCTCGAAGTGCAATTGAATCGAAGCGTACGAGTAATTAAGTGAATGAGACGTAGATATTTCAAGGACGTCTGATGGATACGTATATATACACTCACATTAACCTCATGAGACCGTCACGCAGTCGGCACTGTCGCACTAGCGCATGCCCCATGTATCGCGCACAAATATACAAACTTGTTCCATCGAACAGCCGCAAATCCCGCTCCTTGGCTTCGAGGACCCCGCGGCGCGCTACATGTGGATATCAGCATCTGTCACGTCGCACGCCGTCCCCAGGCGGATGGTTCCTGCGTTGTTCGTGGCGTGACTCCTGGGAAGTAATGTTCTAGGTGTCTGATACCGTTCTATAATTGAGTCGGAGGGTCAGAGGAGGTCAGGTATGTTGGCTCGCGGAATCGTTGACTTGGGACAGGGAGGGGAAGTGATGCTGGTTCTGACGGGGTGGACGATGGGTCTTCGTAAGCTGAGATGTTCCCAGGAGAGTAAATAGAGATTGGGTTCCGTCACGGCTGGTCAACCTCAAATTCGCGTTGCCCTGACGTGTCTTCCTAGAAACTATACATGCTATTATACGATGACATCTTCTATTTTATCATTTCTGTGTCGTCAACACGAAACCTGATGGGTGTTGGAGTATACGATGGAAACTGGGAAACAAAGGTCAGATTCAGAATGTCGTATTTACATAGCTACACCCTTTTTCTTTGTTCAATCTCGGAGAAAGTGGCGCGACGTGTCCCGCTGGAAACTTAGGGACAATGCTTTTTGAACCCCCAACAAGGTCATTAGAAGCTTATAACCTGTCCACTATACTCGACTAGCTCCCCCGAGAATTTGTCGCGGGAGGCCTCGTCGATGACCTTCAGGCATCCGTCGACACTGTCCTCCACGCTCAAAGGCGGCTGCACGCCCAGCGTGTTCGCGAGAACGGCGCTTCCGTCAGTGCGCACCCAGCCGGGCGAGAGCGCCACGCTGGTCAGCCAGTTGTTCTCCAGATGGAGTTGAGACGCGGTATAGTGGACGGCAGTTTTGGTGACGCCGTAGCAGAACCACGGGCCGACGAAGTCTCGGCTCTTTGCGAAGCTGGCCACGCCTGATCCGATGAAGATCATCTTCGGGCCCTTGGGGTCCTTAGCCTGCTGTAGAAGTGGTACTGCGGCCTTCACCAGCGCTAGGACGCCGAAGAAGTTGACATCCATGTGCCTGTGAATGTCCTTGATGTCGGTTTCTAAGAGCGGCTTGTAGACATCGCCGATGCCGGCATTTGCAATTACTCGGTCGATGTGTTCCAAGCCGTCCGCCTTGAGTGACTCAATAGCTTTGGCCGCGTCTGTTTCGATGGCGGAATTGAGCTTGACTAGTTTCACTCGCGAGCCATCGCCCTTGAGAAGAGAATGAAGGTCCCGTGATGCTTTGGATAAAGGATCTCGCACAGCAGCTATGACAAGGTTGTTTGGACGGGCTACAATAGCCTGGAGAAACCCGTGCCCGATACCTGAGGTGAAAAGTATCAATATAGAAGGCCTCTTCGTACTGCACGAGGAAACTTACCGCGATTCGGACCGGTGATCAAGGTAATTGTTGGAGACGGAGCAGCCATGACTGGGATGCAGCCTCAACAGTTGAGCGAGTGAGATTGGACGTCTCAGAGGGTTTGGGGATGATTCTGCACAAGTCGAGTATTATCTTGGGACATGGGCGGTGATCTAATATAGTACTTTCTGCCAAGTATTTCTAGAGACAGGAGAGGGTGTTCGGCAAAGGGTTACAGGAGTTCAAGGATTCACAGTGTGTCGTGACTATGTTCCGCCCAACTTTTCTAGCCATCTTTTCGGGTGGGTTGGGAACGATAGGTATTCCGTAGCTGTTAGAAAGTGGGACACTCGGAGTAGCGTTAGACGCTAGCGGACTAGTGCCAAATTTGCTCGGCCGTAGCTGCATTCCGCAATGCTTGTCAAGACGGTGAAGACGGCGGCGGCTGGGGAGCCGCGGCGAAGCGATAGCAGGTCAGAGATCATCGCAACCATGAGCAGCTGAGACTTGGCGAGGAAGTCGTGTTTATATAGAGCATACATTATGTTTGAAGGGCGATTCCCAGGTCTGCACCAATAGCTTGAGACTAGTGCCAGTTATAGACCTCCAAAGAAAATCCATCACTCTCACTCCACACACTGCGCTCAACAAATTCTGATGATGGGTCGACGCCTAAACAAGCTCAAGGGTCCGATTTGTGGTGACAATTGACAATATCGATAATTATATTAATGATCAGAAACAGCAGGTATTCACTCGATCCTTACACATGTCCACCTTCCCTCTTCCCAGCTTGCCCCCAGAACTTCGTCTACATTGTGAAGCCTACGTCCGAAGACCCACGCGAAGCAACACAGTCACACCCAAGTCAATGGAATTGCATCGATTCTTCGAGATTTGAAGAAGCCATGAGCGACGTATCCACTTCGACAGATGCATGGTGTACTACGGGAAAGAAAGCCCGTCAAGAATGAAGCCTTACCAACCATATGTCCACATGGTTTTGTCAATAATTCCTACGGCGCTGCATACTTGCTGAGTAGCCCGAAGCCACGGACAATATCAGCAAATCTCCCTAAACACAGATGAGCAGCACGGTACGAATCGCCGATATGTATGGCTGTATCTGGATATTGGTTTGATGAACATAGGGTCGTCTTATCTGGTTTGATTTATACCGATGGGATCTTCTATTAAGCGATCGAAGTTCAGTCGTGCGAACACAAACGAATGGTGGGTTGCAAATGAGAAAGACATACTTCCAAGATTTATTAACGTTGAAGAGATCCATGTAGATTGGATTGACGGTTTTGGAATTGAGGTAATGAGGGGTATAACGTTTCTTGGCCTTGTGCATACAAAAACTTGGTCTCCATTGACGAACATTCACCTAGGGCTTATCTCGAAGTGGGACATCTCGAAGTGAGGCGAATCTATCGGAAATTTCTGAGGGCGGAGCATTTGGCTAACGGTAACAATTCTTGTTCTGACGACGAAGAGGCTGTCGATCAGAGATGGGCCTTCTCCTCAAAATTTGTCCTGGTTCAAACACGATCTTAGCATTTGTGCGTTCGTGTTGAATCAGCCAAATTTTGGAAACATCATAGGATTGGTAAGATGATGTACATAGTTGTAGGTTAAGGTTCTATACTTCAGTGGGAAACACTGAGCTTGCATTCTCCTTTTAAGGCCGACCACAGTTAGGCTTTGCTTTCTCCACCAGTCGATAAGAGTCCATGACTTGCTGGTGCTCTGGGGCTTGGTTTCTACCGTTCGGGTTCGTTGTTGCAGGAGACTTCTGCTCATGCTAGGGAGGAGCGACTTCTATCATGGCATTGGTATAGGCGACAAGAGCCGATGATGCTGGTTTGCAGCTGTGATTGCTTTCCAGTACCACTGATCTTACTATCTAGGGATCGCTACCCTTTTGGTCGCTACTTCGGTTGCAAAAATGCCATGCAGCTGTTGCAGCGATGCGCTCTTTCGCGATGTGCCGGAGGTCGGTGATTGTTGGTACCCATCTCTCCTTGCCACAAAGATTGTTGAACGAATTGTCATCGACGTCGCGCCGCCCTATCTTGGCAACTTGGAACGCACGTTGTGCTGCTTGGTCGTGGCGGTGCTCATGCTGGCAATATACTATTACCTGCCAACACTATCCTCGTGGAGTATATTAAAGACCTCAGATAGAGACTACCAATATCGATAAACGCTACAGGACTACGATGCGACACAGCGCTTTTGAGTTGCTTTAGGAATCCATAGCACCATGAAGCGGTAATGTGCAAATTTGTTCGCTTCAGCAAATTTGCTCGAAGTCCATAACATGACTTTATCAAACCATAGTGTTTCTCAACGGGCCTTTTTTCAACACGATAGGTGGTATGACGCAAATACTCTCCTTCCATCGAAACTCGAATACAAGGTAATGACGCTAGCCAAACAACGTCAGCATTCGTTCAACCACCCGTGCCACATAAAAGAGTGGTGGATACCCACCACATCATGGCAACGCTTACTCATACACATCTACCAAGATGTCTTCCCATAAATCCTCACCACGGCCAATACCGTACACCCTCACTTTGCCTCTGGTAAACGACTCATTACTCGAATAAAACCCTCTTCTCATGTTCCATCCGGTATCCTACTCTCCCATAGAAACTCAGCTCGCAGCCATGCGCAAAGCCATCGCAGCAGGCGCAGACCCCAATGAACTCTACAAAACACGCAAAATAGGCCGTCCGCTTAACTACGCTACATACGATCGCGCGTTTGTTGACATCTACCAGATCCATCTAACCCCACGATGGGGAGCTGGTAAACGTTTTCTCAAAGTCCGATTGAGGAGCTGGAGGCGTGGTTCGAGCAGTAGGAGATTGACGATAATACCTGGCGGGAGGAAGACTAATATTTGCATGACTTTCATGAGGATGCGCTAAGCGCTATGAAGAAAATGGCTGAGGAGCTTGATGGTAAGTGCTGTGTCCAGCTATGTGCTTTGATTTTCTTCTTTGCTAGTCAGTGGCTAACTGGTACAATAGCGAAAGCCGTTGCAGAGGCTGCAAGAATAGCTAAAAGTGAGCAGTCTTGGCTTGACAGGTTGAGATTTTGGTGCGGTGTTGTAAGTAGGGTGGCGCGAACACTTTAAATTGCTTTGTATTGGCGCTGACGATCTTACTCCTGGATTGGTGTATCATGTCCGTCTTTTCTCGGTCTGCGCTTATTTGTAGAATCGCCTGAATGTCCCGTGAAACCTTCTGATACTCATCCGTCTTAGGGTATCCCTCGATCGTGAGGATGGAATCAAGTAGTTGAATTTCAACTCCTACTAAAGTTCATTGTTTGGAGCTCAACTCTGATACCACTTCCATACTGCAACAGAAGATGTTGGCGTCTAGTACCGCGATTGTGCAAAGCGACACAGAAGGAGGAAATAGAACAATGCGATCCGGAGCTAGACCTGTTTATTTGCTCATGCCATCTCTGATCAACCAAACCGGATCCTCATTCCGTTGAGGCAGCGCATCCGAGACAAGCTGGAACATTGGAAAATGGCGCAGGGACGACAAGAACGACTGACGATTTGCGTCGCCAAGATAGCCAATTCGTATTTTGTAGGTAAATCGAAGCAAAGGAGCGTGGTCAGTCTCGACTGATGTCGGTAAGCAAAGAACCGCATCTCGTACCATTTCCATCGGTCGGCTGCGCAATGGCTGCAAAGGGAGGGAAGGAGGGGCAAGACATGTTCTGGCGCTACAGTGACAACACAGGCGCTGGTATAAGATCAGCGTGGGAACGAAGGAAGGCGGGCGTTTACATCCTCCAGGGCCTGAGGATGCTCTTGGCTTCAAGGCTGTCAGCGCTGTATTCTCATTGATCCGACTTTGAGAGCGCACCCATCTCATTGTCTTGCGTTCCTACGCCGTTGTGATTGGTGAACACACGAACGAATGGATGTTGGCTGATCGTGATCGCATGCAAGCAGACGCGGTGCCTGTGGAGGTAGCACACGAAGTTTCTACAATATCCTTGTCAGCACTGAGGGCGTCCGGGACGATGGTTGAAAGGTTTTTGGCAGAGTACACACTGTCGGCGGTATAAGACGCTGTCAGCTCGAAGGTGCAGGAGAGGAAGGGGATGTTGAGAGACACGCAGCGCTTGAATGCGCGCTCCACCATTCCCAAAGATACTTGGATCGCATGGGTGTAGTTCTGGATGTACTAACAGCAACTCGACGGTTATGTTGACGTAGAACACTCAACATAACAGTGATCCTTCCTCTTAAACATGCTAGGACCTCCTTCATGATCCCACTTCCAGAATAGACTTGACACTTTGCCAGATGCGTTGCGCTTGAAATAGAAGAGAGCGAGTTCGTGGTCGTTTAATTCAATCATGGAATCTTTGAGATATTGGTCTCGAGAGGTTGGGAAGAAGCTGTAAGTATCCTTCTTATAATATTGCAAAGCTGTGAGAGACTCCTTGTTCCAGTTGAATTGCACACAAAGCTCAGCATTGTCTTTTCCAATCACAATAGAAAGCCACGTCGCGTGCCCTTCGTACTTCCCAACGTACTGCTCTCGTGGTTCTTCAGTCGTTCCAATATCTCTGCCGTTTTCCCAGTTAAACCAGAGCGAGTCTGTGAAGTTCTGTCTTCGACGAAAGACTTCCTGTCGCGCTAGAGAGAGGATATCAACTTTGGGGCTCAAGTCAAAAAGAGCTTGCGTGATGATTTGAGCTGCAAATTCAGCCGCGTCTGCATCCTGTTGACCGTTCGCAAATACTACGATTGCACTCTGAGTGTCTGAGAATGTGTAGAATGCGCAACTTGAGCCGCAAAATACCCCGTTGTGTGCGATAAGCTCTTTCTTTGTGGATTCTACCCCAATAATAAAATCGAGGTTTGTCTCGTCAGAATCGTCCCGTGTCATATCATTGTATGATAAAAAGCCAAGCATCGGAGTGGGAATTGTTGTTTTATACCAGCCCATGCAGTAGGCAGTATCACTTGTCAGCGGCTTCTTAACTGAAGATGGTCGCGTCCACTGGCCTTTTCTAATTCGATCCATGTCATGAAGGATGCTTGAAGGACCACCAGCAAAAGGCGTAGATTCTTTCACTTTCGGATCATCTCTCTCTGCATCCAATATCTGTGAGGCCCATGAAAGCATGTCGTTAACGCAACTACGCATTCCCATGGCAGCAATTGCTGGCATATGGTGATGGGTGATCCACTGGTCTGATTGTAATCGATGGAAACTCCCATTTTCCAATTTGGCGTATGGGTATGCAACGTTAGTCTCACTGATTGGGAGGACGCCATGGACACTTGTCCGTTCTAACCCCAATGGGTTCAGAATCCGATCCTGGATGATATCTGCGTAACACTGTCGATAAACACGTTCCAGTCCGAGGGCAACCAAACCATATCCCCAATTGTTATAGAGCCACCACCGATTGTGCCGAGCACCATCGCGGTCATGTGTTGGACACGTATTCATGAGATGTAAGAAATCCTCTTCGGGGTGGACCAGAGTTCCTCGTGGGCCCAATATCAGGAGCTGTGGAGAGCTCAGACCACTGGTGTGTCGCAAGAAATCGACGATGTTTGCCTTTCCACAACCGTATGCATCTGAAGGCCTAAAATCAGGGATATATCGAGACAAAGGTGCTTTCCACTCCATTTTGCCCTCGCCAACCGCTATTCCAACTGCAGCTGATAGAAAGGTTTTGGACAGAGAGCTCAGTAGATACAGCGTGTCAGCATTTGCTGACAAGCCCTCCTCCGCGTTCCTCACCCCAAAACTCTCTTTGTGTAGGACCTCTCCACGATGAAGAATCCCCAGAGATATGGATGGAACACCACAAATGCGGCGCAACTCTGAAATTTGCGCCATCACAAATTGTATTCTTGCTCGAGCCGACTCATTTGGCAAAAGTTCCATGATAGTGTGTGGTATTGTATTCTCAGAAATCAAGAGGCGATTTGTGTGGAGCTCTATCCTCACTCGACACTCCAGTTTAAAATAGGTTGAATCTGTATCCTGGTCATAGGACCTTGAACGTACGCTAGGGCGCCTGATCCTCTCCCGCCTTCCCTCCAGTTACAACGTACGGTGGGTGTATATCCAAGGTGGATCTGGGAGGGGGTGGCTGGACGCTGCACCTCTTATTCGTTACATGAAGTAAAGTAAGCAGATCAATTCAACAGCAGAACTTCTTGGCTGTGGCTGGTGGCTTGCATATGCAGCCTCTACCTTGGATATACACCCACCGTACGTTGTAGACCAGTAACCAACCAATTCTTCTTCAGAAAAATGTCTCCGGGCGCTCGCTAGGTTCTACTTGATGCGGCGAAAAAGGCTCACAAATCTCGTTAATTCTGACCAGATGCGGTGAAATCGACATTACAAGTCTCAGCCTGATGCAAACCCCGCTTTACACACTCTTATCCCCCACACTAATCAATAATTGACCAATCTTTTACGTATGCCAGGTCTTCTGTCTGCTGCTGATTAAGGGCAAAGCCCACTGTATAAAGCTTGCGTATCTCAGTGAACGATCTTAGACACCAGTCTATCCAGGAACCTCAAATCGCCTATCTACAGCGTCTTTTACACTCTAAGCTTTGTCTTATTTACTACTCGCCAACAACTACAGTACTTATCCCTCAATGATGAATGAGCCTATATTCGCGCTCTTCGGGAAAGGCGGAAACCATGGCGGTGGAAACAGTGGTGGGCCAGTAAGCGGCGGAGGAAGCAGCGGTCCCACTGGGGCTGGCGGCTCAAGTGGAGGAGGGTCTGCTATCGAGCACTGAACCCTTTCTAAATACTGGTCAAATCGTATTGTACGTATCCAAGACAGATTCTATTACTAGTCACGTATAGTTGGAATAGAAGCTAAATGAAATACCCTAGTCTATCAGCGTAGTGCTGATTTATCTGAGCTTAACATGCTAGCCCTCCGGCAGTTTGACATTGGTTCAAAGGAAACCTGATTTATTCGCTCATTTGGCTCAAATCTATTTATCAAATAAAATATCGTCAGCATTATCAAGCTTGAAGATCTTGAAAGACTTTCTATAAACTGCATTCGTGATCGCGCTCTATCATTCCCAGAGATACTTGGATCGCATCGGTCAAGTTCTAGCTGTACTGACAGCAAATAGACAATTATGTGGAGTTGAAACACTCAACGAAACAACCATCATGCTAAGATATATGCCAACACAAAATAACAATCCGTATATATCGGTATACATTTCTGAATGTTCATGGCGTAGCTGACACTAAACCGGCAGTTGAAGCCATGTGTTGAACTAAGCCTTGCGTGTGGATCCAAAAGTCTTGTCTCTTGACTTGAAGAAAACGACATTGACCTTCTAAGTGTGATCACCGGTACAGCGCCAATTATCAGGCCCCAGACCCCCATCATTCCTGATCCAGCCCTCGCCACGAAATACAACAACCCTAAACCCACCCCCTGGTCCCATCGGCTGGAGCCCGGTTTCAAGGATGTTGTTGAAGTCGTGATCTTCCGGGATGTGCATGTTCCAGACGGCAATGTTGACGGGCGTTCCAGCCTTTTCGTACACAGATCGTGCCGTCTCTTATATCCTAGAAATCTCGCGTGTCCTGCCGATGACGTCCAAGTCGAATCCAATCTTATCAAACATGCCCACTGTCATTTGTAAACTTTGAGGAAGGAACCCTGTAAGGACGGACGCGAGCAGCCCGATAGCCACCATTTTTTCTGTCGGAACAGTTGAGCAATTTACTTCTTTCCTTTTTAAGTATCAACGTACTACAAGCGCGACGCTAGTTAATGAGCTAATGAGTAGTGGTCAATATAGGTCCGGTTAGTCTGTGTTGTAGTAGGGAAGTGCTCAACCAGACTACGTAGGAGATGCCTCCCCGCAAAGAGCTTGGCGAGCGTCATGACCATCACGCTAGAGGCTGTCGTTATTGATGCGACCACACGCAGTGGGCTAGTCTCAACCCCCGCACTTTCCCTTGGTAAACCCCGCTGTAGCCAAGAGACAGAGGAAAGTTCCAGCTCAACAGCGCACCGCGAGACTTTTCTGCGATGTCAGACGATAGTCCCGCTCTTCCTAATTTCTCTATTAACATATCTCGGATAGCTGGTTAGTACTTTGGCGGTAGTCTGACATCGCCTCTTGATATCGTTATAGCGTCTTCAACGAAACAGCGTACTTCTACGTTGCCTTTGAGCTCTGTTTGTGTTACAACACACTTGAATCTCATTTATTTCTCACTTCACGGTTTGGGATGGATTTGGAGACTCTCCGACAAGGAACGGCAGATTGGGGCGATATCAGTGAAGCGGCAGCAGTCATCTGGCGGGCCTCTACCTGCCCGCACCTCGACTACTTTCGCACTACATTGCAGAACCATCTCTCCGATGCAAAATTGACGGCAATTGATCTGCACACAGCGATAGACAATACACGAAGAGCAGTGGTTGTGTGCTCCAGGGAAAAGATAACTATCGCATTTCAAGGCTCTCAACCATACGAATTGTTCAAAAACACGTGGATTGATGGGAAAGGGCCCAAATTGTGGGATTTGCCATTCCCGGTATATATCAAAAACCGTGTGCATAGCTTCTTCCGTGACATGTGGCATAGTATGCGGGAGGCCGCGTTCAACGCGCTTACTATCGGCAAGGGGTGAGTCGCCTAAGCAGATCACCGTTGCTGGATTCTCTATGGGGGGTGGTATTTCAATGTAAGCTGAATGGGTCACCTGGTGGCCACTCTTTACCAATTCAGAAACGACATTGATCCACATAAAGATTGGCCTTCACGGATATCCTTGAACACATTCGTACTACATGCGGCTCTGCATCCCCTTCACCGCAACCGTGGGCTGTAGATTCGAACCTTGGCTCTCTTTTCCAGCACTTTACGTTTGCAGCTGTGGCTGCTGGGGATCAAGGATACTATACTGTCCTCAATAACTTGTATGAGCGTTACAAGATACGCGCTTGGGACTTTTTGAATCACCGGGACATGACAGTACATACGCACCACTTCGCGCTTCGATCGTGGAGAGGTCACCGCTATATACTGCCAGAAGCTGTCGTCGGGCAATATAGTGCGGAGTTTGGCCATCAGGGCCATTTCATCCTCGGGTATCTAAAAGCAGCAGAGTGGATGGCTGTAAATGGAACAGACCAGGTCAAGTCTGCCTATTCATACTAAAACTCTTCTGTCAGCTTTTATGGGACTCATTGTGGTCATGGTGTTTCTTGTCAATCCGCCAGGTTTTGCCAACTAGCCTTGGCCAGCTAGCTTTCGAGTTCTCTTGTTGTCAGCGCTATTCTTATTTCCGACAATGACCTCAATCGTAGGCTATGAGAAGCGCCGTCTAGACATTATCAAGTTTGTACGATAGACATTCGCCGACTGAGAATATAGTTCTCATTCGATAGATTCTAGTGCATTCTTGAATGGCGAATATGAATTGTCTATGGTCAGGCTATACGGTTTTATCCGACCATTAATCTCAAAGCATAGTAGTGTCTTGATGAAGCAATTACTGTATGCAGCGTTTAGTTGCTGCGAAATACTTAAAACTAACAAGGCGCATGCGTAAGACAGATATTTCGACATTAAGATACCAAGCGCGCGTGATCTGAGAAGTGTTAGGATACCAAGAAAGTTGCTATAATTCATGCCTCAACTTACGTCAACACTACTACATCTCTTGTGAACTCCATTCAATGCGTTAGCAATCGCAATACAATGCCGACAGAAAGATACATACATCTCGACAGTCTTTGGCATCATCACGACGTATATCCACTTTTACCTGTTCTATTTGCAAGTCATCCATCCAAAGTCGAGAATACCTCAACAGCACCGGTGGCCTCCTTCCGCCAATTCCATCGCAGTCATAGTTATCATCGAATTTCTAATGCACCCACTCTATGAGTCTGTCTTTCATGTCCTATGGAGAGTATTACTGAGCGGTTGTTCCTGTTACACTTGGGCAGGAGATGCGTAACAGTATATTCAAGAAAATCGAAGACGATGAGTGCACAAACGAGTACATCGAAACGTTACGGTCAAACCGTCAGAATATCCCGTCAGTTGCAAGCGATGCCAATATTCCTTCGCCAGAGGGGGACCACTTCATCAATAATTCGATGGCTTACTGAGGTTCGCGTTTCGACGCCGTCAACATAAGAAATACACCAGATCAAGCCGCAGATGCCCATTCTTGTATATACTTTAATTTACTGTACTATTCTGTGCCAATGTTATCAAGCAGATCAAGAGTGTTTCAGAGACGTGTCGGCTAGGGTATTACTGCGACGCTAACGACGATTGCGTTCAATCGCGGTGGCCAGTGAGATGTTGCGTGAGCTAATGAGCATGCAAGCTGCGGTTTATCCCTATGGTTCTGATTATAGTCAATGTGCTCAATTTTGGTACCCATCCTCCCATATCACTGGCGCTTGAGACATGCTTTCGATTCCATTCGATTACGTCCATGATAAAAGCAGCATACTGACACTGTTATCATCAGTCAACGCCGATTCTATGATCTGCACTGCTTTGCTCACTTAGGAAAATCCACTCATAACGATAGGAGATAATGATGGTTCATTTCGAGAACTGGAAGACGCAACCACGAAGAACATGTGTCTACTGTCACTGAAGGACTTCAAGAAGAAGGGGTAACAAGTGGGATCAAGAGTATGGAATAACGACAAGTTCAGATGGAGGGATTCAGCAAACAGAAAAACCCGCATCGCCACCCTGACTATGTAAGCTACGCAGCGGGCCCGCCATGACCACACTCCCCCTATTATCTAACACTGGCCCAATTCCTCACAACCATTGTAGACATTGCCGCTCTGTTCGTAGTAGGGCTCAACAGTCTGCGAAAGGGCCAAATACGTGATCTATCCGCACCAGCACGCCTGGGATACGGCGCCGTCGACGGCCGCCTCATGCTCACCAGCTTTGGAGGCATCGAAACGACAACAAGCGCCATCCTTGCCAACACGCCTCAAATCGTTCCATCTATCCTCTATCTTTCGTACAACGCGCTCTTCACCGCGATGCTCTCAGGTTTCGAATGGGCGTCATACGCCCGCGAAAGAAAGGGCCTGCGCCTGTCCCGAACGCCCGCCGGCGACCAAAGATCGACTTACGTTCTTCAGTTGCCGTATCGATTCGGTGTACCGCTCATGATCCTTAGCGGCCTGCATTGGTTGGTGTCTCAGAGCATATTCCTCGTCGCCATCGACTTCTATGACTTTCGCGGTAACTTTGGCAACTCAGGAGGTGACAGGTTTGGCTGGCCTGATGTTAAGACTTGTGGGTTCTCGCCCATTGCAATCCTTTCGGTTATAATTTTGGGAGTCTTGATGCTTGTTGCTATTGTTGGGTTCGGATACGTGCCGTACAAGCGTGGTATGACGCTAGTGGGAAGCTGCAGTATGGCCATCAGTGCAGCGTGTCACCCTGGAGATCATGTTGATAGAAGTATCGTTGCTTTGCAAAAGTTGCAATCGGGCGTTGTATGTACGGATGATGATGTGGTTGGTCACTGTGGCTTTTCAGCGGAAGAGGTAGAAGCGCCGGTGATCGGAGAAGTGTATGGTGGAAGTATGTAGGGAACTCACTCCACTCGATCGCGTGCTTTGAACAATACTTCGTCGGGATCTGCTAGGGCACGGCGAGATTCAGACCACAGTACCATATGATTAAAGTAAACTTATACGCTTTCGGGATGTAGATTGTGGCGGATAACAACATTGTGTGTATGCATATGGGCTCATTCTCGCAGATAGCCGCGATCGAATCAAAACAAATGTCGCGGAGTTGCCTTTCAACATGGGTGGTTGGTAAGATCATTAATTGGTTGGAACATCTTGCGAGCAGACGCAGATGACGTCTAGAAAAACAAACACACATGTATGGGTTTATGTACGTGGTACCTAAAATTAGAAATGATCGTATGATTCAGGTAATGTGTGCAAACTACTCACAAGTGCAATGATTGTAGAGTCATTTTTGTCGCGGAACAAAACTTAATCATCAAAGACCACGCTTTTGAACGTTAAATACAACACCGCCTACTACTGGTGTGAACCGACTACTGTTCGTCAAGGTAAAGATGTTTACATGGTATTTTAATATCAATGCTTTAAGCCATTTTATCACCTTGCCAATGTATGTAACAGTGGTAAGGGTGGTAAAACTCTACTTGGTGTCTACAGTTGCTTTAGTCCTTCATTGATGATAAGCACATTGTCTAATTATCTTTACATAAAATCTTTGACGTTTGTTCGCAAGGCACCTTTTCGTCGACACGAGGTGCGACGTGTTGTTTCAGTATGTCCATCGCAAGGCAGGAAAAGTCAGAGTCAGCATCTTGGCTCTTATTGGGGGAGGGAATGCGTAATCGGGAGTAGTTGTCTCAGCCTTCTCGCTGTGTACTTCAACCTTGTCGCTAGTTGTCCAAGTCATATATAAACCAGCCGCTCTACCCCTCCATCCTTACGTTTTATGATTCCTCAGTCCTTAAATTCCTAGCTTTCTATTCTCGCCTCTCAGTTTTGACAAAGTTGTTGAAGTTGCTTGATATTCCATCTCGTACACGATTCATGCCATGGCTTCAATCATAACCAAAATCATGAACTATGGTGCCGGCATCAAGGTGTTGCGGAGCGCTTTCCGGGACTACATACACGACCTCGAGAGGTTGTCGACGCAACGCGTCTCCGGCTGGTGGTGTGGAGTCACGTGGATCACCGGTCTCATGTTTAGTGCAATATACATGATCGTAGCGACTCCTCCCCTGACCACAGACAAAGCCTGTCAATCTGATAGCACTTTCCAATTACATACCAAGACATATAGTATATGGTCGTCGTCAGGGTTTTTCAAGATAACGTATGGTGGTGGTCATTTGTCGTTCGCACAAGCAAAGGTCGTTGATATCGTGTGGGATGTCGTAAGTTGCTTCTAACGCAGTATTGCTAAACTAGATCTGACTGTCTATTTAAAGGGCATAGGACGTGGAGGCCAGTTTGTTTTGGCGTTCATATCCTGGCGAGTATTTGCCAAATACCTCACGTTATGCATGGAGGCCGAACCTATCACCTATCGGCTATTCCGCACAGTATTTCTTGAAAAAGGCGCTTCCCTCCTCTCGACATACCAAGTCATCAGGTCATTTCTTGGGCAGCGAAGACTACGGTCGAAAACTGCCATGGCTTTCATGGTGGTCACTATGATATTCATTCTCGCGTTCCCCACCCTCATCACCGCCATGAGCGGCTACGACTCAAACGTGGAATCATATGTACCAGATTTTGACAACAGGCTCATACAGTTCAACAGATTCTCAAGGGTTCTGTATATAATTCATGATGGCAGGAGAATTAATCTAACTGATGATTACTTAATCATCGACGTCGTACCAGTTACTTCAGGTAAGTGAGTTGCTCAAACTTGTTATGTTCTCATCATCTTGATTACTGACAGAACTGGCTTAAAGATCCCGTGTTAGATAATTGCTATTGTTGCCGGTATTATCTACGCTCTGATAAGAGATCGTGCCGTCCGCAGAATCATGTCTCTAATTGTGAGGACACTACTTCGATCTATAATCACACAAGCTAACAAGCAGTAGATGTAAAATCATATGGACTGGGGGGAATAAGAAACGACTCTACTCACTTTCACGATTGGACCACCGATCTATATATTGCACTGGAAGCACCAGCCCTTAACATATCCGCATTTGTTAGTGGTGACAAGTTTAGGGGTGGTCACAGTTCTTCACAATCATTGGGAATGATTTGGTTGAGAGGGAATGAAACATTCGACTACGATCACATTGAATCAAATGGAACTTGTCAGTCTACGGATGTAAGTTGTCTTTAGCTACATCCGATTCATCCCGAGTACGATTAACGATCTGTTAGGACTATAAATGGGGCTTCTCATTCTTGCAGCTCTTCGTTTGTATCATGTTACTACATGCCTGGACGATTGGAATTTATACCATGTGGCTCCAAACGCATTACACCATGGCCCTGCGTAACCGCCATGCCGACAAGATATCTGGAGAACATCTTGCGGTTATCGAACTAGCAGCAGCTATGAAGAAAGAGCTTAATATCGAAGACACGGATGCTGCACTGCTTCGAGAGAAACAACTTGAACAACGAGTTGACAAGGAACTCAGAGGCGGCACCATCTCATATGCATATACCGAGACTGAACTTAAGACTTATAGTATCAAGCAAGGTGTGTTGTCCTGGTTCAAGAGAGAAAGATGGTGGGTTTTCGCGATGTTTATCACGTCTGTGGTTCTTTCAACAACCACCAAGACAGAATCATACAATAACCACTTTATGAACCCGATAAATGAGTTGGTTGGTTTAGAACAAGGGCCCGAGGTGATGTTCTGGTTCTGGACCTGGTTTTTAAGTATCTGGGTTGGCCAGCTCGTGGCATTTTGGTTTGGCACGACAACAGGCAGCAGGATGCTTTTTATCCTATTCTGCAGTACACTTCCCATTTTTCTAATACCTTACTCTAGGCTACTATCTAACGCTCGGCTACGTAGTTGCTACTAGATACTAGTCAGAGTCATAGGAGTCTTCGTAAGATATATAGGGCTGCGAAGAACAATTACGTCCTAGATTTTTGGCCAGGCCTCGATCTCAAATGCAGAACATAAAGAAAAATCTGTACATCCATCTTGCACATCTACATACCCAGACACAGGACACACGGCTCCTTGATTTACTTTCCTCTACTCTCTCCACTCTCCTTCAATCTCCTCCACCCTACTCCATACAGAACCGCGTGTATACATACCATACAACACAACACAGCACAACCCCACCCCCATCCCATCCCAACCCTCTCTCCCTGCCTCCCCTCTCTCCCTGCCTCCCTCCTTCCCATCCCCACAACCTCCCACCCGCAAGAAAGCAGGTGCGAAGTACACATCCAGATCCAGATCCAGATCCAAATCCAAATCCCAAGAACGCGATGGGGCAAGAAAGGTGAAAAGACAGGATAAGTAAACCAAACAAATATACACATTTATACACGACAAAAGCCAAGATTCCAAGACACACAGTTTAATTGAAGTTACAAACGCTACCCATCCACGCTATGCAAATGCGAAATACACTCCCACTCCCACTCCCACTCCCACTCCCACTCCCCCCTACTCCCATCTCCTCCCACCCTACACTACAACGTCTACCGACTACCGCCTAGCCCCGGGACTAGGTCTAGGCGTGGGCGTAACCTCCCTCGCCATAACACTCAAGCCCGTGATCTGCGCAGCCGCCTCATCAACACCCACATCCCCCCCAACATGCATGCGCGAGACCTCCTCCCCCGGCGTCTCCGCAAACTCATCATCCGCATCGCCCTCACCATAATCCTCATAATACTCGTCCGCCTCCGCATCCCCCCCCTCAATACTCTCTACAATCGACTCCTCCATACCGTTATCCCCATCGGCATCATCGCGGGAGTCATGCGTGAAATAGCTCGCCTCCAGATCCTCGCCGATATCGGACCCCTCGTCCTCGCTGCGGAGGCTGGCTGCTTCCGTCTCGTCGTCGTCGCCGTCCTCGCCGCCGTCATCCTCGCTGTCGGTGAAATCTTCAATGTCGAGCGGGCGTTCGCGCCAGTAATTGAAGTCTGTGAACGCCTCGCCGCCGGCAGGCACGAGGAGGCCTACGGGCGGGAAGAAGTGGTCTACGATTTCGCGCATGCTTGCGTAGCCAGTTTTATAGCTATTCAGCGACAGGACATCAAGACTGACCTCGGCGTTGGAGTTGATGGTGAAGATGCGTGTGGAGGGGATGTTTACGGATCTATAGCTCAGGGCGTCAGTGAAGCGGTTTCCGAAGCCGGCGTAGAAGGGGGTTTGGCCGGGTGGTTTGTCGAAGAGGCTCATGATGTCGCGGAGACAGGCCATTTTGAAGACTTCGGGCTTGCGGAGGTAAATTTCTCTCCTCAGGGCGGCGATGGTGCGGTCGGGGCTCATGATGACGGGGCCCTTGGGGATGCGGTACGAGTCCTGCACTACGCCGTTGATGTAGGCGCGTGTTGTGTCTGCCTGGCCGACGGAGCGGCTGGTGAGGTAGAAGATGTTGTAGCCGTTGTTGACGATGTCGGTGTACAGCTTTGCGACGCCCTGGTGGGTCCAGTCGCGGCCGATCATGTTGAGCACGTGACCTAGGGCGTCGGATTTGGTGATGGTGCCGTCAATGTCGGAGATGACAATTGGCACGTCGTGCTTCCAGTAGAACATGTAGGCTTCGCACTTTGAGCGGTTGACGGTGAAGCTCATGGTGTTTGCGCCCGACTTGAGGTTCAGCGCCTTGAGCTGGTCGCTGGTCAGACGCAGTGTCTTTGCGTAGTTTTTTGTCTCCGTCTTGGTGTGGGCTGGGGAGTGGGGGGCGGAGATGCCGAGGGTGCTGTCCGAGTCTCTGCGCATGTGGGAGAAGTCGGCGGCTGTGCTGTCGCTCTGGTTGCTGTCGCTTTGGTAGCCGGGGTCGGAGACGACATCAGACGAGTGGAGTGCAGCCTCTTCCAGCACGGAGAGGGACGACTTCTGCATGGCTGCTGCCTTGGCTTCCTCGCTGCTGTATATCCAGAGATTGCCATTCTCGTCTGCGCCAATGAGCGCGCCGATATCGTAGTCTCCCGCAAGCTCGTCGGAGAGGATCTTTCTTGCAATGAATTCGGCGCGCAGGGATTCCTCCTCGCTACTCTTGTAGCCCGTCATGTCCAGCTCCAGGTCGCCTGTCTCGGTGACCTTGTTCGGGATGTTGGAGGCGAAGAGGATCTTGGAAAGCTTGATGGAGCGAGCCAGGGCTTCAGCGCGCGACACTGGCGGCGGGCTGGTTGAGCGTGCCGTCCTGTTCCATAGCGTAGCCTCGGCCTTGCTAATCTCGAGTGGACCTCGTTCCTTCTCTTCCTCGAATGTGTCTGCAAAGCCTTGGTTGGCCGAGGGAAGCACGAGATCGGTGTTGGCGCGTTGGATGTGGAAGCCCGACCAGTCGCCCGACTTTGGGCGCTCCAGCTCCGCGTCCATGAGCATGGCGTCTGACGGCGGCACCGACATGGACAAGCGGCCTCTTCGCCGTATGCCGCTGTCGACGCCATCGAGGTCGAGCGGCTCGGGCTCGTCGAAGACGCGGTTGAGGCGGAGGTTCACGGGCTTCTGCTCGGGGCTGGAGGCGGGCGAGGCGATGGGCGACGTCTGCATCTCCTCGGGCACGGCGGACGACGTCTCGAAGACGAAAAAGGCCTCGCCGCCCTCGCCCAGCTTCATCGAGTAGGGCTGGACGTGGCCATTGACGCGGAACTCGACCTTCTTGTCGGACGGGCGCAGGATCTGGTACTTGCCGAAGCGGACGTGGAAGGGCGAGCAGGCCAGGCTGCCGTCCTCGCGCTCGACGACGATGGCATCGATGGCGCCGCTGAGGGTGGCGGGGTTGATCGAGTTCCAGCCCTTGGAGACGCTGCCCGTGAGCGAGCGCACGTAGTTCATGGTGCGCGTCCTGTCTGGGCTTGCAGTTTGCTCTTGCTCTTGCAGGTGGCAGGTGCAGGGTCGGCTAGTGCAGCACACAAAGAGATTCCACTTCTTTGTCTCTGCCTTCACATGTGAATCGCAGCCTGGTGGAGCGGATTATGTGCTAATTGTGGAGAGGATGCGAGCTGGTATGGCGGAGCAAGGGCTTCTTCTGGGTGAGCCTAGGTAGCGACGCGATCAGCGACGAGGGCCGTCATGGGTCATGGGGCGAGCAGCTGAGCTGAGCCAAGGCAAGGCAGGTGATGCAGACGACGTTTGACAGCGACGGCGACAGTGACATGGTGGGGCGGGCAGACGACATGCTTATGGGGGAGAGGATGTGAAGGGCTTCCATGTGCATGCCTGTCTATCTACATGTGTTGGGACTCAACCAGGCCATTGGGGGGCTGCGGGGATGACAGGGCGTGGCTGACATGTGAAAGCTGCACTGGAGAGTTCGGTGCCGGAGAAATAAAATACAGCCCAGTCAGCCATCCAGTCAGTCGTCCAGTCAGTCATCCAGCGCGCCAGCCGGTCCAGCCACCGCCCCGCCGACTCAACAATGCCATGTCTGTCTAATCTCCTGGCTGCAGCAGCGGAAAGACCGGGCGGGCAGGCACGGCGGAGGGCGTGGCGGCAGGAATGCGGAGAGTGGCGCTAGCAGCCGGGCCAAGTCGGCAGTGCAGAGCCTCTCTTCTGCGCGCGTGCTCTGGCTGCACTGCACTCGACCACCGCCGTGTCTAGTCACTCGCTAGACGTCAGCGTGAAGATGTTCTCGGACCCCGCCACGTCGCTGTACTGGCCGCCCGATGTGGCGCGCTACAACATGGAGACGCTGCTGTTCTCGTCGTCGGGCTGGCTGCGCACGGCGTGCGTCGTGTGCGCCCTGTTCTGGTACGTCTTGGCTGGTGTGAATGTAAATGTATGCCCACGCACTGCTGATGGTGTTTTCTCAGGGTCGCCTTCCGCGCCTACCAGGTCCTCTCGCAGCCCGTCGAGAAGCTCGTCCAGGTGCTCGGCCTTGAAGTCCCCGTTGCCCCGCTCGTCTCGCTCGCTGGAATAAAGGCCGACGGCGTATCGCTGCACTGGAAGCCGCCCGACCAGCGCGCCTCGGTCCTGAAGTACGTCGTCAGGATCAACGGCATCGACGTCGGCGACATTGCCCCCCAAGAGACGTCCATCACCATCGAGAACCTGCAGCCCGACCACCACTACACCGTGCGCATTGTCACCCTCAACTCGTCAAACTTCCAGGCCCCGAGTGTACCCATCCGCCTGCGCACCCTGCCCGCCGAATCCGACCAGTACCACAACCCGCCGACCCACAAAGACGCCCAGCCCACCACGAACAATGACGGCTCCAATCCCGCGCCTGTCGTCCGATCCAACAAGAGCCTCGTCGATGTCGTCACGCCCTTTGTCGCGCCCGTCATGACGCGCGAACACAGCAACAGCACGGCATCCCGGCTGAGACGCCCTGAGACAGGCAGACGGAATTCGCCCGCGTCGCAAACGGCAGACCAGGCGCGCTCGGCCCAAGAAGCCCACGACTCCACCGACTCGATACGCCAGCTGACGGAGAAGCTCGATTGTCTCCGTCGCGAGCTCGACGACATGCAGCGGCAGATGGAGGACGAAGATCAGGAATTTGTCACCCAAAAGGCAATCTTGGCGGACAAGCGCGACGACAAGAAGATGGCGCTCAAGGAGAAGGAGGATGCCAGTCGCGATCTGAGAAAGGAAGTCGCCACGCTCGAACGTCAGAACGCTTCCGCCCAAGCCAGACGAACCCAGCAGGAGAAACTACTACGCCAGAAAGAAGCCGAGCGCAAGAAGCTCAAGGACGACGTGGCCAAGTGGACGCGCGAGGCGGGCGAGTTAAGGGACGCCGCAGAGAAGATCAAGCAAGAGCGCGTCGAATGCGAGTCTGCATCGGAAAAGCGCATCGAGGCTGTCAAGGTTCGCCATGCCGACGAAATTCAGGAAAACAAGGTTTTGGAAGAAACTATCCGCGAAAAGGGCATCCAAATCAAGGAGCTGGAAGAGGAGAGGCAGACGCTGGAGGAGGGTCAGGAAGGGGGAGACGCACACGACGAGAATGCTGAGCGGGACGAGGACAACCGTTGGAAAATGGCCTTGAACCTCCTGCAGCAACAATACGCCCAGGCCTGGCAGCTCTACAACGAAGCCGAACGCGCAAACCACGAGGCCTCGACCAGACTCCAGTACCTGCAGCAGCGTCGCATGAGCCAGCCGCACCTTTTCACCGGACCTCCCGTCCCTGACATGGGTCCATCACGAAGACACAGCCAGCAAAACCACTCTATCGGAATGCGTGAAGGACTGCACTCTTCCACACCCATTGGATTTGTGCACTCCTCGGCTGCCCCTTTCAACAGCCTCGTCGCGACGTCGTCACCCTCCTATCCCTCTGTTACTCCCTACTTCAATCCTGTCAACGGCATGGCCCTGCCTCCCCGTGGTCACATGCACATGCCTTCGATTTCTCAGGCAGATCTTGAGAGCTTGACGGGCGGAGCACCCATGAGCCCAACTGCTGGTGCTCTGTTGCCTGCAGGCCTGTTTGGAGACGATCTGGGCATGACAGACGCTGAAGACGACGATGACCCACCACTACCACAACCATCTTCACTCGACCCCTCGCCGCATCTACGAAGTGTCCTGCCTGGTTTGGGCGCTCCAGAGACTATAGACCGTGCGCAGGATTCAAACTCCCCGGCCTCCCCTCAAAGCCCGCCCAGAAGTGCATTTGCTAGTCCGCGGGAGAGTGCTGGGGAATTGCAGTACTACCCCAACAACGACAACAACATGGACAGCGATAGGCGCTCTATCCGCTCCACGTCCAGCTCCTTCATGCTCAACCCACAGGCTAGTCGATTTGGCAACTTGTTCGGATTGAACAGGCAACGCGGTAAGACGTTTTCAGATGGACCAGCTTTGGGTTCATTGAAGTTGGCTCAGAGCCAATCCCTACCCCGACAAGAGCACGATCTAGACCCCATTGGATCATCTCGACGACGAGGAAGCCACTCCGAAGGCGCGTGGTACGATGCATTCATGCGGACCAAAACAATGCCCGTAGAATCCTCCAGCAGCCCGCAACACATCACGACGCGAAAGCGGCCGTTCAACATGTTCGGCGCCAAAGGCGACCCATGGCTATCTTCCGTCCTAGGATCCGAGCGCCCGTCCTCCCCGCGCCAAGGCTCCACCCAGTCCGGCGAAAGCTTCGCCCTCCCCCGCCCCTCCACGGAAAGCCAAACCCGCTTCGGTTGGTCCGTCGACGCGTTCGGCGCCCGCAGCAGCCCGCTCGGCGTCGACTGGAGCATCAACAACACCAACACGACGTCGTGGTCGCGCATGCCCTCGCGCCGTCCATCTATTCAGCACGGCTCGTCGACGAATCTGATCCACGACGACCTCCTGCAAAACGACGTCCTGGACTTCCCTTCCAATGTTCGCTCCCCAATGCAGGCCCCCATCGGCACCCGCCCCCAATCCTCAGCCTCTCATATGCCCTCCGCCTCCATAGACCCAATGCCCACTATCCCCCCCCCCCCCCCGAAACAACTCAACCCCGCCGCCGCAACATTCACCTTCGCCTTCCCCATGGGCAAGAAAACCGACGAGGACAAAGCCGAGAAGGCAAAACGCGCAGCCGACCGCGCCGCGGAAAAAGAAGCCAAGAAAGCGGAAAAAGCCGAGAAGAAGGAAGAAAAAGAAAAGAAAGCCAAACTCGATAAAGCGGAAAAGGCCGCGCGCAAAGCAGGTCATGCGTCGGATGATGCGAGTTTCAGCTTTACATTCAACAACGGCAGCACTAGCCCCCACGACACCTTCCCCCATGGCCGACCAAGTCGCGACACCCCCTCCCTCCTCAGCACCGCAGATGCATCGGACGCCTCGCCCCGCGAATCAGAGTCCCTCGAGCGGTCTACCTCCCTCTCTGCTTCGACACATGAGGGTTCTGTAGGGCGCGAATCTTTCATGCAGAAGCTCAGCCGCAAGGGCTCGACGACGCAGTTCCTCGCGCTGGGGAAGCGGTTTGGGAATGCGAAGAAAACGGCTGGTGGGGGGGAGGTGCCGGGGACGCCGGATGAGGCGGATGAGGCGCATGGGTTTTTGGGACTGGGGAGAGGTGGTGGGGCGGAGAGTTTGGGCGCGAGTCCGGCGCTGGGGAATAGTCCGAATCCGAGTACCAAGTCGAGTGGCGGGTTGACGTGGAGCTCGCTTAAGAGGTTGGGGATGGGGAAGGAGAGGGCGGAGGAGGATGAGGGGGTTTGGAGTTAGGGGAGTGAAGCGTAGTAAAGCGTAGCAAAGCTAGTGTAATTTGGCAGGTTTAGGTTTAATACCATTCATTCATCCATCCCTATCCTTGTCATATCTTAACTACCTCCCATCCCCCCTCCCCCAATTTCTACACAATAACACATTTCATCACCCCACCCGCCCACTCATGATCCACGGTCTCTTAGTCCAAAACTCATCGCGAATCAGATCGACGTGCTCCGTCAGGATAGCCGCGCGATGCCGCTTCTTGCGCTCTTTTTCGCGCTGCGTGCGGCTCTGCTGCTGCTGTGGCGGTCGATCGGTCGTTGTCGTGTGTGTCGATGTGGGTTGTTTGGATTTGGGTTTATCTTTTGCGCTCTGTTTACCAGTTTGAGTCTGGGTCTCTGCACTCGAGACGTGAGCAATGGCCTTCCCCTTCGATCTCGAGCGTGACAGAGACTGCGACTGCGACAGCGACTGCGACAGCGGACTACCCTTCCCCAGAAGCGCAGGTAGACCATCTGCATCTGCATCCGCTTCTCCGTCCACATCTCCATGCCCATATCTGTCTGCATCTCCACCGTCGGTCGTGCCGGTGTGATGCGCAGGCCACGTCGCCGAAACAGGCGCAGAATGCAGTCTAGCATGCGCGCGCGGCCGCGGCGAAGCACTAGCCGGCAGCTCCGCCACCACCGCATGATCACTCCGGATCCCCCTCTGACTGGGCGTCTTATCGCGGTCGCCGATGCGGCGCCACCCCAGGATCTCGCCGTCGATGACTTTCTCGCGCGTGCGCACTTCTTCTGCTCTGCTCATTGGCGGGCTGGGTAGCGCTTTATTGGTGCGTAGCGGGGGGCTTTGTTTGCGGTGCGACGAAGACGATGGCGCCGCGCCGGGGTACTGCGTTGGGGGGGTTGATACTTCTTTTTCTTCGTACGGGGACGGCAGCGGGGCCGGACGATTGTACTGCAGGGAGAGTTTGCGCGGGGGCGCGTCGGCGGGAACGCTGGATGTGCGGAGGGGGATGGCGGGGGCGAAGTATGTTGCTGGGAGGGTGGAGAGGCTGGGTGAGCGCTGAGGGAATGTGGGGACCGAGGCGGATGTTGAGTGGGAGGATGTGTGGCGGTCTGTGGGGGAGGCGTGGTTTGGGATGGGGAAGGAGGGGAAGGTGGAGAATGCTGGGGAGAAGTTGTCGCGTGTTGTTGGGTTTGGGGCGTTGAGGGAGAAGGGGGGGTGGTTGCTTGGTTTTAGGATGGGTGGGGAGAGCGCGAGCGGTGTGAATGAGCGGGCGAAATGCTTGCTGCTCGGTGAAGTGATTGTTGATGGGGGGGAGAGGGGCATGGATGATGGGGGCCATGTGCTGTATTGCGGGCTGACCGGGTGCGATTGAAGAGGGTTTGGTAACATCGTGGTTGGGGATGGTGGTGGTGATGGAGTCGATGTTGTCGACAGAAATGTTGAGCGTTGATCTGGAGAGAGAGGTAACCCCAGCTTTTCCCGAGCGTCCAGTTCGTTCTGCTCAAACGGTTTCGAAAATGACTTGGCAGGTACTCGCCTGGGCTGTGGTTGTGCCAAAGGTGTTGACGAACTTTGTACCTGAGCCGGTACCGATGATGGTTGGGCAGGTTGATAGAACTGTTGTTATTAGACCCTGAAATTTCGCAGAATGAGCGTCTCACATCGCGGTATAGCACTGTTCCCTTCTTGAAACACTCCAACTCGTTGTTGTAATTAATCCCAAACTCCTTGAACAGGATCTCGTGTTTGTCAGCTGATACACTCCCGGACAGTCTTTGCTCGGCTTCTCGAGCTCCCATGCCACCCTGCTGAACGAGAGTCCAGAACGTTGTGTTGTAAAGGTTGTTTATGTGGCCTGCGCTCACTTAGTTTACCGGCACAGCGACATCCAATTCGAATCACTTACAGTCAGCTTGTCGCCAGCTCATGTAATCTCTCAGGTTCGTATCGCTTGGATAGCACACTGCTCGTCCGTCGAAAGAAGGAAGGGGAGGCGTGAGCGGCTTGTCGGGAAAGTATTTAGCCCAGAGGAAAACATAGTATGATGTGAAGGTTGAAACAATCGTCGTCGTCAGCTTGCTGGGTTACGTCAGCTTGTGGTCGCACATCAAATTTCAATTGATTGTTCAATGAATAGACACATACCTCGCTCGACGCTCGAAGAGAACGCAATCCTTATGGAAAACAAAGCTGCAGTCGACGTCAGATTCATGCCGACATGACGAAATTTATCTCAAACTTTATACATCTTGGCAGAGATCAACACGTACCTATATTCATCGCTATTACCATACGCGAGTACTAGGTCTGGCAACTCCCTCATGACAGCCTCGGCTGCGGCGTTCATAAGATCCAAGGCATCCTTGTCGTTGGGTTTGACAAACTTGTACTTTGTGGTAAGTCTGTCCTGTAATTAGCAAAAGACAGGAACGAGAACTTGGGGAATAGTGTGGCGGCAAACGTGGTGTTTCTCAACGGCTGTCCCCGGCGACATGGTACCGATCCATACCACAATATGAAACTCGGTGGGGTAGAAGAACAACAAAACCTACTTGGAGAAGCCGCGCCCGTCGATTCTCACCACAATCCAGGTATTGGCCAGGAGAGTATCTGGCTGCTCGAAAAAGCGCACATATTCGTATCTGTGGGTTTGTCAGTTGAGAATCCTCAGCATGCGTCGCGATTCCGTCGATGCAGATGCAACTGTGTGCGACGAACCAATCAACGCATCACTTACTTTGAATTAGCCATTTCTCCTCGTCTCTTGTTTTGTTAATTCTTGAAAGCAAGACAGCATGGCGTCTCGAGCTAGAGATATATGGGTGTCGCTGAGTGCGACTTCGTCCGTGGGCTCACCTAAGATCCCAGGCCCTAAATTCGTAGTGTAACAAGAAGTCGTGTTTCAGGCACGCGGGTATCATGCAACCCAAGGCGACCTACTGAGACGCAGAGAGATCAATGCAGGTGGAAATATTCCGATGACTCGCCGTTGTGCCGTAAGCAAAGTCTGGGACGGGCGGATGATCTACGTCTGCACTAGCACTAGCGTAACCCTTCTTTCCACGTCAACGCAACTGCCGCGTCTACGAACCCCAATACAGAGCATGTCCAAATTCGATGAACGCCATTCGCCCGACACGGCTACACGTTCTGAATCGCGCGCAAGGACCATGCAAGAAGGAGTTCGAGATGGCGTGTCATGAGAACTCAACCCCTGGGGAAGCGGTGTAGCCATTGAAGTTTCCAGGTAGCAATGTGCCGATATATGCCGTCGTAGCCTCGTTAGACGCGGTAAGCAGTGCGCTCTACAAGCTTCTTGCTTGTATCTTGAGCTATGGTCTGACGTTCAAGACATCTGCCCCACTCCCTTCTGCTTCCGATATTATGTCAAACGCTATGGAGTGCAAGGTATAGGTGAAATGCCGATTCACTGCCGATGTCCATACGCATGTTTGCTATCAACAGTTTGTTCCCCCTATCTCAGTCTCCAGCTTCGACGCCACAAACCTACGTCATTCGTTTCGCACTTGAATTACAGTATGATCACGTTACCATGTCCGGGGCAAGTGGATGAATAGACCCTACTCACAACACCTTACCTACGTGCGAGGATATTCCTTGTGAGAGATTGTCTGGATCTCGACTCTGACTTTGACCTGTGTAAAACTTGTCTACACTGCGTCACTCTCCAATTTTTCGAGTGTTTCAAGGTCCGTGTCAGCCTCCCCACTTCTACTCAGACTCCTTTCAACATCACCCCCACGACATCACGCTACGAATCACAACGAGGTCAATGCCATCGATGGAGCGATCAGACGATCATACCCCCAGTCCAAGCAGTCCCCTCCCGTACTCCCGAATCTCGGCCACTCCCGTCCTTTAATCAAGCTGGCCAAACACTTGAAGTATCAAGGCGTACACCGTCCTAATCAATGCTCAACGCTCTTGGCAGGACTGCTCGAGGCCGTAAGCATGTAATGACTAGTCATTTCTCCTGTTCCAATCGGGTCTCCTGCACTGCCGGTCACTTTCATGTCTGCATAAGATACGTGCGAGCAATCACTCGCGTTAACTTCCCAAAACAGGGTTCTAATATCAACGTCAAACGTCTTGTCAACCTTATCCCCAGGTTTGATGCCTTTCCACATCCCAAAACACATATACTGAGCTGCCGAGGTAGAGTATACAGCTTTGTGACCTGAGCCCAATCGTACACGATCTGAGTTTGAGCGAGCTACCAGAGAGATGCTTCCGCACGGCTGGATTCTTCATGCCCAACGTGATGATCGGCGAGATCTTCGCAGCCCTGCATGTATCATCTGGATTTCGTGTCTAGCTCCAGATACTCGTGAAATGTTGATTCAGGGGCGCATCCCAAATTGTGAGCTTTACATGGTGATGTCTAGCCACCTCAGCAACCTTATTTGGTGTTGTTGTCTGGTATGTTGTTGTCTATAGATGTATTCACTCTTGTCGACGTCATCATATGAAACGCCGAACGGACCGATCATAGATGCCGGATTCCAGAAAGAGCGGTCACTGATGTGCAGGGATCGGCAGTCAAGTTCTAAGTCTGCTTCTATTGGATGTTCTAGTACGTTTAGCTTTGTTCAGATCTGATGACGAGTCTTCTCACTTTTCAGAAGCACAGTTTTGTAATGACGAAGGCTGAAGACATACCTTATTACCTATCGGATCGGAGAAGTCAAAGTCGTACTGTAGTCGCCAGCTCGGCATACCAGACAAACTCGGATTTGAGTAATCAAAGGTGTATGCGTCTAGACCTTTGTGTGTCCACCCCACACCTCTCATGTACATGTACCACATATGGTAAATATGCAAACACTCTGACCTGTATTGAGATGTGACAAGTGACTCAGACTCACGGGAAATATCGCACTTGACATATACACACACAATCACTTTGTACAGTCGGAAGTTGCCTTTCAAACACATGACTTGAGTCGCTTTCCATCAACGTTTTTTTCAAACGTTGGTCTCAAAATTTGCTAGCAGGTTTCACAGTCTACTACACATATCATTTAAACCGCACCGTTAGTTGACCGGTGATAATATGGGTAGAGCAACGATTCCATTACTACTAATTATGTACATTCAGAGGTCCCAAGTGGGTTACAACTCAATACAACCTTGCCATACATTCTAACAAGTTCATCCAACACTAACCACTCCAATCTTCAGGGTCTCTCCCGGGAGCAATATTTAGATGCACTGGGAGTAGTAGGGGTTGTACTCCGTGCACGAGCCACTTGCGCATGTCGTGGAGCCAGTGTATCCCTCGCCGCCGCACTGTCCGTAGATAGCAACGCCGTTGGTGGCAGATCCGGTCTCCTTAGAAACGGCAGAGGTCTTGGTTACGAGAGTGGTAGGCGTGGCAATAACGGTTGGCTCAGCAGTGACCGAGGGCTCGATAGTAGAGGATGGCTCGACCAACGAAAGCTCGGCGGTCTCCTCAGGAGCGCTGATGGGCTCAGTAGTGGCAGCGGGCTCTTCGACGGAAGCAACAACAGACGGGGCTTCGACGCTAGCATCGCACTCGGGGAGACTCTCGAGAAGACCCTGAGCACCGCCGCAGCTGTCCGTAGTGTCGACCTTGGAGCTCTTGCCGTTGCCCTTGTTGACACCCTTGTACTCCTGGCAGACCTTCGCAGGTGTTCCACAGGCACCACTGATAGTGGCTTTATCACCAAAGTTGGAGTTGATGCCGACCAAATCAGCGGTCAATCCGTAGGCGCGGACGTTCTCGACGATGACCTTACGAGGGCTCTTGGCCTCGTTGTTGGTGCAGTCGCCGCACGAGCGGTAAAGCTTACCAGCGTTGACAACGGTGTAGTCTTTGATTGTGACTGTGCCAACACCATTATGCTGGACAACCTTGTCGATAGCCTCTTGCGCACCTCCCCCAGTGATTGTTACATCACCCGTCCCTAAAATAGAGATAGCGTCTTCGCAAACGTCGCGGAACCAAACATTGGTCAAGGTGCAGGAACCTGTGAATCGTCAGCACGTGATCTAGCACGTGATCTAGCACAACAGGGGAACATCAACCTACCCAGGCAGTGGACACCCTCAAGAGAGTCAGCACCAATGATAACGTTGGAGAGGCTCGCGCCATCTTCAAGAACGAAGACAGCGTTGGCGCTGCCAGTGTCTTCGTCAGAGTCACATGGCTGGCCACGATCGAACTCAGCATTGCCAGCATCGAAGCTGCCAGTAATAACACTGGGCTCGGGGAGAGAGGTGATGGCTCCAACCCTGGTAGGGATGTTGAGGGTCTGAGCAGACGCAATGCTGGCGACAAGAGCCATAAGCTCAACCTGTGAAAACCTCATGTTGGCGGGAAAGACTGTGTTGAGTTGAACGAGTGAGTGTATTAAGCAATAAACGAAGACCTCCGGGATCTGAAAGAGTGACTGGGATTGAAGATGAATGGATGGCTGGATGATTGTTTTTCAACGGGGTCCATCAATCCATCTTATACATATGCTTATCCCTCTTGTCTTCGAAGCAGTGCGACTTGGCATTCCTTCGGCGGACAGGAGATTGCTAGAGGGATGAGTTGTACGAGCGCTTGTTGAACCTGAGCTGGGAGCGCCATCGCAAGTGAACTCCACCATTCCCGATTCTGACAGAGCCAAGACGATGTCAGGCCGTTTCCGCCGTTGCCGAGACATCGCATGGCGTTGTCAGACCAGGATGTCGGTACAATCCACACGACATGGAAACGACGTAGCAAGTATTTCGAACCATGTTAATTGTTGATAGTCAAATACCATAACAGATGTCATACATTAGCATATCAGACCCCGAGAAAAGCGCTCTACGCGTCAATCTCGAAGTGAATGTGAATTCGGTGCAATGATGTTTCATCCGTGCTTCTCCGCGAAGGAGATGAATTTCTGGGCATTGTTTGAACATACCTTGGCGTTTCATCTGTCAAGGATGCGTTAGCCGCTGTCGTTCGAAACCGATTAACAACACGAAATTGATTTGTGCAACAACATTCCGCCGACAAGAGAATCTCCAAATGCAAGTGTACCGGGCTTTTGGGAAGCGCCCGCGCGTTGGTTGATTGGAATCGGTGCTTGTAGTTGAACACACAGTCTCAACTCTCGGATGAAAAGCAGTAAATTGAATTAGATCGTTACGTCTTGGCATTTTAGGAATACCCAACTCTATCTGAACTGCGCGCGTATCCAGATTACAACAAATCCATCAATTTGAGTGCCTGCATGATCACATCAGCCGACCAACAATCCAAGAAGTCGAGAGAAAATCCTGATCCTAATGAGCAAGAGCCTCGAATTTGAGTATGGTGTGACCAACTAAAAGTCTTGGACAGCAATCTCTTAATAGAGCCGAGCAGGTCCCTATCCAAATCGCACCAGATTGTACTGGGTCTTTCTTTATTAAAGGTATCTTCGTGCTTGTGTGTCTATACTTTAGGTGTCGTTGTTTGGTCTGCCTGTTGGAATCGTCAAATCCATTTTCATGTGCACAACGAATCTCAGATCTCTTGCTTGCAGCAGTATATTCTGAGCCATCTCTCTGTTGAGCTATTGATATGTGAACGGAAAACTGTCTGATATCCATGCTTTGGTTCCCTAGATCGTAGGCCAGCTCATCTCGACTATCTGTCAACATTTTCATCACTACGTGTACGAAAACTTAGCAATACCAGGTCTGGGCTTGTTAGTCAAAGTGAAAACTGTAAACTCACGTGTCATGGAGACCTGCTCGCCTGCTATGCCAGTCCTGGAGTGAAGCACAATCAGGTCTAGGCCAAACCTGTCATACGTTGTGGGACCACGCGGCTAGACGCCCGAAGTTCACACCATATTCCCTCAGTCGTCACTGGATATTTCAGAGCTCAAAAAAACAAGACACTCAAACGAATACAATGGCTTAATCCGGCGATGGTTTATTGGGACACAACTGGGTGCTATGTCTAGTGTGGTGGAGTCGGCTTCCATCACACCTAAGGAGTCTATGACATCATGAACGACCTCGATAAACCAGGTCGCGAATACCTCTTGAGAATCAATTCGTTACGAAGCCAGCGAAGTTGAGATGCTAGGTTGATTCGGCATACCGTGGCGATAGAGTCTTCTTAGCTGCTATCTCGGGTCGCGGCGAGCGTAGAACAATTTGCAATAGCCAGTGAAAAGAAAGTCAGAACACCACGAACACAGATTAGCAAACTACCGTCCGTACCCTGGCCTGAGGTGGTTGTTGATTGTGGTCGACTCACGTCTTCAGGAGACATACTAAATTCCAGGCTAATCCCGAGCTGGGTTAGCTTTCGCAACTCTTGGCGCGACTTATCGATATCCAAATTTTTGGACAAGTTCAACATCTTTCCCATAACATCCCAACCTGCCCAACAGCCCGCCAAGATGTCGTCCATGCGAAATGCCGTACAGCGGCGCAACCATAAAGAACGCGCGCAGCCCGCCGAGCGCGAAAAATGGGGTCTTCTTGAGAAACGAAAGGTATGTTCACCCACGTATGCGCTTTGCGCAAGAGCTCCACCTATTCACAGGACGCAACGCACTTCTTACGAACAATGGCTGACCTGATTTCTGTAGGACTACAAACTCCGGGCCGCAGATCACCGTTCGAAGAAGGCGAAACTCAAGATCCTTAGCGAGAAGGCGCGCGAACGAAATCCCGATGAATTCTCCTTCAAAATGATGTCGTCCAAGGTGGATGCAAAAGGCAAGAAGGTAGCTGACCGTGGAAACACGGCGCTTAGCATGGAGGTGGTGAAACTATTGAAGACGCAGGATGCTGGATATATACGGACGATGTTGCAGATGGCGAGGAAGGAGAGGGTGGAGCTGGAGCAGAGGTTGGTCATGGAAGAGGGCGAAGTACGCGCCGTGAAAGACAGAAACAGCGGTCTCAAAGGCAAGCACCGGGTGTTTGTTGAAAATGAGGAGGAACAAGAGGAGTTCGACCCGGAGGCGTGGTTTGGACGCGGGGAAGACATCCCGGCAAAACAACCGAACACCGATTACGTTGAGAACATCTCAGCTGAGGACTCAGAAGACGAGGAAGACGAGACGACAGTTGCATCGAAACCGAAAATCCTATCGAAGAAGCAACTGGAGGCGCAAAAGCTGGCGGAGAAGGAGGGCAAGGTCTTCAACAAGACCAGAAAGCGAGCGCAATCAAGAACTGCATACCGGCTAGAGATGGCAAAGAACCGCGAACGAGAGCTCGTAGCGGCCGAAGAGGAGCTTGAGAAGCAGCGTGCCAAGATGAACAACTCCGTGGGAGGGACGAACAAGCACGGGGTCAAGTTCAAGATTCGAGAGCGCAAGCGTTGAGCGATTATGCACTGGAGCGCCTAGCGACTAAAATGGGCTATACAGAGTCTGATCGATGGCCTTCTCATATGGAGCGTTTGCAGGCCACATGTAGGCGGTTACAGTAGCAGAGCGGAAGCAGTAGGCGCAGCATTTTGGCCTAGGACCCTTGGAATTTCGGATTGATGATAGACGTCTGTAGGTATCCAGCTTCTGCTTGATCATCCTCAATCTTCAAAGCCTCGCCGGCATTCGCATGGCCCCATCCAACCGCAATACCGTCCCGTTCAACATCTCATTTCCTACACACTCCCTCACCAACCGCGCGAACTCTTCCGGCACTCCCGCCCTCTTAGGAAACTCCATCGAGGTCTCCAAACTTTGTTTCACTTTCTTGCTCAACATTTTCGTCATCGCGCTGTCAAACATACTGGGCGCAATGGTCACAGCCCTAATCCCATACTTTGACAGATCTCTCGCAAGTGGAAGCGTCAGACTTGCCACCGCTCCCTTGCTCGCCGCATACGCCACTTGTCCCATTTGTCCGTCAAACGCAGCGGAAGATGCGATCATGATGATCACACCGCGCTCACCGTCAGCACCCGAAGGCGTGTTCGTCGTCATATATGGTATCGCCTGGCGTATCAGATCCAACGTGCCTCGAAGATTGATATTCAGCACGAAATCAATACTCTCAATCGACAGCGGCTCGTTGTTCTTGTCCACGATCAGACCAGGCATACCGACGCCAGCTCCTGCTACCACGCCTCCTATCGACTTGCCCGTTTCTTTGACCCATGCGACTGTGCCAGCGATGGCAGTCGCGATGGCTTCTGTGTCTGACACATCGGTTTCGAAGAACTTTGCGCGTGAGCCAAGCTCCGAGACAACGGAGGCTCCGTTGTCGGCGTTCAGGTCGAGGAGTGAGACGTAGGCTCCGTGAGCGTGCAGGTCGCGCGCTGTCGCGAGGCCGAGGCCAGAGACGCCGCCGCTAATTATAAAGGTGCGATCTGCGATCTTCATCGCAGCGTCTATGGGTTGGAGGGTGGTGGGATGATTGACTTGGTACTTGTGTGGACGCGGGTTGAAACGGGTGAGAACAAAGTAGTTTCAATACAGAATAGAGTTGATCGCGTTTCGCTAATATGGTGTGATTCCTTTGGAGCTTTATGCAAGGCAGTAAGAAGAGTAGACGACCGTTCCTCGAGAACGTGAAGACAGCTCACTTCTGCCTCGGCACGGTGTTACCCAAATCCAACCTCCGATCATCACACGCCGCCAAGATTTCGACCCACTAAAATTTGCTTGCACATCGCGACAGGAAAACACACTAGTGTTCTGCTTCCCTTTTCTCCCCCTCTCACACCCCACTCGACAATGAACGCAGAAGCATACCTCCGCGCCCAGGGCTGGAGAGGGTCTGGCCATTCTCTCGACAACCATGACCGCGGGATCAAGAAACCGCTTCTGATCGCGCACAAGCAAGATCAGCTGGGACTCGGGAAGAGGAAGGCGGCATACACAACGGACGATCAGTGGTGGATGCGCGCGTTCGACGAGAGTTTAAAAAACATTGGTACTGGACAAGAGAGCACGCTCAGCCAGATTCGTGAGAAGGGCATCAACCGCGGAGGACTATACGGGTTTTTCGTCAAGGGCGAGGCGATCGCGGGGACGATTGGGAGTGATGGATCGACAATTAGCTCTAGAGTGAGCACACCTGCTACACCAATGTCGGGGAACGAGATTACGGCGGCGGCGACGAGTACGAAAAAGACCAAACGCAAGCGCGAAGCAAATGGCGACTCTGATGCGGCGAAGAAGGCGAAGAAAGTACAGAAGAAGATTGCCAAGTTGGGAGCTGGGGAGAAGGCTCAGCTTGAGAAACGCGCGTCTGAGAAGAACCAGACGCTGGAGGAGTATGTTATGCGCCGGATCCAGAAGAAAGACAAGAAGCGCACGACAAGAAAATAGTATGTTGAACTGCGACACGATCTCTCTTTTTTCACTGACTCTTAAGGTAATGCGAGATTTCACAAGTGGCAAAAACTATAAAACCCTAGAAGCCCTTCCTAGACGTGGACATTAAATGACGCGTCACAAAGACTTCAGACAACGCCACGCGACGAATGGCAGACGCATACATTTCGCGCACGGGGTGATATGAGTGTTGGTGCCAAATGAGTCAAGAAAGAGTTGCGAAACGAGGCGGTCATGAGGGCGAGAAGAATTTCTACATATGATGTAGACCCACACACCTCGCCGATGGCCTCCACCCCTACATTTCAACATCTGAGAAGGCCATAATCCGGGAGAATTCGCAGCGTTCGGTAAGAACGGGAAAATATACAAGTAACTTGTACACGGCTCGGAATGTGAATGGGGACGTGGTTGCGTGATGGGAGTAGGAACTATGCTGGGCTTGCTGACCCTAAGAGAGTTACTCTTGCAGAATGCCTCGGATGAGCACAGCGTCGGGGTGGATAGAGCGGCCAAGAAGACCGAGAACATCACAACGCAGGAGGGGGAAAAACAAACTGGTGACGACGGGGAGGCACCTGTGCTTAAGAAAACAATGTAGGTTACCCCAACTGTCGTGGTTGCCATGGTCTATCAACCGCATGTAAAGAAACTACACGTACACGTGCGTAATAAAAGTGTTCCGAAGGAATGCAATACTTCCTTTCCAAGCAAACCTTAGCCAGAAATTACCGCAATTTTGATACAGATGCAATGTGAAGCATCCTGTGTTCTCTTCCGCTCTCAGTCTTGGACGAAACTAGTCTCCACAAATCACTACGATCCCGCTCTTCTCTCACCCCAGACAATCCCTCCTAGTTCAGCCCTACCGTAGAGCCGCGCCAAGTCCGGTCATAGCTCAACCTCCGCCCGCATTCAACTTCGCGACGCGCCTCACTCCAACATCAAAGTACACAACACCGACCCGTGCTCTCCGCCACAACCCACAACCCACCGCCATGGCATCGCCCGCCGCCGACATGCCAAACGGCATCTCCACACCACCTGCCACAACCACCAATGGCGCAAATCCCAGTCCCCCAACCACACAAGCCTCGCAACAAGCTTCGCAACCCGCGTCACAACCCAACGGCGCATCGACCTCGACCTCCGCCCCCACGCTCTTCCCGTCAACCTCCCTCACCGACCCAGGCACCTCGAAACGCCCCCGCGACGCGCGCCTCCTCCACCTCGTGCTCGCGCACATGGGCGTAACCGCCTACACGGAGCGCGTACCCCTGCAGCTCCTCGACTTCGCGTACAGATACACATCTGGCGTCCTGAGCGACGCGCTCGCGTACGAACCGCCCGTGCCCAACATCTCGACGGGCGGCAAGAAGAAGCGCGAGGAGGTCGATGAGGGCGTTAGCTTGAATGCGCTGCGCACGGCGGTCGGGGGCAGGGCGCAGGCACAGTTTCAGGGCGTGCTGCCCAAGGAGTATATGGCTGAGATGGCGCTGGAGAGGAATAAGATTGCGTTGCCGAGGGTGGAGAGGGAGTTTGGCGTTAGGCTGCCGCCGGAGAGGTATTGCTTTACGGGTGTTGGGTGGGGAATGCGTGGAGAGTGGGAGGAGGAGGTTGAGGGCGATGGGGATGATGATGAGGAAATGGATCTTGGGAGGGAGTTTGACGAGCCCGTCGACTTTGGGGTTGGGGGGCCGGTGGGTGGGGAGGCTGTTGAGGCGGATACGGCCATGGGGGGTATGGAGGAGGAGGAAGCGGATGATGATGAGTTTGAAGAGGCCATGGGGTTGAGACCAGAGAACAACGCGTGAGGGTGATGGGGAGAGATTGAGAATGGAGTTGGCGTATGGGGAAAAGCATTTCATGGCGTTTTGTATGGGGTCTTGGTTAGGGTATACCAGAAATGAGTATTTTCTACGCGCGATTCATCGTCGTGCGCTTCTTGAAATGCTACAGCTTTTTGCACAGTATCGTACACCTGTTCCTGGTTGTGCTCGCAAAGACACGGATACCTCCTCCGCCATGATGGTGTCGTGAACCCGACCACCTCACCTCAGATTCAAAGAGGTTGCTTTGTCTCAATTGCCTGCTCTCCCACGACTTCCACCACATGTCTCGCAGCACTCGTGCCCACATGACCTCACATCTTCCACACCTCTCATGTCCCACCCCAAACCCCACCTCTCCTTACCCCCCTATCATCCACCTTATTCTCCTCCCTCCGCGCCCCCGCCTCTAATATCTTCCCCTGCGTCCGCCCCTCCTCATCCAGATTCCACCACTCCTTGTGCTTGTGCCTCGCGTCCTCCAGCCGCTGCTGATGATCCTCGCGCGCCTTTCGTCGCTCCCCGGCGAGCTGGAACCACTGGGCGCGCGCCTTGTCCATTTCGTCCTGCGTCTGGAACTGCAGCATGCAGGCGTTCATTGTGAGTTTTTGGGCGCGGCAGGCCCATACCATGGTTATTGTGCGGCCGAGGGCGCAGGCGGCGAATGCTGGAGTTTGGGTTAGCGGGGTGTTTGTGGTGTCGTGGGTAGTTGGGGGAGGGTGTAGTGTGGTGGAGAGGGTGATCGTGGTTGTGGTTGGGGAATGAATCATGGAGACGCACTTTCAATCTCCTGCGCGCATTTCGACCGTGCGTTCTTGTAGTATAGATCCCGGACTTGCTGTTCTTGGGGTGCGGAGAGTGGTGTGGGGTTGCTGGGGCGCGAGTTCGTGCCGATGATCATGCCGTCTGATGATGGTGTTGGTGTCGCCATTGCGGGCGGATGCGCAGCCACCGAGGCCGCGAATTGGATTTGCAGGAGCGACTGGGTGTGAAATTATATGGGGAAAGAGCGTGACAGGTAGGTAAATGGGTGGTGGCGGGTACAGTTAGGACGAGCTGATGGGCTGCGGAGCTTTCGTGCAGATGAGAGGTCGAGATGGTTTAGTCGCGGGATGTCGGAGGTTGTGGTGCGAACGCCTCGGCTTCCGTCACTACCACCTCTGTTCATCCTCAATTGCGCGAGCATGTCTAAATTCATCAAGAACTTCAAGATTGTCGAGTTGATACGAACCGGAACGTGGGCAGAATCAATATGATGTGGATGACACCTTCTTCTCTTTTGTATACCTCTTCTTTTCTCATACCTCCACTCTGATTTCTCACTCCTCTTCAGCACTCGCTGTATCAAACTCATTTGCTCTCAAGATTCGATATTTCCCATCGTTATGCTGATAAAATCCATCACTCCAAGGGTATCAGACTTGCCAGAGAAAGAAGAATAGCTGTATGCTTCGTGTGATGTCACGAGTATAGTTGCAAAAAAGAATAGGCCTTGTACGAGACGATGCGTTTATTCGTGGGCGTCTTGATATAATCACGGGATTGATTGGTTCAAGTCGTAACTTTGTGCGTTTTTTAGATGCCGGGAATTAACATAGATTGCGCTTTCTATCAAATCGCCTGGAGCTCCAATCCACAGTTGTGTCTGTATTTCTGTCGTCTCCCCCAGGTCAAAGTGTTTCTCCAGCCTGCGTGCCTTCCCATACCCGATTAGCGACGCCTTCACCATGGCGGCCCGACGTTATCACCGGTTGCGTCGCGCTTTCCTCACTCATACCCTATCGTGCAAGTTCTCAAAATCAATCTCATTTTCTTTACACTCACTCACCTTCTCCAACTCTCGATCAGTCATCCACTGCGAGCTGTACCCGTCTTTGTCACTAGGTTTACTTCCACAATCATCATGAAGTCCATGCAACTGCTCTCGCTACTCTTTCCCGTTATCGGCGCTGCTCCAATGGCCGAGTCGGGTCAGAGCAGTGAACTCAACTATCCTGGCCTGCGATTCGGCGCTGACAAGAAGTTCTCCATCACCGTCTTCAGCGACCTGCATTTCGGAGAGCGTGAGTCACGCATCATATCCAGACATGCGGAACACATACTAACACAAATCAGCCACTTGGGCACGCAATCGTCCTTATGCGGATCCCAAAACTATCGGCGTTATGTACTCAGTCATCGACAACGAGCAGCCTGACATGGTTGTTCTCAACGGCGATCTCACTTCTTGCGAGTTCGTCGCTCCAGAGAACAGCAACGCTCTCATCGATCAGATGGTGTCACCACTCGTGAACCGCAACTTACCTTTCGCCGCGACCTTTGGCAACCATGACATGAGCAAGACGTGCAGCACTCGTTCTACGTCTGAGTACATGTGGGACAATGTCAAAGGCAAGAACGGTAAGAAGCTCTCGTTCACGACGTCGTCTGTCCCTGGCGCGCATGATCAAGTCGGCACGAGCAACTACTATGTCCCGGTATATAGTTCTTCTGGTGGCGACAACCCGAGCCTGGAGATGATGCTGTGGTTCTTCGACAGCAAGGGTGGTCGAGTCTTCAACCCCACAGGCGACGACATCCCTGTTGGAGGCTGGGTTGACGAGAAAGTGAGATGCCCCTTTCTTCTCTCTGAACTATATGCTGACTTGATAGGTCGTTTCTTGGTTCCGTGACACTCGTGATGGCATCAATCAACAGCACAACCGCGTCATCCCTAGCCTGGCCTTCGTTCACATCCCTGTACAGGGTATGCAAGCATTCCAGAAGCACGGCGGCCGTACGTCTACTACGGAACCAGGCCTAAACGAAGAACTCGTCGGCCACCAAGGCGATGTTTGTGATAGCAGTGGCAACAACTGCAACTACAACGGCGCCGACGGACCTTTTATGAAAGCGCTCGTCGAGACTCAAGGACTGATGGGCGTCTTCTCCGGACATGACCATGGCATAGAGTGAGTGTTCCCTGAAAGCGTCGTGAGTTGGGGCGATGTGTACTAATCCTTTTCAGTTGGTGTATGAAATGGGCCAAAAATCTCCCAACAAATCCTACCAATGGCAATGGCGTAAATTTCTGCTTCAATCGACATTCTGGCTACGGTGGCTACACTGATTGGACCCGTGGCGCGCGCCAGATTGTTGTCGACGAAGACAAGCTCGGCAAGAGCGAGCTTGAGACGTGGATTCGACTCGAGGATGGCAGTGTCTCCGGACATGTGACTCTGAACTCGACGTACGGCGTCGACCAGTATCCTCAAGTGCAAAAGTTGAAGAGTTCGGGTCCGTAGAGCAGGCCGAAACCAGAGGCGATGGTGGCTAGTGGTAGTACTAACGGTTTGACGAGCGCGAAGCTTCATCCCAAAGTCGTCTCCAACACAAAATCAAAAATGAAGTCGAAGACGACGTCGAGTTTGAAAACGAAGCCAACAAAAAAGCCGACGCCAAATACAAGTAGACCAAAGTCCAACCCCACCCCAGCACCACAGGCGAAGACTGACAAGCCTGAGCGCAAGATTCTGGCCCAGGTGTAAACACAACAGTCCCCGTTTTCGTCACTTTCATCAGTTCAGGTAGGACCATGCCTTAGACGCTTGTTTCATTTCACATACCCATGTTTTCTCCGCATACTTTACGGTGTCCACGTTCAGCAATGGGTTTTCACTTTTGATAGAACTTAATACAAGATCTTGCTGTCATGAAGCATATTGCACTTTTGGACATCATTGAATCATAAGCCGAAAAGTTGTACTGTGATAAACCGCATGTATACTCCACATACTTTGGGGATGGGTCTGTTGTGTGTTCGTTCTAAGTGTGTTCAAAGCACAGCATTTTCGTACTATGACGTCGACGATGTTTGCACGGATCAGCGCGACTTCTCTCCTTCACGCGACGCGTCACTTGCGGTTGTCCTTCCCATTCGCTCGTTCATCAATGAGACTGTGAATCAAGAGAGGTTTTGCACATAGTGGTAAGTTACGGTGACTGTATTCAATGTTGAAGTATTTATATGCTCTCACACAGTGCAGATCTTGACTCATCGACTCGTCATTTTTGCATGTTCAATATTCTAGACGCGTAAAAACACATGATATACATGCCCAGGCTATTAGTGCTTTTGAGGTTCCATATCAACCAACTCCCAAGACAACGTGGAAAGAGATGTATCCGGTCTATCGTGCAAAATAAGAAAACTTCGTCAGTCAACGTCATATCAATCGGCCTATCCTTTCCAATACCTCGATCTCACGCGTTGATGATCGGTTTTGGTTTCAAGCTCCTGAGCCTTATTTCGGTGTTGTTTCTATTGCTTCTCATACTGTGCCATAGCCAGATCGAGCCAATGATTAGGATCAATCCCACGATGGCGCCGCCTGCTATACCTCCAATAGCCCCTTTTGATAGCCGTTTGGAGCTCGATGGAGCAGCGGTTGCAGAACATCCGGATGTGCAAGTGCTTGAAGGTATGGTGCTTGATGTGGTCCCTGAAGGAACGGGTGTAGTCGTTGCAACTGACGTTGCAGTCGCTGACGTTGCAGTTGCTGACGCTGTATCCACGGCAGTCGAGGTGGCATCAGGGCTGTTGAACGTCCAGTGTTGCCCTGGAGAATCCTGCGCTCTGAGTGTTGGTCGCAAACTCCCTTCATCAATGTCGAGATAAATGTCCGGGCCTGTAAAGTTGTTGCTGACCTTTACACTCCCATCGCTCTGTTTGTTGAGCAGCCAGTACTGTCCAGATCGCCGTTGTACGGCATAGAAGTGTAGGTCGATCGAATTGCTACCGTAGTAGTTGTCGACATCAAGCGCGTTGTAGTCGCCCTTCTGTACAGTGTGGAGCCGATAGTAGTCGTCGACGTCGGTTTCGGTGAAGTACCATAGACTGCTGTCGCCCGGACTGGATGATACTACGATGATGGATGCGTTGAGCGAAGTCGACGCCAGGGACTTTGACGAGCCGATCAATTCATTTGTAAAGACGTATTGCGCGGTCAGATTAACGTCCGCCATTGTGAAGTAATTTACAGGCAGTGTGAGAAGACAGTGTTTACTGAAGCGACCTAGGGAAGGCAAAGACTGATATCAAGAAATATTTTGTTTAGTGTTCGAAGCGAGACTTGAAATTCTAACAGTCTATAACTTCTAAGTATAAAGAAAGGGTTCTCGTCGCCAACGAGACCTGCAGACGGATGGGCGATGCAGCGGGTGCGCAGTAAAGGCCGAGGGCGCACCTAGCGTCCGCCACACGTTTGGCTCTTGTCACCTGCATGATATTGACTTTGAAAGGTTGCAGCAAGGTCACACAGGGCTGCGCGCTGCACACAGCCTGATGCGGCCTTGCTGCGGCTCGAAATTGGAGGACCAGGCTCAGCTCTGTTTGCGAATACGAACGAGTGGATGCGCAGTCCTCTTCGAGTCTCGAAAGGCTGACGCAAATTGAAAGCCACACGAACAAGAGGTTGACTTGGTTTCCTAGGCACACGGCTGTGATGATGCGCTGCGTACTAGGATATGTCTACTTCGGGCTGATGGGGGAAGATTCGAGAGCCCTTCAAACAAGTTAAGTGAAGCAAAAGCAAGAAGACATAGGTACTCAACAAGATCGGGAAATGTTTCATTGGACTCGACGTGCTATTGCTAATACTTAACAGCGCTTCTTGCTAGTTCCATGTCACTCCACCAGATGGAAGCCTCCAGGACGTCCCAATCCAACTCCAACACTAGCTTTATTGTAGCCTGGTAGGAGGTATCTGTGCCAAATTTTCGAATTCGGCCTGGTCGATTGCGCTCAAGCTGGATTTTCGACAAGTCGATGACCAGTTCGCATGCTAACTCAAGCTCTGCTTTGGAGTCAGTCACTATTTTGGAGCTTTGCCACTTTTCTTACCATCTTGCGCATTCCCAAAACGTGTCGGTCGTTCCTCCTCATTACTCGAGTTTCGAAAGATAGGCACCTTCAGCGTATCCTGTCTGAATTTTGTCAACTTCAGGTCAATGTCCTTTTCCACTCTGCGAGGCCCATCAGAGAGAATCAGGTCTCCTTTGTTCAGTAGCCAAATGAGCTGTGACCGGGCCTGAGCAGTCCCGTTGCGTTGGAATGCATCCTCATCGAGGTGATGCACTTTGTTGAAAAGCTCGTCCATGCAGATAGCATAACTATGCCGGCAAGAGTTCGTTCTCTTCAGATTCTGGGTACCCTTCTTCTCTATTCCACAGACTACTGCGCCTTGGACCACCGCTGTCCAAGACTCGTGTGGCCTTCGAAATTTCATCAGTAACCCCTCTTCCTTCAGTGTATCCTCTATTTGCCATTGTAAATATTCAGACTCTCCAAAACCTCCGACGAGAAACAGATTCTGTGTTCAACATCAGAGGCGTGCCAGACATGAAACGCAAGTCGTGCTTACTCTGGGACGACTACCTCGTAATTCGATTCTTCTGATGTGCTCCTTGATTAGCTTGACGATCTCAATGAGACAAGCATCAAAGAAGTTTTCCATTGCCTTTCTACCCGTTGTCAGTAATGGTCAGACTGGATACGTTTAGTCCTACCTCGGGATCGTGATCAATCCTTGATTAACTCTCCCGGGAATGTTGAGATCTTGCACCGGATCTGGCAATGTCAAACGGAGATCGCGAGAGTCCATGCCAAAATGCTTCTTCAGAGCATCGAACTTCTTCATGAGTGCTCTCATAGCCGGAGTTTCAGAGGCATGGGAGGCATTCTTTCCTATATCGAGATTGGGGTCGAGTTTTCGGTATTCCTCATCGCCGAGTAATAGTCGTATCCACTCCTTGAATTTTTGGTTGATGAAAATCGAGCCGCATTTCTCGCCTGTGGGCAATCCGACTTGATCAAGCTGAAGTGATGGATACAGTCGCTGAACTTGATAAGAGACTACATCTACTGTACCTCCCCCGGCATCGCACAATATGAAGTATTCCCGTTCCCTAAGAAACTCTTCCCGCTTCTCATCCCGATAGTAGCGTGCGGTGTACAGAGCTGCAGCCTCGGGTTCAGTGATGAACATCACCTCTTCTAGCTTCGGAAAGTTCAATTGGTTGAAGCCTGCTTTGGAGAGCGCTCGAAAGGTTGAGTTCATAGCCATGTAAGACCACTCAGTGGGCACTGTGACGACAATGTCCGTAGCGGTATGCTTCCTCAGCACACTGCCAAACTTTTCCACTTCTTGCTCTAGCCACTCGAAAACCTTTGTCAAGTAGTCTGTCACGATCGCCTCCGGACTCTTGTGGGAATATGGCGGGAGATCCTGGTTTCCTCTACTCATCATCATTGCATCGAAGTTGAGATCCATCATGCCGTCCAAAACCTGAAGGGTCATATCAAGCTCACCCAGTACATCCTGCAAACCTAGCTCAAGTTTTGTATGTACCATGGATACTGCGTCGGCACTGAGGTTACTCCCCCATTGTTGCTCCGTGGCCTGACTTGGTCGGGAGTATGAGATCACGCTCGGGACCTTGTCGTGATTGTCCATCTGCGGGCCCCAGTCGGTCATGACATCGATCTGGTCCAGAGCGCATTGCGCACCAGACGGAGTAGCATATGCTACGCCTGAATTTGGTTGTCAGCAAACATATATCAGTGTCCTTAACTCAGTTCTTACCAGTAAATGTGGTACCATAATCTAACCCAATTACCAGCCGAGTCTCCAGTACTTCTTGTCCCATGAATCCATCGCGCGTATACTCGCTTTCGTTTTGAGTCATAGAACTATGTTCAGTTGAGTTCATGGAAGCCATGTTGATTGTTCAAAGAATGACGGGGATAAGGCTCTGAACTGCATTTCTTTTGAGCAGCAACGTGCGAGGCTGGAACGAAAAAGGCTTCATGATTGACCCAGAAAGCCTGGAGGTAGCGAACTTGCGCTCGATTGCCCAGAATGTGATGGACACGTGCATGGCTGTGACTCCACGCATGCACTAGTGATGCAGGTAGGCGAGCTGATCTGATGGTGTGGGCACCAGGTGAAGCGAGGAGATCCGAGAATCAGCTCAGCCTTGGTAACTACATAACCACAGTAGATGTAAATCGCCTTATTTGGAGGAGATGAGCGGGGTAGTCAAGGCTGTTCTAGCCAGTAGTGTCCTGACGCGTGGTCAGAGTGATCGCGAGGGACAAGGCTGAGTCTCAGCCTTGCTGCACCAGCGCCGGTGGCGCTGGAAAGACTGACGGCGGAGATCGGAAAGACTTTATCTTCATTGAAACTATGTCGCCTCGAATATTAGGTTGGCAGGGGGGCGCTGTGCCGGATTTAGCAGCACAAGCACAAGGGCGGAAGAGCTTAGGCGCCATGCACACCCGATGCTAAACTAAACAGTTCATAATCACGATTGTCTGGGTCTTGACTAGGTGCATCAAAAGCTTGCCAAGAACAACAAGCTATCAATGGTACCCAACATCTGAGAATGGGTGGGTGAGCAGATAACTTCCAATCGTCGAACACTGATTGACCAGGCAAAGACGACGACATCACATCGAGGACATCACTGATTCCGCTTGAGAAGACACACAAAAAGATACGGAGGAAACGAAAGACAAAAAAAGCGAACAAGGAAGGCAATCATCAACACGTTGAAGTTGCCACATCGATGATTTCTGCCAAACAGGGCGCTACAGCTGCCTGGGCAAAGTTTCGCGGAAAACAGAGTAACAAGGATGCAAAAGTTGCAAACGCTTCTGACAACAACGGCGAGATACACATTTTTAATCCAACACATGAGGATGCGTTGTATGACCAAGCAGGAGCAGTAATCTGCAGCCCGATCTCAACTCCCATAGCTAATGCCGAGATTCGACGTCGCTCAGTTCAGTCAACGCCTACCACAACTCCATCCGAACTCGAAGCTCCTCCGCAAAACAACCACCCAGAGTACGAGCAGTCTGGACAAAGGACCCCAACGTGGCCTTCTACATCCTCGGATGACTTCATTGGAGGAAGTCCACACTCGCCAGAGTCAACGACAGCTCAAGCAGGAGTATATTCTGTCAGCACTGCTTACGCGGATTTTGAAGACCCGATCCATCGTGTAAGTCACATCTAATTATGGCTAAAATTACCACTGACGAGCCGAATCATAGGCCTCAGTTCATAAAGATAGCTTGTCGCAGCTAAATGGTATCAAAACGGCCCTCCTACAGTTATCTTCTGATTACTCTGAACTGCAATGCTCCAACGATCAATCCGTGGAGCAAGGTGTCATGCGACTTGTTGAGCATTACGGTGAGCTGGGTCGTACCCTGAAAGAGAGAAACAAATCTTTGAGCGCGAAACGAGCAAAATTGGACAGTTTCAGATCCTTGGAGGCTGGTCTGCTGAAAGCTCAAAATCAGCTGCAGACTTGCAGCAAGGCACTGCAGGATACAAGGCGAAACCTATCGATGGAGCAAAATAAAGTTTCAGAACTGCGGAGAGAACGCGATAGTCAGGTGGCTGCTCTGAATCAGAAGATTTCTGGGTTAGACTACCAAAACAGGGACCTCATTGCTAGTCACGGCAAACGGGCGAATGCTGAACGCGAAAATCTCCAACGAGAAAGAGATCGTCTCAAAGAGGAGTATGAGAGCCATCTACGCAAGGTTCAACACGATGCGGAGTTGGAGCGCAAGAATGCACAGAATCGTCATCAAGCAGCCCTGGATGAGCTACATATCCAGTTGATGACCGAGCGTTCGGAATGGGAGCAGAAGGAGAGAACACTGAAAGAGGAAGCAGAATCGCGCATAAGAGCAATAAGGGCAGATCTCAATAAGCAGCTATACCAAGCCGACGACAAATACGAGGAAATGATGAATCGCCATGAAGCTGAGGTCCTGTCGCTCAAACAAACGGTGGCAGAGGAGCAATCACGACAAGGAGAAGAGTTGCGAAGGCAAAAGGAAATACTTACTCAAAGGCACCAGGCAGAGAACCACCAACTTCGATCTGCAGCCGAAGAATTGAAGCTAGCATTTGTTGAAAGAGAACACTTCAAAGGCCTGAGAGATCGAGAACTTGCCGGAAAGTTTGGCAGACTCGCAAGCGAGGTGGAAGATCTGTCCGCATTGGAGTGGGACGATTCAAGACATTCGGGATGGCCCTTTTCGGACCATCAGCTTGGGCAGATACATTCCAAGAACAAAAGGATACTCAAGCAGCAGATTGTACAGAACTCCTTATGGGTCATACTTTTCCAACATATCTTCCGCTCCCCTTTCTTGGTTATGGGAGTAGAGGGGCAGAATTTGGACAGCGATTGGCTTCAGATTTACAGTTCAGGTAAGATTCACGACAAACATCTATCGAATCGCGTATACTAAGGTCCCAGACACTCTCGCCTTCCAATGGCCAGACATATCTGTAGAATTAGAAAAGCAACGCTATGAAAATGCGAGGTCATGTTTGGCTGCTATCGACACATCGGCGAAAGTAACGACAGAAAACCAGAGGCTCAAGAGAAGCTACGAGAGCTCGATTGGAAAGACCTTGGACAATCTTCAGCATGCTTTGCAAAAGGTTGCTCCACTTGGAGCAAAAGACCGCAAGGTGCTTGATGGTATCGTTCGACTATGCGCGAAGATCTGGCTGGAATGTTGCTCGCAGCGTTACAGACTGCTTGTAATCCTGCCAGATGGATATGATGATTATTTGATGTCAACCAAGAGGGAAACACCATCCCTGAAATTGGTAGTCAAACCAGAGCTTAAACGATTTGGGAACTCAAAAGGCGAGGACGTCTCCAACGGAGAAAATGTCACCGGCTGGCAGTGCATGGTGGTGAGTTACACAGTTAGTTGATTGGTACGAATTAGCGTAAGACTGTAGACGTATGAGTACGAGTATTATGTGCTACCCAACGCAAAAGAACGCCACAAAAGCCCTTGTATCGTAGTTTTGAATCCATGCATGCAGGGGGATGTGAAGTGATAGCTATGCATCCCGGAAATGTCCGCGCGAATGCCTATTTGGAGAGAGACCGAAAAAGCATGGTGTCATATGCACGCCTGTGAACGGATCGCGTTCCAGGCGCTCAAGTGGCACTCGTTCAAGCTGAGCTATTGAGCCTTGTGCGGGGATGCTGCGGTAATCCACTAGCCTTTGATACAGCCTTCCTTGCGCCTTGCTTGGCAAGCTTAGGATGATAGTTCCAGACTTTTGTCATGTCTGAGAGTTGCCGAATGATTGTCGTCACCGTAAGCAGATAAGTCTTTCTCAGACACACAACCTCCCAACTCGACAAGATCACCGCACTCGTTCACCTCAGTGTTTCAATCTTCCTCAACTTCCACCAGCCGCCCAACACCCATCTCAGCGTATTCCAGACGCTGAACTGTTGATCGCTTCTACAAATCGTAATCAGGCAAGTGGCGACGATATTAACCCCAAATAGTGACTAGTGTTCCACTACTTTAACCTTTGTCATCTGACTGACTGTTATTTACAGCACTCGATCATGCCGGGCCTCAGGAAATTGAAGAGCATGTTCAAGCTGCAAAGGCAATCTTATGCCGCACCACCACCCTTATCTTCAATCAGCGATGCAGAAGAACCTGCGGCACCCGCATTCCAACAACAGTCTCAGCATCAGCGCCAGGATGTACACCAAAGACCAGTCGATCCAACATTGCTTATCTCTGCTGAGAACATCAGAGAGCTGCGCGAACTCATTCGATATCGATATGCTCTGGACATCGAGATATGGCGCCAAAGGCGCGTGAAGAGTTTTAAACGGGGTAAACTCCAAGAGAACATGAGACGCTCGGACGCAGCTCTAGTAGCTATCAAAAAAACCCTGCTCGAATGGGACCGGAGAGAATACTTCACATCGGATGTGGAACACCAGAAGTTCAAAGAGATCAAGAGCCGACTTATGGGTGGCGTCAAAGCCCATTGGGAAAAGAACCCTCCGTGGGAATTTGTAAACATTGGAGGGGATCCTCACCTTGGACCTTACGAGATGTACGGTCAACCTGTCACTCTACCTGTACGACCCACGAATGGGACTCAACGACCCTTCGCTGAAGCTCCAAGCCCCATGGCTAGCGGTGGAAGAGTCGCATCAGGAACCCAACGACCAATGACCCAAACCCAGCGACCTATATCTGGTCAACAATGGCGAGGCCAGCCATCGTGGGATCGTACTTGATCGAGATTATTGAAGGAATTGTTGTTCTGCTTTCATAGTTTTGCTTAGGGTCAAGATTCTGAGTTATAATTGAGGATCCTACACGTAAATTCGATATTAATAATAGCGCAATCAGCAGCAATCAAAAATAGATGTCGTAACTCCTCGTCATTGTTCAGTATCTTGACTTGGTAACGACTTTTGTGGGACTCTCCACCTTGGGGCTTGAGATGTTCTGCACGTCGAACCGAGTACAACAACTTGCATCGCTGCCGAGACGCCCTTTTCATTTCCAAGGTCCAAGAAGAGACACAAAGCGTTGACTTGTGGGTTCATCCCGCGCAGTTTTTGGATTGTCATGTTAGTCTCCGATGGCACAAAGTCGCAGCAGGCGTTTCCTCAAGCATTGTAGTACTTGAATTGCGAAGGGGGTCGCGATTACCAAATACAGAATAGCAGCCTGCTTGGTATTGGTCGGTGAAAAGACCCCACAATTCAATCTACAAACTCACTGTCCAAGTACGTAGCTCTTGTTGTCCCGCTGCTTTCGCAGAATATTCCAAGCTCGGTAATGACATCGTAGACGCGGGGCTCGATGCAGCCCAGATTTATTGTGGATAGTGGCATCGAGATGCGGTGTACGTGTGTGTTGTTTGTTGGCGGAGGCGCGAACCCCGCGGCGCGGGGCAGGGGTTACTAGTATTGACCAATGGCCGTGCTGGGTCATGTCTTGTAACTTGGTTTAACCTTCCATGCCAACGTTCGATACCAAACATCCAATCGAGTGACGTCTGACGAGACCCCTCGATCGTCATGGCATCAAAACAACGCGTTCTGTTCTCTTCTTCTTATATCTCACTTTTCTCCTCTTCCTTTTCAAAGCTACAATTGCTCTTCCACAACCACCTATCTTCCACCTAGTTAACCCATCCATACACACATCATGGCATCCCTCGTTGATAGCTTGACGGCCTCTGGAGGTGCTGAATCCGTAGGTCAGACGCTCCCACCTTCAAGACGATATTGGTAATTATGGATTATAGCTAACATATGAGCAGGATTCCTCAACGATATCGTTGCCCAGCTATGGCCCAACATTAACATCGCCGGTTGCAGAATGACGAAAGAGATCGTTGAGCCAATCTTGGCCTCCACACTCCCAGGCCCGCTCTCTTCGATTCGTTTTGTCAAGCTCGACCTTGGCCCGGTACCAATACAACTCGCTAATGTGGACGTGCACAAGACCTCCACTGGTGGGATCAAGCTGGACCTGGACGTCATTTGGGAGGGACAGAGCGATATCGAGCTGGACGGCAACATGGTCCCCAAATTCGTAAGCTTCCATATTCTATGCGTCTCTGCCTGGCCATTAATTGATTTGATGGTAGGGTATAGAACACATTCATCTGAAGGGCAGGCTCTCAGTGTTGCTAGCTCCCTTGATGGATGTCATTCCCCTTGTAAGTGCTGTACCTATATGAGGATCGATATGCATTGCATGCTGACATGAAAGACAGATTGGAGCTGCGCAAATAGCCTTCATCAACCCTCCGGAGCTGAAGCTTGACTTCACCAATGCCGCCAACGTTGCCGACTGCTTCCTGGTCGAGAAGCTCGTTCGCAAGACTATTCTCGGCATCATCTCTTCAATGGCCGTCCTTCCTAACCGCTTCATGGTCAAGCTCGACGCCTCAAACGACTACTTCAAGACGTACCAACCTCACCTAGGCGTCCTCCGTCTGACCGTCCATCAAGCAGTCGGTATCAACGGCCCGCAGAAGAGTGGTGTCAAGAGATTCATCGGCAAGATCGTCAAGGACGTACCCGACTGTTACTGTCAAGTCAACGTCGGCGCTGAGGAAGCGTGGCGCACTTCGACTAAGAAGAATGATCACGACCCTGAGTGGAACGAGACACACGATTTCCTCGTCGCGGACTACGACCAAAACATCACACTTGATGTCAAGGATGATGACTTCGCCGGCGACGACGACATTGGCATCGGCGCCACCACCGTCAAGCAGATCCTGCTTGCCGGCGGCTCGCAGGAGGTGGGCCTCACCCATAATGGCGACCCGACAGATGCCCGGGTGACACTCCAAGCCCAGTTCTACAACTTTGTCACCGATCCTTCCGCCCTGTCAGCCGAGCATAGCCAAGGAGAAGGCCAAATCTGTGGCCTGGCCACGGTGCTGGTTGCCGGCGTTCTTGGACTACAGGGCCAACGCGATGAGCTACACCCCGGCGTCAAGGTGACATGGGGCGCGAAGGAGTTCAGTACTGCGGTCCAATCGTACACGCCAGGCACAGATATCTTCAACCCCTCTTTCGACCAGGCGTTCAAGATTCCGATCACGAGGGATATGGTGGCCAACCCAGCGAACTTCAAAATCTCGCTGATGAACCAGAAAAGCGAGACTGGAGCCGTCGAGATTCCTTTTGCGGATGTGCTCAATTCTCCTGAACTTGGCGTGGCGGGCAGTTTCGATGTTGGTTCTGGGGTGAGAGTCAGAGCCAGCATTTCTCTGCGTGGCTTGCAGTTGGCTCAGTAGACAGAACGGAATTGACGTAAATATCGTCTTGAGTCACATGACGTAGCAAGAGCTACGTAATACAAAAAGCTTCATGCTCCTTTTCTTGATATCAAGTTCGCAATCTTCCTCTTGACTTGCGAGAATGGTAGTGAATTTGTTCTAAACCGCCCAAGGAGCGGCAGTTTGGAAAGTGTGTGAAAGTCTTATGAGGCAGAGCTAGGTTATCCACTTACGTCTTCCAAACTGTTGATGTTCTCTTGTCTCATATTTCTGAGTAAACAGTCACGATTAGGCTGCAAAGGAAAGACCTGAAATCCTGCTCTCGTTATTGTCACTGATGCCACAAAATCACTGATCACAAGTCTTTTAGAAAACAGATGATACATTGCCAATCTGATTAGGACTACACTTTCGTCGACATTTTTCATCAATTGATGTATGATTTTCGCCAATACTTCCCTTTTACCATGTCATGACTACTCGTACCGAAACCTCAAACAAAGTGGCCGTCGCAATCGAAATTGCCGTTCGTCTTGAAATTGCACAAACTCTCCACACCTCCACCCGTGATATCAACGTCATTGATCGTGATGTTGCTGCAACTGGCCGATCCACAAAGAATGTAGTAATCCCTTCCTTTCTCCGTAGCAGTACCAGTCACATTTTTGATGGAGATATTTTGAATGATGACACCATTGGTTGGGTTGCCAGTCGGGCCGCCGTTCAGGTAATCTTGCTGGATGTCGATGCCATAGATGGAGATGTTCTCAACGCGGATGTTCTCGAAGATAATGTCGGAGATGAAACCAGTAGTGTTGGAGTTGGACTTGATGCGCGCGCCGTTCTCGGCATTGAGGACGACGGAGTTAAGGAAGGATATGTTGGTCACGTTGTTGTCTACGGGGAACGAATATTAGCTCTAGGTGCCAATTTTGGTGGAACATGGATCAACGTACTTGATTTTCCGCCTACAGAACCAATGGATAGGCCGTGGCTGCCGTTGCAGTACATGTTGCTAACTTCGATATTGTTTCCGCTGGTGACAGCTACGCAATCATCCTGGTTGATGACGGTGCTGTCGTAGAGCTTAGTGTCGTTGGTAGATCCAAAATCAAACCCTGGGGAATGTCAATACTGCCATCTCAGTAGAGTGTCATGTGCCTCGAAAGGCGCTTATGCGACCCAGGATGTGACGTACCATCACTGTTGTGTGAAGCGGGCAAGCCGTTGGACCGATTGTTAGGTGCATATCCGGCACTGTTGTTCAGTGTGATATGGTGAATATCGAGTCCAGCACTGTTGGAGACGCTGAAGCAGTGAACAGGGTAGTTTTGGATGTATATGTCGTGAACAGTGCTGGATCCAAGAACTTTGGTAAGTTCAATGAAGTGGTTAGGCCTATGTATGTTGTTAGCACCCATCTTTATATCAATTGAACTTGATCAGCTCACTTGGAAATACCGCCGTTGCTACCGAGACCATCCCACCATGACTGGCCATTGCCATCAAGAATAGCACCCTCTGCAGCGGTGATCTCAATGTTGGTGCCGCCAACCTTGATGAAAGGGTAGTTGGCGTCGAAGTACTCCCAGAACGTGGTACCTTTGAAGGTGACTTTGGTTCCAGTCTTCAATTTTGAAAGGTCAATGGTTGAGTTTCCGGGGACGGTAATGCCATCGAGGGTAATCGAAGTGCAGGCCGCTGTCGCAGCTGGAATTGCCGAATATGCGGTCACGTAGCACGCATCGGCAGGCACAATTGTCGCTGTGGGTGTGGTCACAGATGGTGTACTCGTGATTATAACCGAGGCAAGGTCTTTCGAAGAGCTTGACACCGCTGCTGTCGCTGATGGCGTACTCGTGGTTGTAACCGAGGCGATGTCTTTCGAAGAGCTTGACGCCGCTGCTGTCGCTGATGTGCTAGTAGGTATGGCGGTCGACGTGCCACTGTTCAAGCAAGTGCAAGCGCTCGAGATCTTTGCCGGAACCTTGGAATATTGTGCAGCAAATGCAGGTACCGTGTGAGTTGCACCCTTGGTGTAAGTGGAGCAAAATGGCTTCGCGACGACGGCGAAGAGCTGAAATAGCTCAAGGCAACTGTCTTTGGTACAAGTAGGTGCAGCACGCTCGTGCAAAACTGCAGCTTGGCCGACGCTGGCAAGGGCCAGTAGTGTTGAGATACCTATGAAGCAAAGGAATCAGAACGTGGACTCCTCTGTAAGGAAAGAAATTTAATACCAGTTGCTCGCATGTTGACAAGACGTAGATTTTCCGGCGAGCTTCGCTACGTGAATTCCAGAACTTTGAGAACCTGGGGAAACCTCAGGTGTCGAGACAGTTGACGGAATCGTCTAACCATCGACGTCTTGATCGACTCTTATACTCCCTCCCGATTCCAGGGTGTCTTGAGCGATATTCGCGCAAAGACCATGTAATTTGTGGCGAGGGGTCGCCATCCTGGCCCTTGGACGCAAGCATCCCAAGCACTATGGCGAGGACACAGTTCATCGGTCCATGGAAATACCTCGGCTGACCATGCCAAGCGCTTAAAGTAGCTAGCATTACTTTAGTTTTAAGACTACTAGAACTAGTTTAGAAAATCTTTAAAACAAGTTAAAATATAATAGAAGAAGATTTATTTTATTAATTCTACTAACTCTAACCTTAACTAACCTTAACCTTAACCTAACCCTAACCTCTAACTAACTCTAACCCTAATAAAACTAAAGTATTTTCTAAGTAAATAGTAGAATGTATTAGAAAGATCTTTAGAACTACTTTAGAACTTATTTAGAACAAGTTAGAAAACTTCTATACAAGTAAAATAGAAATATTATAAAATATCTCTAATATATTTAGAACATGTGTTACTAAAAGTTTATCTGTCTATGCTAACAGCTTTGGCAGGTGGCAATTACCTGTCTGCGTTAGTCTATGGACAGCCGAGGTATGTCCATGGACCGATGAACTGTTTCCTCCACTATGGCCAAGAGTAGTCAAGACACATCAAGGAAACGTCAAGATTTTAATTGCGACACGACAGAACCTCGGGAGACGGGGTTTAACCGGTAGCCTATCGGCGGCAGAGGATAGAGCCGCGCTCCGTTTAGTCGACGCATCAGGGTCAAATCGCTAGAAATTAGCAGTCCGGGGAGCCGCAATGGTTCGTGTGGAGAATGGGGTACGCTCGGAGGGTGTAAAGACGGAGAAATGAACTTCCGTCCACTAACTGTAATGAGTTGACGCCGCGTGTCGGTGTGAACACTAACAACTGCGCCGCAATTACGAAACACAACGTAATTTGCAGGCTAACTCTTGGCTGATGGCAAATACGAATTTAACAAAAATGTAATAAATAACTCAGTAACTTACAAGACTTAGTTACTGTTGCTCCAAAAACAATGCATGCACCCTGTTTAGGCAACTAAGACCTCGCTTACCAACCCTCATACAAAAATCTCGCTAAGCTGTCACGTTCGTCCTCCTTGTATTCCTTTATTTTCTCTTCTCTGTCCTTGAGCCTTCCGCACACCCCTCATCTTCGTCGATCGCCTCCAATGCATTCATATCATGGAAGCGTCTGCCTTGTATACAGAGGCCTGCCTCTCTATCATGCCTGATGTCTAACATCAATCGGATGGGAACCTCTTGCTCGGACCTACTACTGATACATTCTTTTTTGCAGATCGTCCCTTAAAGCCCTCGTCGAGTTGATATGTGTAAATCCGCCCGTCAATCAAGGCGGATCTGATAGAGGAAGGAGCCCGGAGTGTAAGCTCCACCACGACCAGTAGGACGATTGCAACTAGGAAGCTAACAACTTCGATAATACAAGGCGATGCCAAGACAAACGTATTTCTCGTCTTTTCGTTCAAAGTATGGCCATAAAACACTATTTCCTGGAACCTAGAAGTGGATATGGTCAATGACGTGAACTCTTGAGCGAATGTAGACTCCTGCTCAGGCGTTTATTCCCTATATCGGTCAATTAGTATGTTGTTAAAATGCACGAGTTCTCTCGATGCTCTCACACCCCATGGTCGTAAGATCAGTCAAAGTCCGTTGCAGATGTACCCCACTGTTTCCAGTGACCTTCACACTGTACCCTCGTGAACAACTATCCTCAATACGTTTATTTCGTCGAAAATATCTCTTCCTAACCTGTCTGCAGATCGCACCTCGTCACACAAAAGACTGCGATCAAGTTCTGAAAGGAATGGGTCTAGTTCATCAGATTTAGGAGGGAAAACTGGAAAGTTCAATTGTGCTTCTTGCATTCTCTCACGTTATACGCAGGATCTGATCCCCATGTTCTTCCCGGCTGTTGATTCAAACACTTCTCACTGAAAAGCCACCCGTTCAAATCCTACAATCCCAAGGTCTTCCAAGGTCAATGACAATTTTCCAAGCCTAGGGTGATTGAGGCCTCATCACAACAAGTCAAATCTATCCAGAACCCTCAATCCTGATCCAGAAATCGCCGTTCCCCTGCACATATGCTGCGCCGTGAATCCAAGTGCCTCTGTTATCTTTGACGGTGCAAGCATCCATAATCAACCCAGCCGAAACAGCAACGTTCTTACTGAGAAAGTATTAGTACCTGAAGCTCTGTTTCAACATTGAAGACCCCCCCGTTGTTCAGCAAGAAAGCAAACTAACTACTCACCATGGCGTTGAAGCTCCGAATCGGTTGGAAGTATGCGACCAGATTTGTGTGCTTCCACATTTCCGCAAGACTCTTCCGGCCTGGTCTGTCTTGCAGATTGAATCGAGCGCTGCAAGCTCGTTGATGCAGCGTGCTGCTTCTTCAACCTGAATGTCGTGAGTATGACATATAGAAGAATTGGGGGTTCAACACGTACATGAAATGAAAGGTAGCCGCCGGCGTTACAGTCGGGCTTTGCAGCTGTCAGGGAGACGGTGGCTAGGAGGGTCAACAAAGAAGCTGTAAATTGGACCATAGTGCTAGATCGTGATTGAAATCGACAAGAAATGTTGAAGTGATTATTGAGGGTGTAATAAGTGTTTAAAAACGACGTTGAGAAGGATGCTGAGTTCAAAAGGGTGTAAGATGCTGTTTAAATGTATCATTGTAGCTTCACTAGCGTATGCCCATCAATCGTCAAGTTACGCCCTGGAGCCTGAGGCTGGTTAGATCGGGTCAGCTTGACAGCGTGTCGACGTGCAGGTCCATCTTTAAACTTCGGTTCATGCTTGCACAGTGTCCTTTCATTGGCTGAGATTCCAAGGCGTAATGTGATAATTTATCGTCAGGCGCTTGCTTATGCGGCTATGCTACTCATGTTTATGATTAGCTTACTTACAATATACGAGGAGCTGGAGCTATGCACATATTTTCGCCCGATCCAGAGAATCGGAGTTCTGCGAAGTTTTGCGAGAGATGTGTTTCGCGATTGTACACCGTACGTTGCTCAAAATGGAACTTCTGCTTACACGCCAATGATTGGTAACTATTGTATTCACTGGGATATATTGTTGGTGTACTACTCTGGGCTGGGTAAAGTTTGCTGACTATCTTTTCGACAACTAACACCAAACGTACATAAGCCTCAATGATCAGCGTAACAAGAAGGACAAGCCAAGAGAGATAAAGTACTCAGCCCTTACCAGCTGAATCAAAGTCCAACCGTGCAGAGTACACAGCCAAGTAAGTCCCATATTTTTCCAAGGCATCCACAAAGGGCCGAGTAAGCATGAAGATTTGAACCACGCCCGTCAAGCCAAGAGGATGAGCTGAGGGAACTGAACCTGAGGCAGTAAACGGGATAACGCAACATGCCAAGTGCATATAATGAAGATAGTAATAATATACCATTTCTCTCTTTTCTTTACGTTTTCGTTGTCCTCTAGATATTCATCTGCACCATTGTCATTAGTGTTATCATTTAAGGTTTGCAGGCCCTCCTCAGGACGTGCTTCAGTACACTACGTACCTGCCTATTAAGGCGTCCGTCTCATCGTTGACAAGCGAATACGAGATACAGATGGTCACCACCAACAGGTCGCTTACTGCCAAGCTCTGGCCATCATGGCTCGACTGACCCGGCCCGACTACCAGTAGAGTTAACACATCCCAGCCGTCAAGATACCAAGTCCTCTTTGAGCCCACCGCCATCGACTAGATACACGAACCCGGCTAAGACCCCAGTCAACGAAGTCCCCCATCCCATCCTCTCCCCCCAATCCCGTAGAGTCACGTTCAATCACCCCTCCTTGGAACATAAGCTCAGGAAACATCCACCAGCGTCCCAAGACCGCTAGAAGTATGTCCCCGACCCAAACCCTGCCCATTGACCCAGTGACGTACACAAGAACGAGAGCAAACCCCCAACGTGTTGAGCTCCGTGCATCTATCTTCCATCCACCATATACCAAGATCCGAACCCTAACACCAGAGAATACTCACCCTTCGACAAGCGCCCGTCGTATTCTCCCCAAACCCTCTCCCTCTCCCGCTCAACAGCACAAGCTCTCTGTAAACGCACACAGAGCACAGCACAAGCACTACCTCCGACGCCCCAAGACCCAGTCACCCCAACACCATGAACATCAGACCATCGATACATGCGTAAACGAATCCCACGTGCGTGAACCCAACCACCAACCTCATCTGGGCATTCCCAGCTTCCAGCAATGTTCGTCAAACCCCATCGCAGACTCGACTCAATAGCAGGACTAATCACGAACTTACCTTGGGTGGTGTGTTGTAGTCTGTAATTTCGATTTTCACAAGTCCTGATTACTCGACTCGAGGATGCGTATATCTCTTGATTCACCCTCCCCGCTTGCACAGGACTTGGGATATGCAGTGTGAAGTTAGTAACGTGATGTCGACATAATACCGTAGCGTGTGATAGGCTGATCAGAATATGTGCTCGAACGACGATATGAAGCGCTGCAGGAAATGCCATAAGAGTTAGTAACCTCGCCTTGTCAATTAGTTCGTAACTTCCACCAACCCTAGCACCTGCTCAGCGGCGGTGTTGTTCGTAGAGATTCGTAGCCGAGTACGTACCTTGCTAGGGTTTCGCTTCCATTGATTAGGCCCTTCTACCATCTATGCCACATTTGTCGCCGCAGTATAACTCACCCCTCCCGTATGAATAATTATCCAATGTTGGAGGAATTCACTCCTATCCCGTATCACCGCTGCCCATCGTTCCAGTGACCATCCACCCAGGAGAGACGTTTCCAGTCCACTAACCAGTTATTCTCACGCGTACAAAAGCACGCCATAAGTACACCGAGACGAATACAACGCTGTTGCTGACAACCTAAATCGCAGTTCATCATTACACACCACCGCCCTCGCATCCGCAGGGCGGGACGCGAGGTCGAAGTCGAGGTCTAGAAGCGGATGAGAATCACTCATCCACAACATTCCACTCTATACAAGCCACAAATCACGCGTTCAAGTGCAAAAAAAAGAACATCAGTCCACAAAGTATCTCCATTACGATCCATCCATCCATCTCATCTCATGAGTCAAACCTCCTCATATATCAAGAAAAGAAGAAGAAAAGAAGAAAAAGAATCAGCAAGTCTATTCATACAAGAAGCGAATCGAAAAACCCCTCTTCACCAGCACCAGCACCACTACCACCAGCCTCCCATACAATCTCCCTGCATATCCCCAAAAGCACAGCACCCACGCATTCATCGTAAACCGCGCCATACCAGCGCACGAACAGAAACAGAAACAGAAACAAACAACGCCAAGCCATGCAATTACACCGCCCGATCCGGGTTGGAAAACAAAAACGCCGCGAGATGGGGGTGAAGAAAGCGAACAGATACACCAATTTTTGTGGGAAATGGCGACGATGTTGTGTGCGTGCCGGGGGAATCAAGGGGATGAAGGGGATTGTGTTGGATTGTGTTGGGGACTAAGGAAGTGGCGAGTACAGCCGTAATGGTGCGAAGTAGGAGATGGACGGGCGATCAGCCGGGTAGGTAGAAAGTGGAATATGTGACGACGGCGCGTACACTGTGTATAGAAGAAAGGCGGATCTCTTCTCAGCAGCTCACGACGAAGGAATCGACTCGTCGTACTTTGTTGAGAACTCCTGCGCGACCTCGGGACTCTTGAGCATGAAGCACACCTGTGTCAAGCCGCCTTCGTCTCCGGGCTTAGTCGCCTTGACCATCTTCTTGCTGCTCCCCGTGAGCATGGTGCGGAGCGCGGGCAGGATTTGGTAGTTGAGGCGGGTAGCGCCGCTGGCGATGCGGAGCCTGATTAGGCTCTTGCCCGTTGTCTTGTCCTTGAGGATCCAGAGGCGGCCTTTGGCGATGTTCTCCCACTCTTTGCCCTCGCCACGGTCGACGAGCTGCTTGACCAATGCGCTCTCGCTGAAGAAGACGATATCGTTGGAACTCTTCTCTTCTTCGGTGAGTTCCGAGAGGTCGACTTGCTCCTGCTTGCCGCCCTCTTCATCGTCGTCAGTTGCCGAGGCAGCATTTGTATCGGCTTCGGACAAAGGTGTTGCGGCGCGCGACGAGAAGACAGAGCTAGGCCCGGACTGGGCGGCGTTTGGCGCAAGTAAAGACGAGCCAGTGCCTGCCGAACCAAAACTGAAAAGAGAAGCAGGCGGCGGCTTCGACGGCGTTGTCGAAGTAGTAGACGAGAATGAGAAAGTCGGAGCTGCCTTCTTCTCCGTAGCTGCTACATCTCCAAACTTGATCGGAGTGCCCATTTTGAAAGTCTGATCACCGGCAAATGTATCCGACTTAGGCGGTGCGGTTTTAGAGCCAGCTGCTCCAAAATCAAAGAAAGTGAACGGCTTGTTCGTGGGTGTTTGAGTACCATTGGCTTGGCCAAACAGAGGAGGAGAGCTTTCGTTCTCCTTCTCAGATCCAGCCTCAACCTCACCACCTTTGCTCATCCGAGATAGCAGACTGTTCTTTGTCCCGGCCGGTTGCTGTTTGCCTGTCTCCTCAGACTCAGTCTCAGACTCGCCGAATGTACGTGGGGTCGTTGGTTCGACGGATCCTACCAGCTGATCGGGCTGAGACTTTCCTGTCCCTTGCTCTTCATCGTCTTCATCAGACTCGTCTGCGCCATTGATTGAAGACGGCCCGGATGACAAGTGACCAAAAATATTGGCCGAGGGAGCCTTCACAGCGCTAGGTGCGTTGAATACAGACAGACCGCTCGACGTGGACGGGGCTGGGCTACCGGTTCTGGAACCAAACAGTTGTGCGGTCGGAGCACTGCTCGTAGACTTGGCGAGACCAGCAAACGGATTTGAAGCAGGCACTGCAGCATCCGAGGGCTTAGCAGAAGTGCCTACCGACTTTCCAAGAGCAGCGAATGGGTTCGAAGCAGGAGGCTTGGAGACAGGCGTAGTGCTGCCAGCGGGTTCGGCGGGTGTGCTTGCTGGCTTGGCGAGACTTGCAAATGGGTTCGAGGCAGGCGGTTTCGCAGCGGGCGTCGCATTGCTAGCAACTTTGGCGGCGGGAACACTAAACCCGGGAGCAGCTGCCATCTTTGCCTTCTCTTCCTCAAGCCGCTTGGCCTCTTTCGCATCCCAGCGAGCGTTCCACTCTGCCTTCGTCTCGTCATCTGAGTCGTAGTCTTCATCAAACTCCTTCTTCTTACGTTCCGCTGCAAGCTCTTCGTAGGTTTTTGCCGTCTTCGCAAACTGGCCCAGGAAGCTGCCACCCCCACCAGCAGAACTGCTGCCGAAGCTGGGAGTAAAGCCGCTTGGCTTAAAACCACCCGGGGCGGATGACGTGCTCGGAGTAAAACCGCTTGGTTTGAAACCACCCGAAGAGGATGCTGCGCTTGTTCCGTTGGTCGCAGGGAACGAAGGAGTGAAACCTGTAGCTGGAGCGGCGGCCTTGACGGGCTCGGGGGCAACAGCCTTTGCAGGTTCGGGGGCAGCGGCCTTCGCAGGTTCAGGAGCAGACTTCTGAGGCGTCTTGGGTGTGGCAAGACTGCTCGATTCTGCTGTGGAGCTCTTATTATCGATGGCCCGAGCAAACAGGTTCGATGTCGTCGTCGCCGGCGGGTTCAACCGAGGCGTCGATGCTGAAGGCTGCGGGGTTGGCGATGAAGGTGTGACACCACCACGTGCCCTCTTCGAAGATGGATCCCGGCTTTCGGGGCTCCCGTCGTTCACCTTGCGCTTTGTGGACAAGGCCGACTCGTACCCAGTGACACCATTGGCAGATGCACGTTGCTTCTTTGCGACGTCGATCTTCCTCTTTATTGTTGTAGATGTCTGGTGATGCCAGAGCGACAAGGCTGAGAGGTCGGCTCCCATGTCGATAGTGTTCATTCTGTCTCGGTATTGCAAGTTCAGGGCTCGCAGCTGTGAGCTCAAATCAACAACAATCTTGTACAGGACGGACCCCTTCTGGGAAGGCTCGACGCTGGGCACGGCCCAATCTTTGGGAACCTGTGCCTTGGGGATCTTCGGTAACTCGGGTGCTGCTGCGGTTGACGATGCTGAGGTGCCTGTAAGTGCGGGCATAGTTGCCGCTGGAGGTGCTGGGGCTTGTTCTTTGGGAGTGTTGAAAAAGTTTTGTCGATCCCCCGACGCAGTGGGGAGGCTGGCAAAAGGATTGGATGCTTCTTTTGTAGCAGATTGTTGTACAGTCGCCTCTGTTGGTTCTTCTGTTGGCGTCGTTGACTGCGGCATGAAAAGCGAAGACGATGGCTGCGTGTTGAACAAGTTGGCCGAGTTGTGGCTCTCGGGTTGAAATGGCTGAGAGAACATGCCAGTGCTGGCTTTGGGCTGCGCGGTGAAGAGACCTGCTTGGGGCTTCTCGCTATCCGCCGCCTTTTTGGGCTGCGGTGTGCTGAAGCCACCGAAAATGTTCGCCTTTGGTGCTTCGAACGCTTTGAAAGTCGCATCAGGCGCCTTCTCCGCAGTTTCGGATGGCTTGTCCTGGTTCTGAGACGCCGCAAAGAAGTTGAAGCCGGAGCTGCTTGCCAGTGGCGTCGCAGCTGGGTTGCTGATTGGTGCCCCCAACGACGCGAACAGATTGGGCTTGGGTGCTTCTGGGGTTGCGATGCTATTTTGATCTGCAGGCTTGATGCTGCTGAACAAGCCGTTCGGGGTGGCGGACGCCTGGGGAGTCTGTTGTGTTGAGCCGAACTGGAAGGGTGTGGAGGCAGGGGTCGCCGCCGGCTGTAGGTTCGCGAATGGGTTGGCAGCAGCCGCAGGGGCGGGAGTGCTCGCGGTCTGAGCAGCCGAGCTGATGGAGCCAAAGAAGGTAGGCGGTGGCGCGGCAGTCGTTGCGCTCTCGCTCTTTTGCGCAGGGGTGCCGAAGGTGAACAGACCCGCCGAGGGTGCGGCTGGCGTGGCGGTCTCTGCTGGTTGTGTACTCGCACCGAAGCCTCCAAACGTCATCTTCTGCGGTGTAGCTGTTGCACCCTCGCTCTTCTGCACGTCCGCCCCAAACCCACTGAACAGTGAGTTCTGTACAGGCGCTGCCGAGGTCTGTGTCGAGGCGCCGAACCCGAACATGCTGCTGGTTGCGGGGGTGCTCGCCGTGTTCTGCGCGGACGAGCTTGCGGCGCCAAAGGTGAACGGCTGGGATGCTGGAGCTGGCGTGCTCGTGATAGCCGGCGCGGAAGACGTGATCCCCCCAAACATGCTGGGCTGAGACGCGCCGCCTGCGGTTCCAAACATGCCGCCTGATGATCCCGAGCTTGTCGTGTTGTTCTGCGACAGTCCCCCAAATGGATTGCCCGCCGGCTGCGACTGGCTGAACATGCCGCCACCAAAGGCTGGTACAGCCCCGCTGCCGTTCATCATGGGTGCAGCGCTCGCCGCGAAGGGGTTGCTCGCGCCTGCACTCGGGCCCGCGGTGAAGCTGAAGCCGCCTGCTGCGGACGATGGCGTGGGGTCGAAGCCTAAGCCTGTGCCTTGACCGCTGCCGCCGAATGCTGGGAAGGACGAGTTGGCGAACGAGTTGGTGGGCGCGGCTGGCTGCGCGGGCGGGAAGCTGTTCGTCGCGGCGCCGCCAAATGCGTTGCTCGCGCCAAAGTTGAACGCGCCTGCATTATTGGCGCCGGCGTTGGCGTTGTTGTTGGATGCAGGTGCCGGTGCAGAGGCTCCAAAGTTGAAGCCCGACGGCTGCGGCGCACCGAAGTTGGCGCTCTGTGACAGATTCTGCGGAGGCGCGTTAGCATGCTGCTGGTGATGTCTGCGGCGTATCTCGCGGCGTCCCGTGACGCTGTATCTGCTCGACGATGACATGTCGCGGGTTGCAGCAGTTGACAGGCGCGTCGTGGACGCTGCGGGTCGCGGTGAAAGGAGTACTCACGGGCGAGGTTCCTGCTGGGCGGCGCGCTTTCACACTCTTGATCCTATGAGGCAAACACGTCAGCTGCTGACACTCCCAACGCGCCTTCTGGCAGGGTGGAGATGCATCGAGCTCTCGAGGGGAAAGGGCTGCTCACTTGCGCGTTGCCAGTTGTGCAGCCGTAGCCCGCGTTGGCACGTCTTCAGGGCCAGAATCACGCTCTTCGTAGGGCCGCTCTGGCCGTCCCTGCCCGAAAGTGTTTTGGCGTTTTCCAGACATGGTTGCGCCGGGTCGAGTTGGCGTGCGGCGATGGAGATGTGCTGGGGGTCAAGAAATTATGTTGACGTTCGGGCTTTGTAAAGGGAGCGCCCGTGCGTCAGCAGTCAGCATTCTGCGGTCATCTCGACATCCCAGCAACGACACCACCTTCACTGCACGACGGCAACGCTGCATTCTGCCGGTCCATGGATGGAGATGCTCTGTGGAGTTTGCTGTCGAAACAACTTTGCAGCAGGCCCAGTCGACCTGTTGAACAGCTTGTTCTTGCTCTTCTCCTGCTACTCCTGAAATGTTTTCTCACGTCACCAACCATCAAGCTCACACTTGCTTCTTCTGGCAGGACTGCAGGTTTGTCGGGTCGTGTCAGGTGGTGTGGTGCCTGTGGAAGCGAACAATTCTTCGCCTATCAAGGCCTTCAAGACATTCAGAGCCCGACCAGACGTGTCGCTTGCCAACTGTAACGAATTCACAACATCATGGCCTCTTGAAACAGCAAAGTGAAACGAGGGCGTATTCTTCAAAGAATAACAACAGTACACTGCGCAGGAGAGCTTGATCTCGCAGACACGGCCAAATGTGTGTGTGTGGCTTTGATTGGATCTGATGGTTCCTATGTCGTTTGTTGTGTTTTGTATGGCCACTGTAAACACCTCTGACTGCACCAGTCTTTGGGCCACTGCAGACTCGAAGCCTCGAGGTGACTCAGAATCAGTCGTCTCCAAGCTATTCGCACCATCCTCCACCACGTCAGCTGGTTCTCCATGCCAGCACAAGCCACAACTCATCGTTCGATACCAGCCCACGATATATGACGTATGCCATGGGAGACGATGGTTAGTGAGAAGTACTGACAATTAATGGATGGCTAGCGAGTAGTGCTGGATGGCTAGCGGGCAGTTGTATGGCGCTGGGCGTGAAAAAACACATCCAACTATGACTTGCATGATCGAAAACGTGGAACATGTCGTAATTGGGCGGCGTGGGGTAATAACTCTCACCTAGCCAGCCGATCGCCCTCGTCAAGAGCTTGTTCCTGGGGTGCGGAGCGCGCCTGCCGTATTAGAAGTACCCAAACTAAGGCGGGGTGGGTCGCTGATCAACAGCCGCTCCCATCGCGATCAACAGCCGATGGTCAAAGAATCGAAGCGGCGGGCTAACAAAGCCTCGTCGAATGACACGTGCAGACCACAGTCACAGCAAGAAAGTGCTGCGGTCAGAGATGATACGGAGAGGGCCAATCCCGACCGTCATAAACCAATTGCGGGCGCGTTGCTGTGCCACTGATTGCGCGGAATTCATCCTCTTCTGCTGCATGCCATACCAGGCCGATGGCGAAAGAACGCGCGTGTGCAAATCAACTTGTAAGAGCAGCGAGCGCAGCCGTACGGTCAAAGGAACGCTTGTCCGGCGCTCCGGCTGACGCTGCCCATTCGCCTTCGTATCATGCTCACGGGATGAGCTATGGATCTTATCGGTGTTCCAAATTCCATGCATTCCCCTCACTTGTCTTGCCGCGCCCACGCCGTGAGGCATATAAGCACCTGGTAGCCGCCCGCGGTGAGGCTCAAATCGCGGTCCCATCGATTACACTGCGATCGCCGTGTGTTGAGACAGCGAACGAACCACCCGCACTCGGACCAGACCAGCTTCGCATCCTTTGGCACGAACCTAGCGCCAATCTCTCAAAGTCATGTTGGCTTGGTGATGGTCCACCGTCCTTTCCCTACTTACACCTGGACATGCCTCTGCAATAGCATCCTCACCCGCTGAAGATGCCGTCGTCCAGGGCGCATGCGCGTCTTCACAAACGCGCCTACTCCGCCTCGTCAGCAACCAGCCCGCTGAGCCCTGTTGCTGACCATGGAGTCTTCACCTTTAATCGCTCCGAGACGCCCAAGGTCACATACGAGGAGCCTTGGACAGAAACATCACCACGATCCATGGCGCCCTCGCACCCGCTCAAGATCAAGCCGTATCTGCGGAAGCTGTCGTCGTCCAAAGACAGCACTGGCCTGGACCTCTCGCGACCTGCCGAGGAGAACGACAGATTGGCCGGCCTAGGCATTTCCGAATACGGAGGCTACACGCCATCCGTAACAGATGTCACCTTCACCACAATAAACAATGGCCGCCATCGACACAGCCGCTCCATGTCTAACAACTCGCAATACTCCAGCTCGTCGGGCCTGCAGAGGCCGACACCGTTACCGCTCATTCGCCAAACCCCACAACCGTACACACCGCCCATAGCCAGGTCATCACCGCCATCTGTCCTGGGGAATGACAACGAGGTCCATGACATCATGTCCGACGAGGAGTTCAGCCAGCGGCAAAGCGCCTTCGACCCGTCGCGTCGATCTGATTCGCTCTCCTCAGTCCCAGGCCTCCGTATCAACACCAACAACTCCTGCACACGTCTCGCCGCCAGCTACTCGCAGTCGTCGGTCTCTCTCACCTCACCCGTCGCGCCCTCACGGTCGAGAGGAGCCACCCTGCAGTCCGTCGACACCACCACCTCGCCCAGCTCACGAACCTCGCTCGACCATGTATCGAGCTTCATTCGTGGCAGCCGCGACGCGCCTATAGACGCTGCCTCGCGTGCTGCCTCCATCCGCGCCGAGCGACAAAAGTTCCAAGAGAAGGAACAGCTCAAGGAGCGCAAATACGAGCAGGAAGCACATAGGCAGGCGGAGCGCAACTACCGAAAACTACTCAAAAAGGACGAGTTCCAGCGTCGCCAGTCGGAAACGCACGACAGGAGCGACTTCACGCGCTCGCGCAGTATCTCAGACGCCCAAAACGAGAAGGCACCAAGACCGTCAGTCGGCGGGCGCCAGTACTCGGACCATCGCCATGCACATGTCAATTCGCTTCCTAACGTTGTCTCGACAGTCGACCTGGAGAAGCAGAGTGGCGTGGTGCCAAAGGTGACCAAGAGCCGCGCGGCCAAGGGGCGGTGGCTGAGGTTTGTAACCTGGTTCAAGACGAGATTGCTGCGCATGAGCCGGAAGTAAGCTATCATGACCTAGCCATTACCACACGGATAAGGCGCATTGCAGCCTCGTCGTCTGCAATGCTTGCCGATCGTTGGATGGCTTGCATTGGTTCACTCACACCTCACCTATGAGCAACCCCCGCGTCGCCCTGCAGCCAGCTAGATGGTCGGCTGCTTCCCCCTCACCCTATCACGACCACTTTTGCTTCATTATATCCCCGTTTCATCATCATTCCAGCACGGCGTTTGGTTGCTAGCTACGGCTTTTTTTTACGATCCATGCGGTATATTTTTACGCTGCATATCATGCGAATCATCTTTTCATGGGAGGGGGCTTAGCATGGGATTCTAGGCGCATTTGGGAAGTTATGGCTGTGCACTTCCCCCCGAACACGATATACCTGGCTACCCATTACTCTGGGAGTAGGGCCTGAACTGCATCGCGTTGATCTTTTGCTTTTGGTTCTCGATATATACGAAGTACTGCGGCGCGTTGGTTAGGTCTTTGCTCTGGCGGAGTGCCATTGAGCTGCAATTGCATATTTTATTCCTCGTATCATGCTGCGATTGTGTTGAATTTGTGTGATGCGTGATTTGATAGCTGATGTACTTCACGACGTGCATCGACAGGGAGTTCATGCTGCTGCCATGTTGAATTACTTCAAGTCCAATACAATTGCACTGCCCGACTGACCAACACCCATCTTCAACACCCTCGCATCAAAGAAAGTCAAGGCAATTGATAAGCCGACACACTTTATCATCCAAGACCCATATAATATTAACTCCTCACAGGCCGACTCGGACTTCCGAAAAACACGCTAAAATTGCGCGACATCGCGCCTCAAAGTTCATCCACAAAGCTTCCCCGCACGGGACACGCACAACAATGCGCAACGCCCTCACATGACCGCAATGTTATCAAGAAGCGCCACCAGGGCCTCGTTTGCCTTGCGGAGCAGTAGCCGGGGAAGCACGATACAGCTAGGGCGCATTACACAGCGGAGATGGGCAAGCGACCAGAAACCCGTGGACGATGGGGACCGCCCGTTTTACTTGCAGCTGCACGAGAGCATCTACGAGCGCGTGCAGAAAGAGAAGGCGGAGCAGATTAAGATTCAGTCGTTGCAGCATCGGACGGCGCGGGGCCAGTTCTTTGCGACGCTTGTTGGTATTGCAGAACTTGCGACAAGTTTGGTGGATGATGCGCTGACGGAATGGAACAGCTTGTCTGCTCACGGCCAGTTTGGGCTATTACTATGGCGTTATGACGCCTCAGAAGCCGGATACTAGGTCGACTGCTCCCCTCGAGACGTTCGTCCCGCCCAAGCATAATATCTCAGAGGCGAATATGGAGGCCGCGTGGATTGATCTGCGCGATATCGTGGGCAAGGAGAACATCACGCTCGACCCGCACGATCTGGAGTCGCATAGTGGATCGTCGTGGTCGTCGCATCCCGCCGAGCCGGGCGACGTGCCGTTCTGCATCGTCAAGCCCGGGAGCACACAAGACGTCAGCGCCATCATGAAAGTGTGCCACGAGCGCAAGATCCCCGTCACGCCGTACAGTGGCGGAACGAGTCTGGAGGGCCACTTCGCCGCGACAAAGGGCGGGATATGCATCGACTTCAGCCGCATGGACCGCATCCTCAAGCTGCACAAGGCCGACCTCGACGTCGTGGTCCAGCCCGCTGTCGGCTGGGAAACGCTCAACGAGGAGCTGGCGAAGGATAACCTTTTCTTCCCGCCCGATCCCGGCCCAGGCGCCATGATCGGCGGCATGGTCGGCACTGGCTGCTCAGGCACAAACGCCTACCGCTACGGCACAATGAAAGACTGGGTGCTCTCCCTAACCGTCGTACTCGCCGACGGGACAGTGATAAAAACGCGCCAGCGCCCGCGCAAATCCTCCGCCGGCTACGACCTAACGCGCATGTTCATCGGCAGCGAAGGCACACTGGGCCTCGTCACCGAAGCAACCCTAAAAGTCACCGTCAAACCCCAAGCCACCAGCGTAGCCGTCTGCGCATTCCCCAGCGTGCGCGCCGCCGCCGACTGCGTGAGCAGCGTCGTCAGCGCGGGGGTCCCCATCGCCGCCATCGAGATCCTCGACGACGTGCAAATGCAATGCATCAACGACGCGGGCCAGACACACAAGACATGGGAAGCGGCACCGACGCTGTTCTTCAAGTTCTCCGGCACCGCCGGCTCCGTTAAGGAGCAGATTAGCCAGGTTCAACGCCTGGCTAAGCAGAGCGGGAGTGTGAGCTTCCAGTTCGCGAAGTCAGAGCAGGAGAAGCTGGATCTGTGGCAGGCGCGGAAAGAAGCGCTGTGGAGCGTTATGGCGAAGAGCGAGGGGAGGGATGATATGGGTGTTTGGACTACGGATGTGGCGGTGCCGATCTCCTATTTGCCGCAGATTATTGAGGAGACGAAGGCGGAGATTAGTAAGAGTGGCCTTTTGGGCAGTATCGTGGGGCATGTCGGGGACGGGAACTTTCACTGTATGTTTATCCCCCCCCCTTTTTTCCCATTATAGATGATGGTTAAACTAACACCGTAAAAGCAATCATCCTATACAACCGCAATACCGAGCACGCAAAAGCCAAGCTCCTCGTCCACGACATGGTCAAGCGCGCCATTGAGCTCGAGGGTACGGCTACGGGCGAACATGGCGTCGGGCTTGTGAAGAGGGATTATCTACCGCATGAATTGGGCACCGAGACGGTCGATGCGATGCGGCAGCTGAAGAAGGCGTTTGATCCGCTGTGTTTGCTGAATTGCGATAAGGTTGTTCGCGCGAGTTTGCCGGGGAAGGGCGAGGTGGGGGAGTGGTAGGTGGGGTGTTGTGGGGTGTGTATGTTAGGAGTGTATGAATGTTGATGCGGAGGGTGAGTTGGGCGGGTATGATGTGACATGATATGATATGCTGTTATATGACCTGATACGACGCAAGGAAAGCAGATAGAAGCCAGAAACAAAACAGTACAGTACAGTACATGTTACAAACTCTCTACACAACAACGCTAAACGCAGAACCAAATACAATCTCTCTTCCCCCCCTTCACTTCCCCCTCCCCTCCCCTTTCCATCTCATCCCATCCCACCTCACTCCAACACCCTACTCTCCCCATTCCCCAAAACCTCAAACCCCGTCCCCATCTCCAGTTCCCCCCCACCCCCCACCTCCCTAAGCGCCTCCCCCAGCGTCCACACCCTCCGCCTCAAAAACCACGACACCAGCCCTCCCCCCTTCTTAACCTCATCATGCGTCGCCACCCAATACCGCGCCCTCAGCACCCTCTGCGCCAGCACGCCATTCATCGCACCGAGATTAAGCTGCTGCGCCGCGGAAATACTCACATCGTGCAGGCCGTGCAAAAACGCGAGGGTGCGGAGCGGGGGGTCAGCCGTCGCGATGGGGGATAAGGCGGTGTGCGGCAGGCCGTGCGGCGTGTAGAGGATGCATTCTGCGGATTCGTCGGGGTCGGGGGGGTGCGGGGCGTCGCCGTGGATGTGTAGTGAGGAGCGTTTCTTTGGGGTGGGGGGGAGGAGGGGGTGTGTTGAGAAGGTTATTAGGAGGGCGGAGTGCAGGTATAATGGGTCTTTTTGGGCGGTCAGGCGCGTTATGCTGAGCCAGGAGGGGAGGGGGAGGAGCGAGAAGTCGTGCCAGTCTGCGTGGGTGGGGAGGGTGGGGATGGGGATTACGCTGCGGAAGTGCGTCCAGGAGGAGATTAGGCGCGCTGCTTCCTTTTCCTTTCGTCAGCTTGATGTGGATTGTGTATATGGTGGGGTATGGGGACGTACTTCCGTCGCGAAAACCGGCACATTAGGATGAACCTCCACCAGCGTCTCCCTATGGCAGTGATCCGTAAACTCATGGCTAACAGCCACAGCATCAATCAGCGTCTCCTCCTCCACCCCATCTTCACACCCGTGCCCGCCGCTCTTCCTGCCCCCAACACCAAACCTCAATCCCCCAGCGAGCACCTCAACCTGCCTTGCCAGTTCATCCACATCCCTCACGCTCTGCACCGCGCTCCTCGTAGCATGCCACTGCTGGCTAAACCACCGCGCTACATCGCTCTGCGCCCCGACAAACCACGGGTCGATCAGGATGTTGAAGTAGATGCGGCTGCCGTGTTTTACGGCGTTGGCGGGACGTGGGATTTGTAGTAGCCAGGATGTGTCTGCGTTGAGGTGGTGGAGGATTGGGCGGTGGGTGGCGAAGGCGCGGACTACGGCGTCGCGGATTTCGAGGTGCAGTTGTGTTGAGGGCGCATCGTCGGCGTCGAAGGCGTGGTTTGCGGGCATTTTTGTGTGGTGGAGGGTTGGGGCATGACGCGTTGATGGGAAAAGTTGGGGAGACGCGTTGGGGGGCGTGCGTTGCGTCGATGATGCAAGGATTCGACGCCACAGCCGCGGTCGTGTGGAGGGGTGTTTGACAAGGGGTTTTGGATTCGAGATGTGTTTTTGACATGTGTTTGTTTATTTCAATGTTGACGGACGCAGACTTCATTTGACAGCTACATGGACGTCTACACCAGCGGTTGAGACTAACGGATAAACTATGTATTCGTCAACTCCCTCCATCAATGGAATTCAGAGCTCCAACAGTTCAAGACGCGACAACCTCAGTCATCAAATCCGCAGGCCACCTCGGTTCATCCACGCCATTTCCTCTCGTCCCAACGTTATACTTCAACTTCACCTTGCCCCCCGGGTACTGAATAACAGGCTTTGTACATGCAACATCCACGCCAATGGCGCCAGAATATCGCTTCTCGAAGAACTCCGGCTTGAGCAACACATCCGACGCATTCGCCTTGATCATCTGCAGAAACCGACCAAGCGTGTAGGTCATGTTGTGGTAGTGGCGGAAAACCTGCCGTCCGTTGCGTGTCCAGACGTCGTCCCAGACCGCCGGGGGATAGACGCCTACGCTGTTCACAAGCCAGGTGGAGTAGTAGTTGAGAGCGACCTAGCACGGCGGGGTCAGTCCAAGTATTTTTGACACTGTAGGGGAAATGACTTACATCGACTTTATACGAGCCGCCCCTCTCTCCTCTCCGCAGGATAGCGTTGAGCACGGCAATCACACCCGCCATTCCAGTGCAGAAATCCGAGTTGGGGAATACAGGTGTGACAGGCTCGTCGTTGCCCATCGCCCTGCCGAATTCCATGGATACGCCGCAGTTTGCATCGCTGATTTGCTGCCAGCCACTGCGGTACGACCACGGCCCATTCCAGCCGTAGCAGTTCTCGCGAACGACAATCAAGCCTCGCTCGCGGTCTTTGGTGAGGTCGAGCAGCCCGTCGAGAGAGAAGCCGTATTTGTCCAGCACCCCTGGTCGGTAGCCTTGCACGACTACATCTGCGTCGCGGATGAGAGTCCGCAGCTTCTCGCGGTCCTCCTCCTGCCGGAAGTCGAGATGCGCGTTCCATTTTCCCCAGTTTAGGTCGAGGTGTAGCATTGACATGTCGGTGATGTGTGGGGCAGTCACTCTCATGACGCTCGCGCCCAGCTCTGCTAGTCCGCGGGTTATGGCAGGTGCGGCGATTACCCTGGTCAGGTCGACGACTTTGAGTCCAGCGAGTGGTCGCGATGCGGATGTCTCGGGGCTGTCGGGCCACCAGCATGCGGTCTGCTTGCTATTCTCGACATTGTGGATCTCGTAGAGGCCGATATGAGCATTTGCCTTTCCATGCTCACTCTTCTTGAACTCCTCGGTCGTCCAGCATATCGTCCCAGCTTGCTTGTAGACATCCGAAGCCAGCCTCTGCATCTCTTTCGAGTCGACCTGCGCAACCTTCTCCTTGTACGGTTCCCACGACTCTTCCATACTTGCTACCTCCTTCTCATGAGGCAGCCCAAGGCTGTCCTGCGTTGGTTCCGGATTCATAGAGCCGTGGAGGTGAAAGTACCGGCCGTCCTTGCAGCGGTAGATATTCGTCGCCGCAAAGCCGTGGAGACTACTCCCACTCTTATGCAGATCGCAGTCTTTGAAATACTTCTGATAAGACGGCTTCCCCGCGGCGGCAAAATCAATAGCCTCACCCCCTGGATCAATAGTATTCAGCAGCACAGACATGAAAAACAGTTGCGCGTGGTCTCTACATGCGTGATTAGTAAAACCCAATAGCCTGACAGGCTGCAATCTTACGTATTTATCACAGCTTCCTGTGGTTCAACCCCATACTTCCGCTTCAAAAGAACATCGACCATCGCCGCCTCCAGGCCTTTCAATGCCGAGATACTCTCTGCGAACCGCCAGTTTATGGGCAGGCTGGGCATGGAAGACCCTTCGAAACGCACTTTCTGCGCGCATTCTGAGATGTCGTGGGGGAGAGTTGGGGCGATGAGGGGGTTCTCGAGGATGCCGTTTTGGAAGACTTTTTGCGCTTCATGGGGGATCGAGTAGGTGTCTACGGTCTCGTTTGAGCTGTTCGTGTGCGTGTTCACTCCGTTGGCCGTCATATTGTTTATTTGCTCAGTCAACTAAAGTCTGTGTTCTCGTTAGCAACGGATGAGCTTCTTGTGGACTTGCACAGACAACGAATATATATACCCTCATATCAACTGACTTGCTCAGCTTGCGGCTAGACATGGATTTCTAGGGTTTCACGCCGGCAGACCACTAAAACCATGATGCACTACAGAGTCAGCCCACAAAAATACAAAACTCGTCCGACATGCTGGCTGCCGTGCACAGCATGTATGCACCTTCGCGATTCTGGCCGGCCTCGGTTGAGTCGAAGGTGTTGACTCGAGACGACGACCAATCACGACCATGCATCGCCCCGCACATACATGCAGCAGACATAGAGGAGAACGCTAGGCGAGGAAGCTGTAGCCGTGATGATGGTCAGAAGTTGTAAGCCATTTGGAAGTAAACCAAAGAATCAAGGAAGCTAAAGAGATAGAGCAAAGACTATAAACGTACAGCTTCGTCTACGCCACACCACTCAAGTCTCGAACAACCCGCAGCAACCACCCTGTCCACATACCGATATACACACCCAAACATGTCCACAGACTACACCACACGCTGGACCCACCAGCGAGGAAAAAGCCCAGCCCGCGTCGCAAACTGCTCAGGCTACAAAGGTCCCTTCATCCCCCCCTCCCCTATACCGTACACTCACACCCCCACAGCTGACCCCGGCTACCACATGCGCTACCAGGCCGAGCTCGGCGACGTAGACTTCATCACCGGCGACTACCTCGCCGAAGTCAACATCGCCGAGAACGCACAAGCGCACGCTGCAGGCACCCATCCGGGGTGGGAGCAGACGGCCTGGGATGGGATCGAGCAGAGCATCGATCTTCTGAGCGAGAAGAGAATCAAGGTTATTGTTAATGGCGGGGCGCATAATCCGAGGGGGTTGGCGGAGAAGGTTCAGGAGTTGGTGAGTTTATGCTTGTTTGTTTATGTAGTGGTGCGTTCTGACGTGTTGGTAGGTTGTAAATAGGGGCTATGACTTGAAGGTTGCATATGTTCTGGGGGACAATTTGTTCGAGGAGATGAAGGACATTCGTGAGAAGGGATTACCGCCGCATTTTGATTCGAGCAATAGCCAGGTTACGGTCGCGGAGCATACGCTGGACTTGCTGGAGAAGGGGGATAAGCCGATTGTTAGTGCGAATGTGTATCTTGGTGCGAGGGAGATTGTCAAGGGCCTTGAGAATGGGGCGGATATTATTATTGCTGGGAGAGTGGCTGATGCGAGTCCTGTATGCCGTCCCGGTTCTTGCTGTTCAGTTGCGATGCTGATGTGTTTTAGGTCATTGGTGCGGCATGGTACTGGCACTCATGGTCTGACACTGACTACGACAAGCTTGCTGGAGCGCTTATTGCAGGTCATCTCATCGAGTGCAGTGGCTACGTGACTGGATCTAACTTCGCTGGCTTCTACGAGTACCCACTGGACGACCTCTACGACATCACATTTGGCATTGCTGATATCGAGAAGGACGGGACTTGTGTCATCACAAAGCACGACGCGAAGAAGGGATTCGTCACAGAAGACACAGTGAAGTGTCAATTTCTGTACGAACTGCAAGGAAACATCTACCTCAACAGTGACGTTAAAAGTATACTAGACAACGTGCATGTCAAAGCAGAAGGCAAAAACCGGTACGTATCCGCCATAACAGCCCCCAAATACCTGTACTTACAAGCATCCCAGCGTCCGCGTCTGGGGCATCAAAGGCGCGCCTCCCCCTCCCACCACAAAACTCGCCATCTTCTACCGCGCAGGCTTCCAGTCCGAAATAGTCATAAACGCCACCGGCTACGGTACCACAGAGAAATACCTCCTTTGGGAGCGCATGATCAGATTCGGCCTCGCACGTCTCAACCTCCTCGACAAATTCGACATCCTAGAATTCCAACGCATCGGTGTGCCTGAGCAGAACCCCACATCACAGCTCCGCAGCACAACATACCTCCGCGTCTTTGCCGAAGCTGGTGATGCGAACGTCAATTTGGGACTTGCGGGCTTACTGACTGAGTTTGCCATGCAGCATTACTCGGGCTTTCATAGTACGAGCGACTTCCGCACGGCAGTGCCAAGACCGTATATCTCGTATTATCCGGCGTTGTGGCCGCAGAGTGGGTTGAAGACTTCGATTAATCTCCTGGGCGGTGGGGAGACGGTATGTATCAAGACGACGCCACCGCCGAGGTTTGAAGATCTGGAGAAGAGACAGAGCTACGAGACAAACAACCCGGTAGACTTATCATCTTTTGGCCCGACGACGCAAGCACGGCTCGGTGACATTGTTCTCGCGCGCTCAGGCGACAAGGGAGGGAATGCGAATATCGGCTTCTTCGTGCCCACCGCATTACCTTCTGCGTATCCCACCTCCTCGCCACTGTACGCCGAGACGTGGGATTGGCTGCGCTCAGTACTCACAGTTCCCAAACTCAAAGAGATGTTTGGCGAGAGCTGGGATGACAAGTTCCACGTGGAGAGAGTCGAGTTTCCGGGGATCTTGGCAGTGCATTTTGTGGTTTACGGCGTTCTGGGCAGGGGCGTGAGTGGGAGTAGCAGGCTTGATTCGTTTGCAAAGGGGATGGGGGATTGGCTGCGGGACGTGGTGTTTGATGTGCCGGTGAAGTTCATCGAGGGCAGGCAGATGAAGGCGGAAGGAGGGAGATATAAGGCCGATGCAGGGGAGGGGAACTCTTGGTTAGTCGGAATACCGGGAACTAAGTAGGCTGCAGCAAGGTCTTGCAATAGCTTGACAACTACATATAAGAAAAATGTAAGATTTTTACGCTTTACGTGCTGTTCCTTTACGCCTACTAGCATGTATATCTTTGTAGTACTTTCAATCTTGTAGTTTCAGGTTGTTGTGTTGCTGCAAAGAACAGACCTTAATTACGGGTATTTCAACTAACCGAGAGAGGGAGTAGGAGTAAATTGTAGTTGATGGTAGGAAAATGATAGGTGTATACGTTTGGCCGGATATGAACGTTGCACAACTATGACGTAGCCATTCTTACACAGCCACAATCTCATTGTCCCATTCGTTTGCCTTCCGCGATTGCCTCAATCATCAACTACGACAAGGATTGCTGGTCATACCTTTGTTTGATCAAAGTCCCACTACCGCCCTCCGCTCAGCCAAACTTTTGCCGTCACAGCTTGAAGTTCCATACAACCAACACTCAACTTTACCCGGTGCTGAAGTCACACCCGGCACGATGTTCAAGAAGTTGAAAGGAAAGCTTAAGGGCGACGAGAAGAGCCCGCAAGGAACAGAGCAGTCGGGGCTTCATCCCAGCAACCCATACTACACGCCACCTCAACAGGAGCAACACAACATGGCTCCTACAGAAAAGTACCAGGCCTCTTCTGACCACCCACCGAACTATCCTTCGTCATCAAAGTCAGAGTATACAGCTCCTCCAGGTCCGCCTCCAGGGCACGCATCTTCAAGCGGCTATGCGCCACCACCAGGTCCTCCGCCTTCGCAGCAGTTCCCACAGCAGCCACCTCCAAGCTGGGACCCCCCTCCGTACCATGACTGGACCGTAGTACCAGACACATCACTCCTTCCTCCCCCGCCCTCTCTCGGATACGAGGACTCGCCAACTGCAAATGCCAGCGCGGAGGATGGCGAACATGCGTATAGATGGACAATCACGTACCCGCTCTGGCCACCACAAACCCTCACACCCACAACTCATGCAGCCATTCAGAACGGTCAACTTGCTCTGTTGAAAGCACCAACGTTCACCGGCGATCTCCTCCCGCAGCCGCAAGCCGGCCACTGGAAATGTCGAACCCATGCAAAATGCAGAGATTCCAGCATTCTAACAAACCTGCCTATGTACTCTGTCTTCTGGGACTCACCCCTCAGCACCCAGCGGCCAAAGACGATTTACTTCGAGCTCAAAGTCACGGGTATCGGCCGCGGCGGTCATTCGCTCGAGGAGGCGGACGCAGGTATCGCAGTCGGCTTCGTTGCACCGCCGTACCCTACCTTCCGGCTTCCTGGTTGGCAGCGAGGTAGTCTCGGCGTGCATGGCGATGACGGTCGGAAGTACGTCAATGACACCTTCGGCGGTGTAGATTTCACGACTTCGTTCCAGCCAGGCGACACTGTGGGGATCGGTATGACCTTTTCGGTGCCGAGAAATCCACCGTCGTATGAGCAGACGCAGCAGGGTAAGACTTTAGATATTGAGGTATTCTTCACGAGAAACGGGGTTCAGGAAGGTGGTTGGGATGGAAATGAGGAGCTTGATGCGAGGAATGAAGGGGGTAATATTGGATTGAGAGGTGAAAGTGATTTGTTTCCCGCGATTGGGGTGTTTGGCGGCGTGGATTTCGAGGTGCAGTTTCATCCTTCTCAGTGGCTGTTCAGGCCATACTGAGTGAGATTGAGGACTGCGATATGGTTTGTATAAGGTGAGAGTCGGCACATGACGATCGCATGTGAGACAGGCGGACGGAGCAGGTCCCACCGTATAAAGCTTGTGTATATAATACAACCTCCTAAAGACAGACACACTTGTAGTTTCTGACCTATACCCTTGAACTGTAGTACGTCAGGAGACAAGCTGCACACATCGCTGCTCCCCACCTCTCGGAGTCTTCCAGTATACTCCCAACCATCACACAGCGAACAACGCAGACGCTGAAATTATCTAGACAACCCCAACAATGAGCTCAACCGCTCCCCAAGACTTCGGCCAGCCCTTCGTCCTCGAAGACTACATCCCCATCCAGCAGCCCGTCACCACTACTTCCCCCGCCCTCTGCGCAGTCTGTCACAAACCCGCCTCCCACCAACGCTGCAGCAAGTGCAAAAGCATCAACTACTGCTCCAATACCTGCCAGGTGAGACCTCCACGCAATCTGACTCCAACTCTTCCAATAACTCATCTCCAGACAACCGACTGGCCCGCGCACAAAATACTCTGCGCCCCCTTCCTCAGATCGCACGTCACACGTCCAGGCCCTACCTTCCGCCGCGCCCTGCTCTTCCCAGAACACAACGCAAAGCCCAAGTTCATATGGCTTGAATACGGCACGAACGACGGCCGACCACTCGACATGCCCGCCTACTTCCCCTCCACCCCTCCCCAAGAAATCAAGACCATCGCGTTCCACAACCGCTTTCTGCCATATTGGATCCAGGTCTCATACGACAGTAACGCGTCGAGTCGTGTTCTCCAAGACAACGCGGGGCTGCAGGATGTGAGAGGCGGTGTGGTGGTGCTGGCTTATGATCTGGATGTTGGGCTGAGTGGGCCGGCGTTGGATGTTGGGCCGGGTGTTTTGGGGCCGGTGAGGGAGTACTTTGCGTTGAGGAGGGGTTACAGGGGGCCGGTGTTTGTGGAGCAGCCGCAGGAGAGGTATGAGGAGGGGGTTTGGAGGGAGTTTATGAAGGGTGGTGGGTGATTGAGGGTGAATGGAGTGACGGGTAGTGAGCTGGTTCTTGGCCGCAAGATGGATGGCGGTTCGGTGTTTGTGCAGGAGTTTCTGGAAGATTGGCGTCTTGCGTTGGTAGCTGAGGCGGAAACTAGTGGTTATTGGAGTTAAGGTCTGTTCACTTTTATGATTGCACCCGTCCTTTTTATCTTTCTTTCCGTTGTCTTACAATTCCCTCCCCATGCCACCTGCGCAGAACAACTATCGTTACAAGGGTTGTAAGTATACGCAATACTACTCGAATGAGTACCAGTGAAGTAACGGGGCAACTCACAAGATTTCCTGCAGGCCCTCTCTAATCTGCAGGGCCAGATACACTTCCTCGGGCTCCTCGCTCTAGTTAACAAATCCCGCCTACGCTCTGTTTGAACCAATTTCTATACAGAGGGCATGAGTGTGGACATCTCCGAGTGATTCTCTATCATGACCTTTCACGATCGCCGCCTTCTAGACGAATTTAAGCTTCCACGATAGTAATGCTAGCGGCTTCGGTCTGCTTTGGAACGATAAGACCGTGAGGAGTGTGCCGATCTGGAGAACGTTGACAAATTGATCACTTTAGAAAGACGAAGCATGAAGTCTCACAATCAATTCTGACAGACGCTATCGGGACTAACTCTAACTTATGCTACCAAGTCGCATCAGCCGAGGCCCTCGATGGCACCATAGAAATGACCCCTCCCGTACAAGCAACAGCATCAGTAAGTATACCTGAAACCCTTCTGATCATGTTCCTGCGGACCAGTTAATATCTTTCCATTACAAACTCATTGGATAGACTTACGCCTGTATATTCCAGCTCGACTTCGCCGCGATCGGCACGCTTATTTTGAGACCATGACAACAGAGTTATCAAGCTCACAAGGAGAAGTGTGAACAAGCAGCACGCAATACAGGCGTACATTCCAGGCTTGTACGCCGGCGAGTCCTGTGTCCTGTATAGTATAAGTATGAGGCACCTCGTAAATGGGCAAGATATGTGCTCACCTGAAAACCAAGCTGCCAGCGATACCTCCAACGCCTCCCATACCGACAAGAGTCGCCGAGCAGAACGCTCGCTTCCATTGCCCTCTAATGTTGTTCGCTTGATAGGACATGACAGCCGGGATGTTTGAATTCGCGCCTGCCACTGTCAAAAAGACACCGAAATACCTGACGTTAGGATTCTTGTGAAAGCCCATCAAGGGAAGACCGATCAAGCAGATGACCATGTTTGCCACAATGATGATTCCACGGGTCTTGTACTTGTCGCCAAGCCATCCCGTCGTGTACATGAGAATGGCAGCCAGTGCGTAGGGTGGAGCAACAAGACATTGCGAAGCGCCGATCGAGAAGCCCATGTTGCCACGTAGGATAATCGGCAGGAAGTAAGCAATAGCGTATGTCACAGTCGTCGTGTTGAAAAAGATCTGAGTTTCGTTAGTAGGAATCTCGCGGTTGCTGGTGTGTTGAACTAACCAAGGCGAATCCCCAGATTTTGATGTCAGCACCGCCGCGGAAGAACTTCGCTGTGGACCAAGGCTCTGGCCTAGCGTCACCACGATCTTCATTGACTCGGTTGATAATGAATCTGGCTTCGCGTTCATTCAGGAATCCCACAGACATATGGGCTTTGTCTGGGAAGTCGACGAGGAGCCAGTACGAGACAATACCCATGACGCATGTCAGAATCCCCTCGACAATGAAAATCCACGACCAACCGAGATAGCCTGCGGTGCCTTGGAGTTGCATCAAACCATAGGCCAAGATTCCAGCGCAAGCCGAAGCCAGGCTACCGAGGCAATAGAAGACAGAGTACCGTTTTCCAATATCATATCGTGTGTACCAGCAGGAGAGCAGGTATACCTACATTGATCAATCGCAGTCAGCATACACGGTCTGTGCCCTTATACCCAGGGTGTGACTTACGCAGCTTGGAAAGAATCCAGCTTCCAATATACCAAGAATCACCCGTAGTGCGGCAAGAGCTGTCCAGCTTTTCGCGAAACCCATTCCGATCATGACGGATCCCCATGCTACGACGATGACCGACAAGTGGATGCGAGGTCCAAGGTATCGAATGATGACGGTCGAAGGAGGCTGAAACAAGATATATGTGATGAAGAAGACAAGGGTGACGACGGAGTAGCGAGAGACACCGCCAGCAAGAACATTGAGTTTCAGTTCAGCGTTCATGCTAAGTGCGTCATTAGTATCAGCTTGTGGTTATGACTTAGGTATACGAACCCAGCAATGGAAGCAGCGCTCAAGTTTGTTCGGTCCATCAAACTAATGCAGTACAGAACTCCTACTGTAAGCACAAGACGGCGATCGATGCGATGAATGATCTTCTTCTGCTCCTCTGGCGTGAATTCGCAAACATATCCATCCTCGTTCGAACCAACATCCTCCTTCATCATCGTCGGATCCTTCTCGAAGTCGTTGTGAGCCATCGTGAATGAGCAACGTCAGGAAGCACGTTGGACAAGAATGGAAGGTTGAACACAGCGTTGCACAATCGTCCTTATGGTAAGGACTTATCGCCCCTCTTGTAACCCAGCCATCACGCATCGCCAAGGACAGTGGGCTTAACAAAGCGGGTCACGAAGATACCGAGGTATGCCCAAACCTGATTGATTGGAACGCTTGCGTATCGTTTGTCTTTTGCAAGGGTTTCTCAATTCATGGCGGTATGGGTGGAGAGCTTGGCACCTGGGGTCCCCGCGTCCAACACCCCTGTGTGTGACCTACCCACGGACCAGTTGTGGGGGAAATCACGACTGCCGAACGTTACCCTATTGCCCTTTGTCGGAATCCAGCTCTAAACGTCGTCCCAAAACGTTGATTCGGGAGCTACCTGACCACACCCGATGTCGAGTTCGACTGATAACAGCTTCTGTCGTTCTCCGACCTTGTTCGGGTTGTCGAATCCGTCTACGCGCGCATAACTACCTCGAGTCATTATGCGGGGTAATCGCCTATGGCATCCACATCCCTCGCCTTTATCTTCCCAACTCAGTCAAACCTCCGGTGTAATGGTAATGGCGTGTGGACGCAAAGGCGGGAGTCGCATGAGACCGGGGTCGCGTCTCTTTGTCTCGTGTCTCACCCTAGGCTTGGCTCGTATTGCGACCTCGCTTATGCATAGTAGGACTAGGGCGCAACGTTGACGGAGATCTCTAGGGTTGGAAAGCCATACTTTGGGTATCCGTCTGATAGACATGGCTGTAAGCGGAATGCCATACTCCAACCTGCATGCCTGGATGACATAGGTTCAGAGTTATCCCGGCCGTTGAACTCTTGGGGGCGGGGCCTAACTCAACAAACGTTTGTTAGCGCTCACGTGGAAAGTCTATATTCGTTGTCATAGGCGCTTGGCGTATAGAGTGGCTGCGGCTTGAACATAGCGCGGTTCTTACATACAACGTCTACGGATATTCGTCGGCGTGCCGTCAGGTCAACAGCCACCAACGCGTCAGCCGGAGCGTCACAATCATCCTTGATATTGGCGTCAGACGACCTTTGGGTGGCCAGAGTTTGCCCATCATACTGTTTCCACTTTCGAAGTCATATTCTACCGCAACTTCTACACAATGATGAATTTCAACGCACTGTCCACGATCTTTCAAGGAAAGACCCCTTCACTGGTACAGATTCCTGGAGTACGAGTCACTCGTCTAGGTATTGGTGGATTTTATACTCGCCGACCGCTTTCGCTACGCATTCTCCTTGGAACATCTCCAACACATTGCTTTGGGAAATCAAAACCACGCAAAGAACGTAGATCGATCTAGGCGACGCCCTTGGACAGGGGATATCATACCGCCTCCTCATACGCAACCAAAACATCGGAACCTGCGGATCTTGATCTCCCATCGCAGTCCTCGGAGACCAAGCGCGTGCCATCTCCCCAGACTGTTCATGCTCCCATCTGCGCTGGACCCAATCAAAACACTTTGGCCACTTCGGCATGGCAAATCAACCTTGTCCTTAGACCTCCTATTCCACATCCGAGAATCACTCCCGCCTTTGCGGCTACCACGCCTTAACTAACGATCAGAACTCTGCTTGACATCACGACTCCGGAGTGCACAGTTACGGACGCCTCCTACTTCGACGACTTGAGGCGTCTAATCATGGCCTTTATTGCTTGAAGCCAACCGAGGCTGGCGTTCGTATGCAGCAGAATCCTCTCAAATATTTCCGACCTCGTGTAGATCCCGAGGAACTATCCTAGATTCCAGGCCCTGCCAAGGGCGGGGTGCATGGGGTTTAACCAAAGTAAATCCCGTGTGACCACGCCTTCTGTCAACTATGCCTCATGTTTGCTACGTCTTATACTGACTACGCTTGCTACCGACTAGCCCCCTCGAGTATATCTTGTCTCTGTGTAACCAACTCATCTGCGTACAAGGGAGGGCTCGTTCATGCACTACAAGTAACCCATTGCACAAGATGAGTATAGCCCTGCTATCCGGATGTCTCGAACGATTCACATGTACTGGAGCGCAACTCTAGACTCCTGGAGCAGACCTACCCACAAAAGTCACTAAGTTTTCAAACCTAGCACATGAGCATCCAAATTGGAAGATGGAAGTTCATCATTAACTCTACAAAACAGTACTATCCACAGAACGGCATTGACAGTCATAGCGCTAATTTGCCCTTGTCGCTCCTCATATTCATCCTTCCTATTGCGCCCCTTCTCGCGCCTTTTCACGTCCTATTCCTAAAACGTAGGCAGCCATCTCGCCCCGACAACAGTTCGCGCAAAATACTCCGTAGACTTCCCCAACACTGTCTCATCTGGCAGGCGCCAACCATCTTCATCATCCATCGATCCGTACATCAAGGCTAGCAGGGCCAAACGAACCGGGACTGTCTTCTCCGCTTCATTCAAGACGTCCGTATGTTTGATAGGATCAGAATAGAGGAGGACTGGATGTGACCACCTGTAATCCAACTTTCCTTTGGAGCGCTTTCTAAGCCTCGCTTCGATGTCCATGCGGAGGAATATAACCTCGTCGCAAGTGGTGAGGAAGGCGAACCGCATGCCGCCCATGAGCATATGGGACGCTATGTCGCCTGCTCGAGTTAGCCTGAAAGCAAATACCATCGGGTTGGTTACTCTCAGTATGCGTTGTGTAAGTTGTGTAAGCGATGGAGAAGACTCACCGACAACACATCTCAAACTTCCCCACGCATTGCTCTTGCTATGCTGTATCGCCCACGTCAAGGCGCTAGGTCTGCCCCCAACGAACTCCGCATGTCCGATGAGTCTTGTTTCGTTGTTTTCGTGTGCTGATCCTGTCTCGACAATGTAGGTCGGGTTGAATATGGACTCGTCATCATCGACATTCTTTTCTGCAGCCTGGCGTAGATTGACATACTCTGGGAACTCACTTTCCCGCAGAACCGCAGTACACAACAACTCGTTGCACACTTCATCTACCACCTCGATCACCTCGCGCTGAAAGTACGACACGAGCCGTTCAGGTCCTTGAGAGGCGCCGAGAAGAGGCTCGCCGGCAGCACGAGGAGGGTCGATTGGGTAAATCTCGACCTCGTCAAAAGCGGTGCGAACTACCTCAGCATTCCAGAACTTGGTGACTTCTTCTTTGAAGCTGTCCTAGTGGTTCAAGAATCCGCCGTACCACAACCGCCTCGCACTTGGGGGCAGGAAGAGCGACTCTCTTTCCTTGGGCGTCGAAAAAGAGTCTGGAGAAAGCGGCTGGAGGATCATCTCGCCTGCATTTGATTCGGTATGCGTGCTGGTGGTGTCAGTGGCAGTAGATGCGGCGGCGGTAGCAAGGATAGGCGACTGTTTGGGCAAAACCATAGTCGGTCTTTCCGATGGAAGTCCAGAAGTGTCAGATGAGCTCGTAAAGTCTGGCGTCACAACGATTTCCGGTACTGGGGCTCGGGATGCAGCGCGCACCTTTCCTGAACCATGGAGCGAAGGGCTGGCAAGTGCGCTCGCTCGTGGTGTGCAATCAGCAGAAGATGCATCTAGCGGCGGCTCAAGCCCGACGAACTCCGCAAGAGTCATCATATTTGGGCGTTTAGCAGGATTAGGCATGTCGATTAGTAGCGGGTTTGGGACGGGGGCCGTAGCTTGCGGTGGTGATGGGCTGCAATCGCGACTATCCACACGCGCTCTGGGGGCCCGACCTCCACTTTCGTCGAGGCTGACATACGCTGCGATCGAATTGAAATAGCATCTCTGAAGGAGGTCGAGAACTTGTCTGGCGGGCAGACCGGTATCTGCTACGAACGCCCAGAGAGCTTCTTCTTGCCAATCATCGAGAGAAGCGATGGCAGTTTTGAGGTCTGGACTGAGCTTGTCCTTGCCCTTTGCGGGGTCTGACATAGCGATTGTGGGGAGCGAGCGATGGTGTTGCTAGGACTACGGTAGATAACGATGGAGTACGACTGCAGATAGAATTGTGGGCAGAAGGATACATCAACAGTATCGGAATGAGAGTTTAGCGCTCCACCTACTGTGAAGGACTTCGATGGCAGTGCTTTCCGATATAGGCACGAAGCAAGAACGTGTCTGGCATTTTGCTATGAAGATGCAGGAGCTCCCAAGAAACCTAATTGAAAGTGAACGACAAGTGTCATCCTCGTTTTAGAAAGCGTTATACACCCGACTGTGAGCTATAGTATGATGGTAGTGTAAGGAAAGAGTCCGTTTCAAAGGCTGATACTCTTGATAGCTTCTTTATCCTTGTATTCTTCTACTCCATACCTCATGTTGTGCGTACTCCCAGACTCACCTGCATGTCGAAAGAAGATTTATCAACTTCATTGACTGGATATGAATGGTGTGCGAAGCGGTTGACATGAGGGTATTTGTCAGACCTTGACTCCAGCCTCACCTATCATACATTTCCAATGAGAGTGACTCTAATTCTCACCTTCTACGCAAATTTTATCATATAACTCCAAGGTCTTCTACACGAGCACATGTATTCGTGAGAATCAAGACGAAGATTATCAGAAAGTGGCAGTAGCACCAATCCATCCTAGCACCAAACAACCCCACCACCCTTGTCCCACAGCCCGCAGCTCCACAATCTCGCGACCTATGACAGCATCGCCTCTCCACCTCCGTCCCCAAAACAGACCACCATGCATTCTAATCACGCGAACCCCCGACCCGCATCCCAGCACGCCAACAGCCTCCCAAAATGGACATCCTCCTCCTCGCCGGCATGCCCACGATAATCGGCACAAACGAAGCAGTCCACCAGCAGCGCATGCTCGACGACGAAGCCGAGGCGCCAGAGCGCCAGCAACCATTTTACCTAGACGTATATTGCGACGCGCAGTCGAAGAAGCGGGACGAAGTCGACAAGGCGATTGTAGTGCTCAAAGATGGGAAGGTATGTACTGCACCCCGCGCAATAGGGAGGGAATAGAATATCATGCTGACGAGCATAGCTACGTCTCTGGCCCAAGGACGCTGGAACACAACTCCCAGCCCCAGACCCCGATGCCGATGGTGATGGTGATAGCGACACACCCCACCCATTCACAGGCTTCTACCTCCCCTTCCCAACAGAAGACCTCCCGCACCGCTCCATCCCCGCGCAACCCGTCCTCGGCCTCGTGAGCACCGTGCCTCCCACACCATCTTCATCCTCCACCTCGTCCAAGCCGAAATTGAACTGGATATACGCCGACGCGCAGACCCGCGAACTGCGCTATGCGCCACGCGCCGAGGCGCGTAAACACACGGTTGGGCCGTGGGACTGGACGGAAGACGAGCAGGGGTTGGTGCTGGAGGGCGAGGAGTGCCTTGTTGCTGTTGAGGAGGAGAAGGGCGGGTTTGGGTGGGCGGTGTATTGGGATCGGGAGGATGATCGGTTGAAGGGTGTGGGGATTGCGGGGGAGAAGAGGGTGCTTAGGTGTAGTCTTGAGAGGAGGCTGGTGAGCGATTGAAGAACATCTGGCAAGGTGTGAAATAGTTGAGCGATGGAATTCGCGTTGCTGGAACGGTTGGTTGGCCGGATAGGTGGAGTGAGGGTGTGTTTTGGCCGCCTTCAAGGTTGTGGAATATAGTTCAAAATCTCATTGCATTTGTATCTTACGAAGTGTAAAACAGCGTTTGTCTGAGTATTTAAGACTTGGTGGAATATCAGAACGAGAATGTTGTATGTATGTGTGACTACCTCCAGTCCACGAAACAGAAGACCAGTACGCCTGGAAATGCCGTTATCCGCCCATTCAACGCCGCCGTCATATACGTAAAATACCAGATTCATCATTGCGCAAAACAAAATCCAGGAAACAGGTGCTCGATATCTAGATCGAAGCGGGGTCTGTGAGGCGAGAGGGAGATGTCCCTGCCATCATCGCGTTACACTGACCACTTCACGGAGCCATGTCGTACTGAGGCGAGACGACACAAACCGCTCAAGCTCATCATCACTCAAGCGTCCAACTCCTCAGGCGTCTTGTGGCGCGCAAGAACCAAGCGCTGGAACTCCGCCTTGTCCTGGTCCCACAACTCCGCCGCTTGGCCGTTAAGCGGACTCGAGCTACCATGCGTCAGCAACTTCTACCTTCATCTCCTCTCCACACAATCAAACGTACTTATTCGGCTCGCCCAACAAGCTCTGCAAGCTGAGCAACACGGTGCCAATGTTGTACACGGCACTCCACTTGTCCTTCAGGATGTCGAGGCAGATCCTGCCGCTGAAGTCGACGTTGGGGTGGTATATGGGCGTCTTGAAGAGGACCGTTGGCGGGGAGTAGGGGTATGTGTTTGCGAACTCCATGCTGAGCTTGAAGACGAGCGAGGCGTAGGGGGTGTCGGCGGGGCCGTCGATGGTGGCTGTCCAGAGTGTCATGTTCTCCGTGTCCGGGAAGGCGGTTATGCCTGGGGTGGGCTTGGTCATGATGTCCATGAGCTCTTTTTGCAGACTGTGGGTGGGGTGTTAGTGGGGTGTTTGGGATGAAGATGGTGGGAGGGGAGGGGTTTGCGTTCATTTTCTTATGCCATGAGATAGAATAGTAATGAAGGGAGGACGTACCGTTGGCCGACTGTCGTGTTACCTCCGGCGAGAGCCATCTCGTCTTTGTCTATCTCTGCTGTTCGTGCTGGTATCTGGAGTCTACTTGTATGTCCCGAGAAGGATGGTCTAAAGCTGCAATGTCAAGAAGCAGGCGTAGGTCCAAAGTCAAAAACCGCGGGGTCGAGTCGTCGTGTCGCAGTTGTATGTTGTGTCCAAAAGAAAGTGCCAGCGGTGGTGTTGTGCGGTGTGTTTACGGTCCCTGCGTCTGCCCCGGAAACGAGTCGCGTGGGACCCCTGCATGCGTGCCGATCGTTCTCAGCCAATCGCCGTCTCGACACAGCTTTGGCTGAGAATTCGGAAACACCGCTGGAATGTCGCAGGTTCATTCTGGATAGGTTGAGGTCACGGTTCGAGATTGAGTTGTGTGGTAGCATAAGCAATCATACTTCGCAGCGTGAGTTAGAGTGAGAAAGGAGCTGCAATGCTTAACGATCATAATAGCTAGAGCACATAGGCAGAAGCGCGAACCATCATAAGCTTCACAGGTGTTTGCGAGACGTGAAGTTGTTGGGCTCTGGGAAGGTTTACTTCTCCAACTGACTTGAACACGCCTGATTCTACAGCTTCGTCAAGCAACACAGCATTTATGTCAAGCATCTGTGCCAGTCTATCTATACTGCTTTGTTAGTAGAACGAACCAGTAAAGACTTAGCCTTCATAAACGGTTACGCATCTCTCAGATCATCAACCTTTCCCCCTTGCTGTATCAGGCGAGCAACATCCTCGAATAGAAAGCATATATAAAGAATAATGAAACGAGCGTCCCAGACTTGAACACGCAAAAGCCCTATGCGATGACCACACACGTAATGAGGCGACAAGAAAGCATTGGAAATTTTGCAGCACAAATAGGACGGCGAAGAGACTTGGTAGAAAGGTCTACCCGAAGCCACTCGAAAAAGCAGTTGTAGTCACCCAATGCGCAATATAAGCGAAATCATGACGACGGCAGTACAAGAAAAGAGCAAAGACAGAGACGAAACGAGAGATTGGCAGAATCAAAACAGAAACGGTAGAGATGTTCCTTCGGTAGGTAGCATTCATTTCAGAGATACGTCGAGGTTTGACGTTGTAATCTCAAATCCTTCGTACTCAACAAGAAACGTACGAGGAAATGCTACTGTGGTTATCCCGGGTAGATATGTCAATTCTATTTCTCGTACTTTACAGACATTGTTCCAATTCGCTAGCATTGGTGGATAGGATATATCTGACCTATATGTGAGCCTTGTGGAGAATACCCACTTGTGGCGACTGGTCTCAACATGAGATAGAGATATATTATGGTCATTCTTGCGCACAAGCGACCCCTTGCCAATTCAAAAAGCAAAGCAAGATGTGGATGGGTGGAGAAGGCGTGTGTGGTGATACGATCAGCCTCATGATCCAGAAAGACTGAACGAATGCGCCGTGTTTGATATATCAGTACGTCAGGTGGCGAAGGGAGTATCAGTTCCCGCGATTAGTGCGCCTAGCAACTGTGTAAATTGTATTCCTCTGCTGAGAGACACTCGTACAGATGGAGGAACATAGTGGCCAGGCAAAACATCCGTTCCGTATGGGTTGTTCCGGCTGATATGAGTACGAATGAAGCTTGTGGTACCTCATCTATGTGCCGCGCGACCAGTTCGCGTAATTAATGTAGTGGTAGGCGGGGTCGGGTCCAGGGTAGCACATGTTGTGCACTAGACACCTTCCATAAGTCGATTGGCAGTGCACATCGGGTGATGTGCAGTGTTCTCTGGGCTTTCGACTGCATCTCGCTGATCCTGTTCTATCAGTCGACGTTGATTAGGTAGGTCTGAGCAGAAGCTCGTTTGTGGATGCGAGTTTTGCAGATTCATGCGAGTCAACTTCCATTTTGCCGTAGGACGGACTATCCCGACCGTCCGCTGCTTGCCTTGCTGCAGCCGTAATTCCTCCATGCACACGCAGAGTAACATGTTCTTGTTCGCTGATAGTCGGGTACTCTTGCGGCCGCCGAGCCAAGGGCAAATTCCGATGCAGGCAGACTTCTAGCTCAGACTTAGTGGACGCCTTTTCGCTTGAATCTGCAGATGATGGTTTGTCTTTTCTGGCGGCTGTCAGGATTATTTGATGCAAGCCGGTAAGTGGGGTCCGCGGTCGGGCCTCGCGTGGGGTGGGAAGACGTGGATGTGTAATCAACCAGCCAGTTGCTACAACGAACATGGGACGCTGATGAGCTGTTCACCGTCTCTCTATGAAGTTTGCTCCCTTGAAAGCGTCCCTTGTCAATCAGGCGGTCACCAACGAGCATGTCCCATGATGCCCAGGTCGTTCCGCAGAGGTGCGGGGCTCCCGTGAGCAAGGACTGCACCAAAATAGGTCAGGCTTCCATGGCGCGTCCCGATGGAGTTGCCCTAACCTCCTCCACCGATGCGAATCCGCCGTGCCGGATGACAGCGCGCGCGGGTGACGCGATGCTATGGGCCTCAAACCCCGAGTCTCAAGACGCGCTGTTCTTGCTGGGCGGGCGAGGGCATGTCAGAAAATGGGAGCAATCTTTTGCGAGGAAGGCAGACAAGGGCAGAGCCCACTCGGGGCACGGCGGTGGTCTCGCCGCCTCAGACATTGCACAGGTGCTAGAAGCAGGTACGCCAACACATGCCTGACCCTGGCTGGCGTGGCTAGGCCCGGCACCCATCTTCCGCCGCAATCGTTTTTCAAACGCATAGCCATTTGCGGTCCGCGCCTGCCACGAATGATGATAGTGATGATGAAGCTGCCCAGTCTGGGCGACACGCTGCCGCTGGGCTACACGCTGCCGCTGCTCGGCATCGTCAGCTGGTGCAGCATGGCACAAATCTAAACGCCTTGCTGGATGGTCTGGGCAGCAGAAGCAGAGGCAGTCGGGAGGACTCGAGGCTTTAGGGCTCACTGCGGCGCGATATGGCTGTAGTAATATGTGGAAAGGCGCCGGCGGACGTAGGGGACATGCCGTGCAGATGGTGGGTAGCACGAGGTACCTCATGCGGGTCTCCAAGCGTAATCGTTCGATACGTTCCATGGCCCGACCGCCCTTGTTCGGTCGACCGCCCTCAGGGCATGCATGCTTGCCCGCCATCGCAGCTCGTTCGACGGCCAGCTCACTCTTGTCCTCACCTGCTGCTTGCACCTTGTAGCGTGTCGAGCGTATCGAGTTGCCTCACATTTTGTCCCTGACGACCAATCGTTTCAGCATCGTACCTTGGTTACCCGTGCACGCTTGTTCGCTGGATTCCGGGACCACTGCGCTATGACAGTCTGACCTACTTGCCTGACGGTCTTCCGAGCGAGTCCTTTGTTCGCTCCTCCGTCACCCTCGAGCCTCCAACGCCTGACCAAACAGCAGAAGCTCCTGTGACGGGCCTCTGCCTCAGCGCGTCTGCACTGCCTGCTCTCCGCTAGTGCCTGGGTGCTCTCTCCATGCATTGCTGCCGTTAACGACATCTGGGTGCGAGTACACGCCTCGTTCCGCCTCTTTTCTGGATAGGTCGCCATCACGCTCATCATGGCGAGCACACAGCTGCCCCCCAGGGGCATTGCTCTCGTTGGAGCTCCGGATAGCGACATCGGTTCCAAGGATGCCAGCTCGACGCCCGTGCAGGCCATGCAGGTAGAAATGACCCAGGACATGGTCGACGAGCTCGTCGAGAGCGTAAGGAGTGGGAAGTTGGCGCAGATATCCTTCGGCCGGACTCCTGTATGTGTGCACGCGTTTCCTAGAGCTTGTCGTGTAGTCACGACTTGTTGTTGTCGTTGTTTGTGCTCGCCGTCACGACATTGGGAATGAGGAAAGAGCGACCCTGGCTGACCACCACAACAATAGCAACTCAAATACGGCGACAAGACCCACGTACTGCAGAGCAGCGCAGAGACACACAGATGCGAGCTATACAAGTCCAGCGGCGCTGGCAGCGGCAACGACCTCGAATTCGCAGGCCTAGTCAACCACAGTTTGACCGTACAGAAGGCGGAGGATGTCACGGCAGGCGTCGACTCGGCATTGGAGCAGCTCAGATACAACATGGCTGCGATCTCGGAGGTTAGGGAAGCCAACAAGTATGCCTCCCCGGTATCCCCTGGCTGCCCCAACATCTCTGGCATCGAGTCGCGGAACTCGAGCACCCCTGCCCGCGCGCACTGCATGCAGTATACTGTTGTGAATTGAGTACATCTGGACTAACAATGCTCCTCTCAGGACTATCGTTGGCGACGCCACTTCCAGCCGCGCCTCTGCCCATCGTCGCTTCCCTTCGTCGGGCTTCAAGCATCTCGCCCCTTCCCGAGTCGGGTCGCCACTGCTGAATACGCCTTCCTCGCCCATGCACAAGCGCCCACCTACCTCGCAGCCCGGTGGTACACACGAAGCGATCCTCGCCGCCCTTCGCGTTCCCATCATCCACCTCCTCGCCAAGCAACCCGCCGCAGAAGCCTCTCTCGCCGCGTCGTGCCGCACATCCACCGCCAATGTGCGCGATCTCCTGCCCAAGATCGCCAAACGCTCCTCTCAGGATGCAGACAAGTGGCAGCTCACAGACAAGTCCTTCCGCGACATCAACCCCTGGAAGTTTCCTTACAGCTCCGAAGATCGTGACGAGGCAATCGAAAGCGCAATCAAAGCGTTTGACCGTCTGCGCCTAGCAAAAGATGACAAGCTTTGGCAGATCCTGCTGCCACGTGAGGAGCGAGGCCAGGGTAAATGTCTCTCGCGCTCCAAGGTGAAGGCGGTGGAGGCCAAGCCTAAATCCTCTACACCAATGCAAAAGATATCAGACCTTACCAAAAAGAAGCCTGTCGCGAAGAAGTCCGACGACAAGGTCATCGAGAGGAAAATGAAGACGGCGAAAGACTCCGAAATCAAGCCGGCCAAGACGGTGAAGGCGAAGATCGTCAGGGAATTGCCAACGGTGAAGGAGGTGAAGGACGAACCCTCCAAAGTGTCGACACCTCTCCCAGCCACCTCTTCGGCTACCAAACCTGTCGCACCTTCTCACCGCAACACGCCGTCCCTCGACAATTCCAAAATTCGCACCAAGAAGGCACCTGCTACTGACAACAGCTCTGCTCCACGAGCGAGGCCCAAGATGTCGTCACGAGATGTCAACCGAAACCACCCAGCAAGACCGGCTAGGCCAGTGATGCCCATCAATACCAAGCCAAAGAACCCCTCGCCTCTCTCAGCATCACCGCCAGTTAATGCGAGCGACTTCGAAGACAGCCACCCTGTCCATAAGGCACTCGCTGCCGCTCCTTCACCCGCCAACATGTCTTCTGGCAACTCGGACCGTTCGCTAAAGCGCAAGGCAAACGACATCGGCAGCGACATCCACAACCACACTCTGGCGGTGAAGAAGCCTCACCACGACCGCTCCACGTCAAACCAGCCACCCTCCAACAGCAATGGCAGGCTCAATGGCTCCACCCCTACAGGCAGCAGCGCTCTCAAGCGCAAGTCCAACGAGTCGTCCTCCTCCAACACGCCTACCAACGTCTCGAAAATCCGCAAGGTCAACAACATCGACACAGGCCTTGCCTCACGCTACCACCATAACAACTCTCAGGCCTCACCAGGCGCGTCATCCACATCCACGACCTCGCCTACGACAAGCCTGAGTTTCCGGCAGACGGTGGAGCTGTCCCAGAAGTTTCAGAAATACTACAAGAAGTACGAGGAGTTGTACTGGCAGTTGACCGAAGCGGAGAAGCCGCCAACTGAGATGCAGAGGAGCAATCTGCTCAAGATGCACAAGCAGCTAGACGAGATGAAGAAGGAGATCAAGGCTGGTGCTGGTGGGATGCATCATCGATGAATCATGGACGATCCTCTCAGGGCTTCACTATCACGCATACATCACTTCGCACCATGACCGCGACTACGACAAAACAATTTGCATATATACCCACGGCCCACAAGAGAACGGCAGTCTGCATACCAAAATGGCGTTGGGAGGGATCTCTGTACTCATTTCTCGGAGGCATTGTATGGCTTCGGCTGTTTAGAACTTTCTTCAACTTGCATGGGGATACTTGAGGTGCATTTGGAATTGGCGTTCATGTTCTGGACTTTCCCCACTTAATGACTCTACTGCGAAGGTCGCTGTGCTTTCCTATGAACGATACCTATTGGATACTTAGACTGAGTCGAGCCGGCGTCTTTATACCCCCGCAGCTATTATACGTTGCTACAATAAAAGCTAAATTCTTTTGCGTTCGTTGCTCCTGACGTCAGTCAACTATCATTGTTTCGTGAGATTGGCTGAGACCAACCCCTAGCTAGCGGCTTCCTTTAATCTCAAAACCATACCACCGTACTTTGCAATTTCGCCAAAACTCTCCTCACAAACCCTCAACCTGCAATACGGGCCTCCCCATCTGACACGTTTTTGCCCTGCCTAAAACACAGGGTCCATCGCCCACCCCAACCAAAAGTAGGGCACCCAAAAGATCAGCGCGCACGCCGATCACGCACCTAGATCACGCACCTCGGACGATCGCGCTGCCCCGCTTTCCAAACCGCCGCCGCGCGCGCACCATCCCTGCATGTCCGTCATACACTTAGCCGTCAGCCCTATGACATGACAAGTACATTTTTTTTTGTACGGACAATAAACATACAACCCGCCCGCGCGTTACCTTCCCGATGCGCTTCCTACGATCTGTCTTCGCGAATCTGAGGATTATACCGCCGAAGAGGGATTACGCTCAGGTTCACGATATAAGAGTTCGCATTGAGAGGGTCTTGGAAGGAGACGAATCGGGTGGAACTATGTCGCTCAATGGTATGTGTGAGGTTTTTTTCAATGGGGTAGGGGGGTTTGAGAGTTTGGGAGGGGTTAAGAGATTGGTTCTTTATGAGGAGACCAGTTTCTTCCTGCGTCCAAGGCGACGTTGATTGAGATTCTGAGACCGAGTCCACGCTTTCGAGCCTCGATCGGCACACAGAAGACGTAGAACGCCTGCTAATATACCGCAGTATTCAAGCAACCGCTCGCCTTGCACTCAACACGTCCCATGACGGGTTTTATGCGCAACGGCTACTGCGAAGCTCCCAAGTCAGATGCTGGGAACCACTCGGTTGCAGGTATGTATACATCCATCCTCTGTTCTAACTTCCCTCTCTTCCCCCACCACTAACAATCAACAGGCATCGTGACCAATGAGTTCCTCGACTACAGCGCCTCCAAGGGCAATGATCTCCGGCAAGTTGGCCTCACCGACGGCTGCAAATGGTGTCTCTGCGTCAGCCGGTGGAAGGAAGCATTTGACAACCGCACGGGCGAGAACGACAAGAAGGTCCCCAAGATCGTGTTGAAGGCGACGAACGAGCGCGCGCTGGAGAAGATAGGTCTTGAGGACTTGAAGAAGTTTGCGGTGGATAACGAATGAAGCGGAACCTATTCATTTGAGAAATACAAAACCGTATTGAAGTACTCGACGTTTGCACTGCCTACTTCCATGCAAAATGCCTTATTGTTTTCGTTCTCATAATGAATTGTCTTGCTTCTCTTCAATCTTTTCAGTCTACCTCGCAGTCAAAAGTCAAGTCAAATCAATCCATGACGTCATGCCCCTCACCTAACACGCCCAAGCATCTCCATCCCAAACACACACCCACCCCTTCCCAAGCTCAACAAGTTGTTTGCTGGTACTTCCATTTACCTCCCAACACCCACCTCCCACACAAACCCCCCACCAAAGCCACAATGGTCGAATGCCCCGAATGCGGCGCCGGCGCCGATCTAACCAAAGACGGAAGCTACGCACACTGCGCGTCTTGTAAGCCCACCCCCGTTTATCCTTTAGCAGGTTTGAGATGCGCGGTAGAGAGAGACGGAGGTTGATTTGTTGTGATGTAGGTAATACTGTTTTCGAGCCGGGGAAGGAGGGGAGCGGGTATAAGGGGAGTGGGAGTGGGTCGGGGGATAAGGAGGAGGTGAAGAAGGAGGGTGGGGAGAAGAAGGGGGAGAAATGAGAGGAGAGATGAGGAAGGTGGTTTGAGATGAGGTATGTGTCCAACCGGGACTTTGTGCCTGTCAACAGATGTGTATCTACATCTACATGTCTCTTGGGTTGAGATTTAGTCGCGAGTTGATTGTCGAGGTTATCAACTCTTCTGTTATAATTTCTGCTCTCCTCTTTGTGAATGCTTGCGTGTGATTTGAGTACAAGTTCGGGATTGGTATCAACATTTACATTAGAGAGCAGGACAAAGAAGACGCGACTGTTGAGTAATTTTTGAAAAAAGTCGGACAACTTCCACAATCGATGTGAATATTTGGTGTTTGTGTCGGAATTCCTAGCCATTGATATCTTGGTGGACTCTCCATGCGTACAATATATATCTCGACCACGGACAATCCTTCGCTTCCTGAATCATGTCCAGCAGGCGATAGGATTGTTTACCATGCTATCTCGAAAATTAGTAGAATGTGGCTGGGATACTATTGACAATGACAACATATCGATCTTAGCTCCTGTACTGTGACAGCCCTAGCCTGCCATAGGTGGGTCGCTTTCCAGAATAGAACACACGCGAAGATCAACACGGTTGCATTGTTAGCTTACACTAACAAATACTGTGGCGAGATGATGTACTCCGATTCTGAAGGGTTGGAGCCGAGGTCCACTAGGTAGATCGATCTTGAGATGCGATGCGATGCGATGAGATGAATCGCAATTCGTAGAGTGTGGTTAAGATTGAGGAGCATAGCAATGCGCAGTAGAAGAAGTCGAAGCTGTCTTGCTTTGGCGAGGCCGTCTACTTAGCTGGACTTCGGAATATTGTCATAGGTCGTCGAGGAATGCAGGGCGATAGGTACCAGCCTCCCTCCGTCACCGCGCGCCGTCCCTTCTTGCAACCCTTCCGTCTCTAGTTCTCCGCACTCTTTTATTGCCGGTGCAACACTGACATCACATCACGCCTGCGATGACTTGTCCGCTCGTCACATTGATTCGCGAGGAGTCCACCCAATGGCGATCTGTAAAAAGAACGTGGGTTGACGTTTGACACGTTGGAGGATTGGGAAAAGTCGCCGGACCTTCGGCTGGCCGTGCACGCGATTCTATGCGACGCGATACCACAGCACTGGCAGCGGTTAACGAGCACCCACATAACTATTCCCGAGTACCTATATAAGATAGATTAAGGATAGCGTTATATACCTATAATATAATTATTCTATATTATAATCTCTAGTTTATATAGTAACTTATACTAAAGCTAGAAACTAAGTAATATATTAGTAATATAGAACTTAGTAGTAAATATTACTATTATATACTATTATTACTATAATTACATGTAATTAAAAATTAAGGTATAATAATTTAAATTAGCCTTTATATAGAAGTAATTTACTAGCGTAACTATACTACTTTATTAGTACTAAAAACCTAAAGCTATTATTATTTAGCTTTACTAGTTAATTTATTATATTATAATTTATAGTATATAGGCTTTAAACTTATAATAAAGGTAGCTAATTTAATAGGTAAGCTAGATATTATATAAAGGTTATTCTTACTAGTAAAGAAGCTTAATATTATAGCTTTTTTAGTTACTACTATTACTATCTATATACTACTACCTATAGCTGTTATATATACTAAAGAGCCTACTATATATATAAGTTAGGCTATAAAAGCTATAAAGTAAACGTCTATATTATATAATAAGTAGTAGGTATTACTAGCACTAATAAGAGTAGTAAAATTATATATAAAATACCTAATTAAGTACTAAATTATATAAAGTTAGCACTTATTAAAGTACTAAACTATATATAGTTTATACTTATTAAAGGTATTAGGTACCTATAGTAAGCTATTTAGGTACTTAATTAGTAAGCTTATAAAGAGTATATACTATTAATTTAAAGCTCTAATAAGTATAGTACTAGTAGCTAAAGTAGTAATTAAAGTAGTAATTAGAGTAGTAATTAAAGTAGTAATTAAAGTAGACTTAGGTAATAATAGTAAGTATTAGTATATAATATTAGCTGTATTAATAAAGTAAGTATAAGCTTTATAGGCTATAAGGTAGCTATTATATATAAATAGCTAATATAAGTAGCTAAAGCTACCTAATTTACTAGTAAAATAATAATACCTTTATAAAGTACTAGCTTAACTATTATATAAGCTAGTAGTATTACTAGTAGTATTACTATAGTATTATTATTATTAAGGTACTTAAATAAGCTAGGCTTATAATAATTACCTTACTACCTACTACTAGTAATATAGTAATATAGCTTATAAGGTTACTATTATTATATAATATATAGCTTTAATATATATAAAGCTAGCTTAATTATAAGAGCTTATAAGTAATTAACCTACTAATATATATTAAAATTATTAAGTTTTAGAGCTTTAGATATAAGCTTAAGCTTCTTTATTTAATACTAATAAAGTAGACCTTTAGAGTATATATAAATACCTATATAAGCTATTATAAAGTAGCTAGAGTTACCTTATAATATATAAAGCTTACCTTTAGTATACTTAAGCTTCTATACTATAAGTATAAGTATATAGTATAAAATAACTCTAATAATATTAATAAAAGCTAAGTCTTAATAGTTACTTTAAATAGTATAATTTACTTACCTATTAAGTATTTAATTATACTTAATATACTTATTATAAAATAACTTTAGGTAGTAAAATAGCTAAAGTATATTAGCTTTTAAGCTATTAAGCTAGTCTTTAATAATATAGTAGGTACTCTTAGCTTTTAAAGTTATAAATAGCCTAAAGTTAGCTAACTTATTAATTTATATATTAATAAGCTTATTCTTATAGTAGCTAAACTAGTAGTAATTAAGGTATATATAAGTATAAGAAGATAGTATTTTAATAGCTTTAAAGTTTATATTAAACTTAGCTAAAGTCTTAAAGCCTAGTACTATATAGTATACATTAGTAAACTATATTATAAACTTAGTATTAACCTAAAAAATCTTATTATATTACTGCCTAAACTTAGCTATTAGTACTAATTAAATATAACTTAGAATATTTTTATTTATATACTACTAATATATAATAATTTTAGGTAAATTAAATATATAATTAAGCGCGTTTATATACACTTTATTATTATTAGTAATAAATAGTTAAATTATAATACTTTTTACTATAAGAAGCTTTTAAAGTTATATAATAACCTAAATAAATATAGCTTTATCTTTATATAATATAAGTATAATACTAAAGTAGATTATATAGTTATTTATATTAAAGCCTACTAAATTAAGTAGTAGAAGGCTATAATAATTTATTTTAAACGTATAATTAAGAAAGAGTATATTAGGCAATATTTTAAATTATATAAAGTATATAGGCAATATAAGAAGTAAAAAGTTAATATAGTTATTAATAGATTTTAATATTTTATAAAGTTTAAAGTTTATTAGCTAAGAAACTTTAACTTTAATTAAAGTAGTACTAAGCCTAAAAAGTAAAATACTAAGCTTAAAATTAATAGGCTAAAGAATTTTTAGTTAACTAGTATAAGCTCTTTAAAAATTAAGTAAGTTTAAAGCTTAACTCTAAAAAATCTATTATAAGCTTACTTATAGGTAGTACTAGCTAGCCTTATATAATTCTTATTCTAAGATTTTAACCTTTATCTTCTACCTAAGCTGCTACTACTAGTAGGCTTAGTACTTATTTTTAATATTTTAGTATATTTATTTTAAATCTAGCTACTTTTTTTATACTATTAATAGTACCTATTTTATACTTTTTATAAGCTTTTAAATCTTAACTAGCTACTTATAACTAAGTTTACTATATATCTTATAATACTAGTAAAAGATAAAGTAAGTATTTCTCTTTAGTAAGTAGTTATAAATAATTAATTTATACTTTTTATAATCTAATACTCTTTATATAGTATCTTTAAGATTAGCGTAATTCTTAGTAGCTAGCTTAAACTTTATTTTATAGCTAGTCTTCTATAATACTATACCTACTTTATTTTATATACTAGCTATAATCTTCTTTTACTTACCTTAGTAGTTATATATAAACTATAGTTAGTAATACCTACTATAGTGCTATTTATAATACTTATAGCTAAGGCTATAATTCTTTCTTTAGGCTTTAACTACTACTTTAGCTTTAGCTAGTATAGTATATATTACCTTTAGTAGTAGCTTATAATTATAGTTTTTATCTAATACTCTATTTTATAAGCTGCTAAGATTAATATTAGTAATAGTAATTTTATAGTACTAGTACTTATATAAGATATACTTATAAGCCTATCTTTTTCTTTTATAAATAGAGTATATATAATTATATAGTAAGTTATTTATACTATTTACTAAAGCTATAAATACTATACTTTACTTATTATTATTACTTATATTAAGAGAGTTTAAGCTAGCTATAAAGGTAGGTATTACTAGCCTTAATAGTAGCTCTACGTTAAAGTTAAATAGTAATAGTAATTATAATAGTAAGTATAACAGCACTAGCTACGTACCTAGTAGTAGTAATAGTAGTAATAATAAAGTTAGTAGTAGTAATAATAAGGGTAATAATAAAATATAAGGTATAGTAGATAAGATAAATAATATAATAAATTTAGTATATATAATATAATTATTAATAGTAATAAGCTTTTTAATTAAAATAATTAACTAATAAAGTAAACTTTAAATAATAATAAATAATAAAAATTACTAAATATATAATAAGTATTAATAGTTAGTAACTTCTATGCTGTAAATTCCTCCTAGCAGACATGCTATACGTTAAATAGTATAGCAGCTGTCTATTAGGGAGTCTATGCAACACTACTAGCACTAGTTGCATATAGGCCCTGTATGTGGGTGCTCGGGAATAGTTATGTAGGTGCTCGTTAACCGCTGCCTACAGCACTAGGTGCAATAGTCGAAGGTTAAGCTTAGATCATCGCGTCTGAATCTCGAAGTCTGGTGTGAGGGCTGTCGCAAAATCGCAAGCCAGTTTGCCCTGCTGAGTGTAAGAGTGTTCAGTACCATAACCGCAACTGAGCATCGCCGACGGCTGTTGGAGGGTTCGTTCAATATGCATTCACACATATCGAGATCTGCGGTTTCAGCATCCGAGTTCGCCAGCGCAATGTTTAACTGATCGTCACACCAGTGTAACTTCCATTACAACCTGCCAAGGTACGCTGCCCCACATTTCCCTGAATACGGAAGGCAAGCATATCCCACGACGTCATTCGCGGCCGTGCATCAACGCGATATGAAAATGCAAGGTGCTACACGGAATGGACGACGATGATTGGCTTGTTTACTGCGTCGGTGTTGCTTTATTATTTGCGGATTGGTCGGTTCAGGCCTAGTCAAAGTGAAAGCAAGCCGGACGGAACGCAAACGGGTGACATCCGAGTACCAAAATGGGGACAACGCCTTCTCTGCTTCGTGTTTCTGGACTGTGATACATTTCTCCTTCTTCACTTCACCTCACCTAAACTGGGATCCACCGCTGCCTCAGGGATTGTGATTTGAACAACAGGATCTTCGCTCTGTTTACTCGCCTGATAGTTGATGTTTCAGAACGTAACGCATCATGGCTAGAAGTACTCTCACATGGTTGCGCGCTGCGGTCGTTGTCGCTTTCGCTACCCAGGTGGCTGCGCAGACGTGCTGTAGGTTGGCTTCTCCTTGCTGAATAGCACATGCTGATTGAAGTAGACTATCCCAACGGCAATGTTGCTACCGGCGAGAGCGCCTGTTCCTCAGCATCAGGCTCTGCATGCTGTCCTGAGAACTGGGAATGCATGGACAACGGGTCTTGCTATTACCCACCAACAAATCTCACAGGAAGATACAGCTGCACCGACCAGAGCTGGAACTCGCCTGGCTGCCCTTCCAACTTGTGCACATATAGTATGTATTTATGACATCAATCTGCTTGTATATACGCTGACGAAGCCAGATCTGGGAGCAGCTGGAGGCGAGAGCCTGGCGCAGTGCTCCAATCACAATAACCAGTGGTGTTGTAATGGGGACGCTGATATTGTGAAATGTTGTCAAGGGATACCTGAAGTGCGCCCCTTCTTCGCGCTTCAAGACGGGAGAGCCTACGCGACCATCGGAACGAGTACGGCGTCTTCTGCACCCACCCTCTCCACGATCACTGGCATTGCGATTGCGGTTGCGACTGGGGACGCGGTCTCGACAACTCCGTCCAGTCAAGTCTCCTCCACGGCTTCCAGCCAAGCAGCATCAAGAAGTTCGGCAGCTGTGGCAGGTTCGGGAAGTTCGACAACTACTGCAACTCCTTTCACCTCGGTCCAGACAAGTGTCACTTCTGGCGCTGGAGGAGTAGCGACTGCTGTGATCACTGTCCTCGTGACGCCTTCTGCGACGGCGGACCCATCGCAGTCTAGTAGCAGTGGAAGTAAACACTCAAATACCGGTCTGATCGCTGGCCTGGCTGTCGGCATTCCTCTCGGGCTCGCCCTAGTCGGCATTATCTTCTGGGCTTGCCGCAAACGCCGCAATCAGAAGAAGATGAGTACCTATTCAGACATGGACGGCAACGAGGCAGGCCTTGCAGGTGGCGCGGCCAAACCATTGAGCAAGAAAGAGACGTACCGTCAATCTAGGCCCGGTACTACGGAAATCGACAGCATGCCTGTTGGACCTGGACAGACCACTTCCGCGATCAACGGACGCGCAGAACTGGGAGCGGGGACTGGCTTCCGACCCGGCTCTGGCACTCCGCATGGTCCTGACACGGTTGGCATTGGCGGTGGTAACGCGCCCGAGCGATCGACGTGGGGCAGCAGCCCACCCGGCTATTCTCCAGGTATGGCTCCTGGTGCGTTCAGCCATCCAGGGCATGCCGAGCTCGACAGCACGCCTGTCATGCCGGTTATCAACGAGAAGGCGGATGGCGGGCAGTATCGACCACCAGCCAACCACGCGATTGAAATGCCTACTGTGGTAACTCCGCCTGAAGAGGTTGAGAGGCGAGTGTAGATTTGGGATGCAGGAGTTCAGGAGTACATTTGTGGTCTGGGTTAGCGACGTGGGATTTTTCGAAAGACGATCGAGAAGTCTTTTTGTGCGAGACTTGTGTATGCAACGACGAGATTTTACCGCTTTCTGATACGACCAAAGATACCACCTTTTCATGTAATATAATGTCAATGAATTTTCAAGTACTCGAATGTTATTCTAAAATATGATAGCCAAGAACGACAACGCGATCCAGCTTTCATCGTATCGAGCACGCATAGCCCTTAGTACAGGTAGTCTTAACATTTAGCCCTTTCTGCTTATGTTCAAAAATGGTTTGGCAGCATGGATCTGGGGTGTCTCGCGCTAGTCATGTACCTATTGCGTCAACCGCCCTTCCCCGAGGCGACGGGGCCCTTCGATACTCGAGATTACGCGCCGCATCCGCCTTCTTGCTCTGTATATCTTGTTGCGTTCTCCTACAGTGCAATTGTCTTGGTGTATTTATCCTTCTGTACACACGATGAAGCACCTCCCGGATGAGATCATCCTCTACATCATCTCTTGTACGTGCGCGAAGCTCCAGCCTGTGTAACCCCCGCCTAACAACCCCACAGATCTTGAACCCTCAGCCCTCGTCAACCTCCAGCACGTGTCGCGCCACTTCCTCAACCTCTCTCGCGACAACAATCTCTGGAAAACGCTGTGTTTCGAGCACTCGGCGGCAGAACGCCGCAGACGCCGACTCGCGCCTACGGTCGACATTGACCCGCGACTTGCTGAGCTCATACGCGCTGCTGATAACATCTCGAGTACATTCAACATCGGCATAAACGATGCGAATCACCCGAGTGGGGAGGTGCAGAGAGAACGGAATGAGGGCAAGAGGAGAGCAGCGCTGCTCGCAAACTGGGATCCGAGCTATCCTGAGGAAAAGGTGAACTGGTATCAAGACTTCATACAAAGACATGCGCCGCAGCAGGTTAGCTGGTTCCAGGATGCCGGACATGATGAAGAGGAGGGAGACCGACGTGCGGCTACGGGTGCGGGGGTACTGTTCAATGAGGATGGCCTGGCAGACAAACTCGTCGCGCCGCTGGAGGACGGGAGTATCAGCATATGGGACGCATGTGCTAGCAGCGAGAGACAGGGCAGGCTTGTGGCCAAGAGCGATATTGGGCTACTACCAAACAAGAGCTCGGATGACCTGGACCACGATACACGCCTCACGCAGAGTCAGGCTATCATGACGGAGACTGGGGCCGTGGAGTGCGTAAGCATCGACAGCAAGCTGAAAAAGGGCTTCTTTGCCGTGCAAAACGTCTTGAACGAGGTCGATCTGCAGACGCTCAAAGTCGTCTCCAGAACACCGTATCCCTTCCCCATCACCGCTCTCTCAGAAGCACACCACCACACCCCATTAACCGTCGGCACCAACTGGACCATCCACCTGCACGACACTCGAAAGCCCCCTGCTCCTTCGTCAACACGTTGCGAGCTCATCGGTGGGTCTGCAGACACATCATTCTCACGCCTGCAAACCGGCGACTTCGGTGGCCATGTCTCACTCTCGCAACCTGGCGCCCTATCCATCATTCACCTCCCCACAACACGAGAATGGGACGGGAACGGCGATATCTGGGTGGGCGGCCGCTTCACGAGCATGCTGAACTTTGACCGGCGCTTCTTCCCTCGACTACGCGGCACCGTGCATTCCGGCGCGAGACTGTCTTGCATGGCGACTCTGCCCCATCCCTTTGTACCACACGACCTGCGTCTCGATCGTCCCTACTCCTCCGCGAGGGACCTCTCCGAGGCAAAGGACGCACAGGGCCATACACTCATCGTTGCTGGTGAATACAAGGGCAAGGGCTCGCTGGAGCTGTATGGCCTAAGTTCCGAGCCAACGAGAAGCGTCAATTCAAGCGACAGTCGCACCACACATAACAACCGCGGCTGCTACCAGAACCGACAGACAGCTAGTAGCTCAAAACTGCTTGCCGTAGCGCCACACGGTACGCGCATAGTGTTTTCAGACGGCGATGGTAATCTCAAGTGGGTGGAGCGTGATGGAAGTACGCCTGTGAGACACTTCAATATCAACGATTTGTCCCCGTCTCCACCGCCGGACACATCACATCCCATTCTTCTCAACCCACAGGGCAGTGCGGCGGAGGATGGGGATATCGTTCAAAAAATCTTGCCAGCGGTTCGTACAACACATTCCTCTGTTACGCCAGAGCTCGGCCAGGATAACCTGATTCTCTGGACGGGCGACGGGAAGTTGGGGCTTTTGGGCTTCGGCCGTGAACCCCCGCTACATGCAGATGTGTTTGAAGATGCACTGGAGCGACAGCTCGACGGCGATGGTGGGAAGGAGAAGGAGATGCAGAAGGAATACAGCGTGGAGATGCGGAGGGCGTTAGAGGGGCATGCCAGGGAGTTGCGATGGCTGAAGGGGTATGGGTTGTGAGGAGCGGAGATCACCAGCAAGCAAGATTTTCATTCTGCCAACCCACTCCTCAACCCTCACAACTCGGCTCGTCTATCTGCGTTGAAGGCGAAAGCCAACCATGCTTTTCCTTGCCTTGCCATCTTCGATCCGCGATGGCGTTTCTGAAACTTCTAGTAAGTATCGCGGTATCTGTACGCATCATAGACACCAGTCTCGTCCCGTCTTATCCTGCCTGTGCAATGCTGTCCCTCATCTTCACCCCAACACCAGCATCAGCCAGACCGATCAACCCACAGGCTTGATATGATTCGAATCGTACGATATGGTTCGCTTACACGGTTCATGTCACCCATACTCAGTCGGTATCCGACATTCTGCAGTTTGATTCGAAAAGGTCATGGCGTGGCGTACTGGGTCTCGGCGTCGGCTGTGTCGGTGTCTCCGTCATGCTATGCTATGCACAACGATAGAAACGTATTGTATGTACCGTTGTATTTGGCTAGTCCCACCTCAACGGGGGAGCACGGTTTAGTTGCCGCTATTCTACACGAGTCCCGCAACACTTTGATCTTGGTTGCTTCTATCCAGGCTGTCGGTCTGTTGGTCGGCACCCTCGGAAATTAGTGTTTTTGATGGATGTTCAACACCTCGTGCCATCAAGCATAGAGAGTGCTATTTCTTCTTATTACTTAGAGAGCGCACTACTATTGTATACACATATCCTACATCTCACAGCAACTCGTCATATTGCCCAGTTGAGTTGTTTTTCCAAAGTCCTTATTCCCCGGTATTCCCACCGACCATGACCCTGGAAAGAAAAACACTCTGTACCATGTCCCGTGGCGATTGCTAGGGTGTGTCTTCCACGGCGCGCGCCGCATGGAGAGGGATGGGTAGTTAATCTCGAAAGCTTGCGGACCTTCTTTGGACCGACATGAGGCCTTGTCCGCGGATCACACATGTACTTTGGGTATGTTGTTGGCAAGATGCGTCAGGCCCCCCGAGCCTGATCGAGCATCGTGCAGGTGTTGGGGAGGAGAGGCTACGATCTGGCTGGTTATTTGAGAAGAGTGGGGGTACGGGATCGGTGTTCAGTGGTACATGGTGTCTGTCTTGTCTGTTTGTCTGGACTCTAGAGTGTTTGCCGCTACTGTTGCCACAAGAAGGGTTATAGATTGGTCTTACACTATCTTTTTGAGAGCTTAGCGCAAATTTGGAAAATAATACCGCAGACTACGAAAAGCGTAGCATAGCTCATACTTCAGCAAGGAAAAGCAATGTCACGATTGGATTGTGCAAAACGTTCATCCAATCCTTCTGCAATTCTTCCTTGAAACTTAGCCATCGCGCGGTCCCATCTTCCCACTGCCGTATCCATTCATCTCCACTGTTATCCTGACAGCGGTCCCTCGCTTAGAGACCCTGTACAATATTCTCCTTTGTTCCTGGTCAGCATCCCGGTCCATGCCAGGATCTCCCTCGCAGGCACGCCACGCGATTCATCGTCGGCCGACCTCGGCGTTTCTACGGTTTCTAAACCTACTCTCAGGCCAAGTCTACCGCAACGAGTCGGGGATCAGGAACGCGCTGCCGGACCGCTGAACACGTTCATAACGTTCCGAAATATGATTTCATGACGACATACTGGCGGTATGTAGTTATTCAAACTGACTCCGTTCCCATAGGCGGTTTCGTACAGAGTGATGGCGTTGGGGCTTAGTTTCTTTGTTCCACCTAGTCCTGGATTGCAGGGCGGTGGCGGTGGTCGGACGGCTGCAGATGTCAGTCGATGAGCGAGATCGAAGACACCGCTGGCGTGGGTGGATGGTGGGAGGTGGGTTTGGGGAGATTGGATTCTGGAACGGTGAGCCTGAATTCTGACTGAGGGGTTGGAACTGGGGGATGGCGGTCTAGAATGAGTTCAAGGATGTATATGCCACTCTGAATGTTTATATAAATGGTGGAGGTCGTGGGACTATCTTAGATTAATCAAATCCACAACTTACTGCCTTTGATTCCAGCAACATACTATCTATCAATCTACAAGTCTTTTCACTACCGAAAAAGATACCAACTCGTTCATCATGGTCTCCCTTACCCAAATCGCCCTTTTGGCCCTGACCATGGGCGCCGCAACCATCGACGCGCAATCTGGAAAGACAACTAGATACTGGGACTGCTGCAAGTCCTCCTGCGGCTGGCCCGGCAAGGCCAATGTCAACCAGCCCATCCGCAGCTGTGACAAGTCCGACAACCCACTCGCGGACATGAACACACAGAGCGCCTGCAACGGAGGCTCGGCATACATGTGCACGAACCAAAGCCCATGGGCCGTCAACACCAACCTGGCCTACGGTTTCGGTGCCGTCAAGCTCGCCGGCGGCAGCGAGTCAACCTGGTGCTGCTCTTGCTACGAGTACGCTTCCCCATGACCCACCAACATACTTTCTCCTGCTAACACTCCCCCAGACTCACATTCACCACCGGCCCCGTCGCAGGCAAGAAGCTGGTCATCCAGGCCACAAACACGGGCTCCGATCTGGGCGACAACCACTTCGATCTGGCGATGCCTGGTGGCGGCGTTGGCATTTACAACGCTTGCACCAACCAATTCGGCGCTCCTGCTCAGGGCTGGGGACAGCAGTATGGCGGCATCTCGCAGCGATCCGAGTGTGATTCTTTCCCCACGAAGCTCAAGGCTGGATGCTACTGGAGGTTCGACTGGTTCATGAACGCCAACAACCCGGATGTGACGTTCAAGCAGGTCACCTGCCCCAAGGCCATCACCGACAAGTCAGGGTGCGTGAGGAACTAGAGCAGAGGAGCGTGTTGGGGGAAGGACGAAGGAAAAGAAATTTGTATGAGTTTTATGAAAATATAAATGAACATTGAATTGGGACAGGATTACTTCCTAGTGTGGAGATTGTCAGTCCATCATCATTCCACGTCTGCTCGATTGAGAAGCGTTCGGTGATTACGAGGAATAACCTTGAAGGTGATCATTTGGATGGTGGGAGGGAACTCCTGCAGCGAAGTCTTACAACAGTTAGACAGCTACATGCGAAGTTCAAGAAAAGTTTGTGCGCCTGGGGTATTACATTCACTCTTGTTGTTTGGTCGCGTTGCTCTGCTGAGGAGAACACGACTTCTAACCCCTAATTCAATGGTGAGGGCAACAAGAGATCAACATCCAAGTTGATGCCAATGACCACGAGGCGTCTGGAGATCAACGTTGACAAGGAGCTATCCGTGCGCCAATCACCGCCCGGCGATTTTGTGGACCTGCAGATGAAATCCCTCTAATCAATCTGAAACACAGTGACGTCGGGCTAGCACCATGCATAACCAAGGGATTGCCCTCATCCATGGCTGATACATCAGGCAAAAGAGACCACAACGCCTGACAGGACCAAGCATCCAAACGTCTTGCGTATCCCGGTCTCCTCCATAACAACCATTCGAATGCTCAAACACCGTTAAGCCGGTTGTATGTATACTCGTATCTGACCATACCAACGCATGACATCGTATCAACTAGATCAGCCCAACGCGGAGGCGCAGATCGTCCGCACTGCTCGGGGCTTGGACGATGATCGCAATTGGTGCTTTGCTCTTCAAGGTCGACTCCCTCCTTCTAAACCGTCTCCTGCAGCCGACCATTCTTCGAACAAAACCGCGGTCCACGGCTGCAATTCCCCGCAAAGTAAACGTCGACACATTCGATGGCTTTGCACACATCGCTACGCTTTCATTTCAGCACACATCCTTAGCCCACATACCTCGTTAGGTAACTGCCTTTCTTTCTTTCATTCTCTCCACTCCTTGCGTTGGCTGGCTGAGCCACCATATTCTCTTCAGTCATGCCTCACCCCGCTTTCGTCTGCCGCGTTTTACTCATGGTTGTTTTTTCCGTCTCCGTCATCAATCTTCTCACTAGCATTGGCGCGCCTTCACTGTTCTTGAGCTACGCCAAACCCGCTTCATCTCATAGCAAGGAGGAGGTACTCTGCCCGCAGTCCCAACTCGCCGACGACGTTTTGGTCATTCTGCGCACAGGCGCGACGGAGTCGAGGGAAAAGGTGCCCGTGCATTTCCGCACAACGCTAAGATGCGTGCCGAACTTTGCCGTCTTCTCAGACTGGGACGAGGAGATTGAGGGCCACCAGGTGGAAGATGTGCTCGGGGGCGTGAGCCAGGAGACGAGGGACTCGAACGAGGATTTCAAGCTCCATCGCCATCTGCAAGAGCATGGGCGGGACGGGCTGCAGAGCCAGAAGGTCATTACGGCGCTGTCCGGGTCGTCGAAGGGCGACTATCTGCAGACGGATAAGGAGGGGTGGAAACTGGATAAGTGGAAGTTTCTGCCCATGATTGACCGCGCGTTCGAGAAGAAGAAGGATGCGAAATGGTACGTTTTCATCGAGGCTGATACTTATCTCGCTTGGAACAACCTCCTCGCCTACCTCGCTACTTTCGACGATACAAAGCCCTACTACATCGGCAAGCACCTCTACATCAACGGCGTAGAATTCGGCTACGGCGGCGCCGGCTTCGTGCTCTCGCAGCCAGCAATGCGTAAAGTCATCGCCCAGCGCTCCCCGCGCATCCACGAATACGAAGACTTCACCAAAACGCACTGGGTCGGCGACTGCGCGTTAGGAAAAGTCCTCGCCGACTCTAAAATTCCTCTGCACCGCGGCTTCCCACACTTCCAAGGCGACTCGCCCGCCACGCTCGACCCCGCCACCGTAAAGATAAACCGCGACCTGTGGTGCTTCCCCCTCGTCACCGCCCACCACATGAGCACCCCCGAGATCGAGGCACTCTGGCGCTTCGAACAGGACTGGCTCGCGCAGCACGGCCCGGACGTGCTGCTGCGCCACCGCGATGTCTTCACCGACTTGATCCGTCCGCAGATCGCACCCGAGCTGCCCTTTTGGGACAACTTGTCCGCGGATAAAGAGTACAATGCGCATGACCACGCCGTCTCAGCCGATGCGTTTGAACGCAGTGCGTGGAAGTCGTTTGAGCACTGCCGCGCCTTGTGTGATAGCCAGCCGCGCTGTGTGCAGTTCTCGTTCGACGCGGGGAGTTGCGCTGTGTCGGGGGCGTTTCGGATGGGGTTTAAGAGGCCTGGGGAGCGGGTCAGGAGCGGGTGGATGCTTGATCGTGTTGATGGGCTGTTTGGGGGGTTGGAGGATAGGTGTGGAGTGAGGGATTGGTTTGGGCCTGAGGATGAGGGGGGGAATAGGGCAGAGGCGAAGATGAGGAGGAGACGCGGGGTTTGAGGTGTGGTGCTTTGCATTGGTGGCGTCTTTTTGTGTTTGTGCTGAGATAGATGTGATACCCCGATACACTCGCTATATCATCTTTTTTTTTCCTGTTAGAATAAAAGATATTGTTCTACGATGTTGTCTAGCCTGTATATATTCATTCAACTATCGATAATACATCTACTTGGACAAACAAATCTCTCATCGTTAGTGATACCATGTAATCCCATCCTAGAAGAAACCTAGCACACAAGAATCACTCCAACCACTACTCTACGTCTCCATCACACTCACTTCTCAGCAGCCACCTCATGTCAAAGCAAGTCTCACCCCCCACGACAGCGTCTAACCCTCCATCTGCTCTTTCTATTCATTCCCTCGTACACCCACCAGGATCCACGCTCCAAGTTCTGCACAAAAACTTTTGCTTGTACGTGTAGCTCTGCGCCTTCTCTATGTTTTTCATCCTGGCTAGGCTTGATACTGGAGTGCACGTGTATGCGGGGGGTATGTATTGAATAGTATAGCATAGCACAATGACACGCGTGGGGCGCGATCAGCATCTCAAGTCCGTGTAGTAGAGCATAACATAGCATAACACGATGCGCATATGTATATGTACATAGCCACCAACCCAACATTTCACATCCCATCCATCGATGAACAAAACTTCAATTCACAAACGCGCCAAACCCGTTACCCACGCATCCCCCAACTAATCCGACCCATAGTTCTCCTCAATCTCCTCCTGATACTCCTCCTGCGCCTCAATAAGTTCCTCCCTTGCCTCTTCCATCGACTCGCGATCGCTGCTAGAAATCGAGCTACCGTCGGAGTCCTGCGTGGGCACAGGGGGCGGGGTTGCGAAAGCCGGGTCGGCGTAGGGATCCGCGGCGGCGGCGGGGGCGGCGTAGGTAGGGTCTGCAGGGGCGGGGGCGTAGACGGGAGCGGCAGGAGCGGGTGCGTATTGCTTTTGCTTGTCGTCGTCGGAGTCGTCTTCGGCTGGGAGGGAGGGGGGGTTAGTAGGGTGGAAGGGAAAGGGAGGGGGAAGGCGGGCGTACTGAGTTCGTGGCCAATCCAGGCTCCCGCTGCTACGCCGCCTATGCCGGCTGCGGCGAGCATGGCGGTCGAGTGGCCTTTGTCCTTCTTCTCTTTTTCCTTGGCCTGGTCGCCGTAGCCCTGCGAGTAGTCCTGTCCGCCGTGTTGGGGCGTGTTGCCGAAGAGGCCGCGGTCGTCGTGGGCAGCCTGGGGTTGGTATGGCGCGCCTGGTGGCGGCGGGGCGTAGGGGCCGGGAGGCAGATGGGAGGGGGGGTCCCATTGCGTGCGTCCGGTTGCTTGCTCGATGTAGAACCAGCGTTGGCTGTTTTGGTCCCATTGCTGTGTCCAGCCTGGAGGCATTGGAGGGGGTGCTCCGTAGGGTGCGGGAGGGCCCACGGGGACTGGGGCGCCTTGGCCGTAGGGTTGTTGTTGCTGGTGCTGCTGGTAGTAGCCTGGACCTTGTGTTGAGTGGGACTGCTGCTGTTGGTATTGGCCTGGCTGTTGGGGGGGATAGGATTGTTGCTGCGGCGGGTAGGATTGCTGCTGAGGCGGGTAGTTGTTCTGTCCGCCGTAGGGGTCAGAGACTGAGCGATCTCCGTGAGATGCACCGCCTGGCGCACCATAGGGATCGGCGTGGGGAGTCTCCTGTGTCTCTGGTTGCATGTCAGGTGAGGGCATAGTCTTTCAGTGCATCAATATTACTCTGCTTGCTCTTCTCCTTGTCATCATCATCATCCAGCAGCTCCTTCATCTTCTTCTTGAGGAAGTCCATTGCGGAGAAGTATGATTCAGAAATTGATAAAATCTATGGATAATCGAGAGTTCAAGGCAGTCGAGAAGTAGAGGCTATGAAGCCAGGGTCTACGAGGGGCTTTAAATACGGCAGCATTGGGTTATCTGCCCGCAGCGGGGCAGTTTAAGAGGACCCTCGGGGTATGTTGCCCAGGGTGTCTGAGCACAATGCTTATGCTGCATGTACCCGGCAAGGATCGCTCATGTAGTCCAGTGGGGAACGTGAGAGATCAGACCAGTTTCAACGGCAAACATACCGAGCGAGTGTGGTCTGTGAGGGTCTGTTCAATCCAAGGGTCAACCTCCTTTTCGCTGCGTGGACCATGGGATAGGGTGGAATAAGCTATGTCCTGTGCTATGCAAACTCCAGTGCCTCTCCTCAGACAGACTCTGTATGTTAGTTCCTCGTCTCCAGGTGAGGTATGAGGTGATGGTCGGATAACTCGGAATTGGAGTGGATCGAGCCGAGCCGGCAAGTGCCTGACTAGGTAGGATGTGCATTGCATCTCTACTTGTGCGGTGAAGTGGCGCGGTAGCGGCGCACGCACAGCCACGTAGGGTAGCTTGGCAGCTGGTGGAGCAGGTATAGCCGAGGCGCTGACTACATGCGTTCGAGTCACGTGGAAGTGGAGGCTTTTGGATATTCGAATCGAGGTATTTTGCCAAGCGACTGTGAAGAACGCCGAACAAAATTAATTGGTGAAAGACCGATGAGAGAGGATTTGGACACGACAAGTAGACATGACTGAAATAGGACGGAAAGAGAGTCCGGCTTTTCCAGTTGGTACTGTGCGACGTCGTGGGCGGGCCGCCGGACGATAAGCGAGGAGCATGGGAGGGAAGGGTCTACGGTCTGCAGAGGGAGCGTCGAGGAGAGTCTGAAGCTGAGATGAGCTGGGCATGAGAAATTGTCTCGCGTGCGTGGCCGTGGGGGCTGGAGGACGAAATAAAAGGTAAATGGGGATTGCTGGCGCAGGGATGGGTTGTTTGGTGTTGTTGTTCGGCTACGTGGAACAGATCTCGATCCAAGCAGGGATGCGTGTTCCAGACTACGGGCTAGCCTTGGCACATGACGTACAGGTAAGCATTGCCGCGATCCGAAAGGGTTCGGAATCGTCATAGGGCGTTCCGTAGCCAATGCGCGACAAGGCGAGGCAGGACGAGCGTCGCGTCTGGGAAGCTCGTTGGCTCTTGGTGTGTGTTTATGGCTGTTCTCGGAGGGGGCCCGTGCGTGTGGAGCTTAGAGCGAGCCGGGGTCCACTGGCGATCTGCATGCGTCAAGTCATCCCATCCCGTGCTGTAGTCGAAGGATGCGAGAAAAGGCGGGCGGGTGCGAGGTTCCTGCGTGAAGGCGTGTCAAGGACGCGGCTGCTGACCTGACCGCTACATGCCCTCGACGAGCCGGAGCTCCCCCCGCCCGACAGACAGACAGATAGACGGACAGACTGACAGCTTGACACTGACAGCCCGACGTGCCCTCTGCATTGCTGTCTCCTGCGCGTCGTCGTCGGTCTAGCGCGAACGCTTGGGGCTTGAGGCTTGAATCGTCTCCAGGCCTTGCTGGCATACGTTCGTGGCCACCTCACGCCGACAGCAGTGCTCCGTACCCAACAGCACAGTAGACCGAGTGGGCATGCCTGCAATCGCCATCGCCATCGCCCTCGCCATCGCAATCTAGGAGGGTAGCTCGTGGCGATTGGCGACCGGCTCCTTCAGCCGACTAACGCATCACCGCATCTCTATGCTCCAACCGCGCTCCATCTTTACCGGCACCTGTCCAGCGGCATCTTCCGACACCAGCGACGAGAGCGAGTCCCTGCCCCCAGCACCACCACGCCCAGCACCCGCACACGCACCGCCCACGCCCGTCGACCGCCCTCTTGCCCTCGCCGCCGCGCCCGACGCATGGCCGCCGTCCCTTGAGCCCGCCCCGACACACGCGACGGCCGCCGACCCAACCCTCTCGCAGGCAGCCGGCAGGAAGCGCAAACCGTCGGCGCCCGCCAGCCAGCCGCTGCTCAAGCGCCGCCGGCTGCAGCGACTCGCCAGCCTCAGCCTCTCCAAGAGCGTGCACATCCGCAACAGCGGCCAGCCCCCGTCGCCCCTGTTCTTCTCGTCGCACCGCACCCGCCCGCACCTGCCCCCGCGCTTCTCCAGCTCAGAGGCCGCCGCCAGGATGCTCAGCAAGACGCGCGCCGAGGAGGGCGGCATCAAGACCGTCACCCTCGCCCGCGGCACCTACAGCGGCCTGAGCCCCCCCGGGCCCGCCGCCCTGTCCAGCGGCCGCACCTCGGCCCGCTCGAGCATGCCGCCGACGTGCTCCCCCGAGGCGCGCGAGAGGAGCGACCCCCTGCGCCTGCTGGGCTCCGTCGGCATCGTCGAGCTGCTGGAGCAGGACACGCGCCCGACCTTCATCGTCGACATGGACGACTTCACAAATTATGCCCCCGAGTCGCCGGGCCTGCAGATCCTCTTCGCCAACAACGCCCTGCGCTCGAGCCCCGCCATCTGGGACACCGTCACGGGGAAGCCGCCAGACGACGCCGTCGACGACGCCCTGGCACGTGCTACGGACCAGTTCCGCGGCTGGCTGCTGAGCACCGTGCTGCAGGGTGACCTTGTGCACGCCAACCCCGCGCCCGTCGAGCACGGTGGCCTGGTGTGGTCGTGCTATACCCTGCGAAAGCGTCTCCGCGTGTGCTGCGCCGACGCCCAGTCCCATGCTGCAGGCGTCCCATCCACAAGCGCGTCCAACGACTTCGCCATACCCTCGAGCTCGTCACTCGCCCTCGCTTCCGCCAACACCATGGACACGACGCTTTCTGCGCAGAGAAGCGAGCCGCAGGACTACTTTGGTAGCACCAGTACTAGCTCCGTGCCTTCTGTTGCAGAAGTCCAACCCACGCCTCCAACCGCTCAATCTCAGCACACCGCCGAGCAAACCACCAATACATCCAGCAATGCCAGCGCCCTCGGCATCTTCAACAAACCTTCCAGTTTAAATGTCTTGTCAGTCGAAGAATCACTATCCTTTACCAATGAGTGCGTGCTCAGTGCTCACGCTGCTGGCGACATTGACTCTTTTCACAGAGAAGCGAACACCACCAGCCTAGATCACGACATGGGTTTCTTCGATTGGACCCGCCTATCCTTGTCGCCCTCTTTGCCTCCTCACATCCAATTCGCACGCTCAGTCGACTGGGCTTCGACGCCGCTAGGTCCCATTGAATTCTGGTCAAACGACCTTCGCGCCATGTGTAACCTGATTATGTAAGCATTTAACATCCTTAACAACCCCGATATACTAACCATCACCAAGGGCGAGTCCGCACCCTGCGGCCATGTACTGGGGTGAAGAGCTAGTTGCTATCTACAACGAGGCCTACATTGGTCGGTAACATGCTCCCGTGCACCACGCCCACTCGCTAACGTATGGCATAGGACTTGCGGGCCAGAAGCATCCCACCCTCATGGGACAGAGCTACAAAGTGGCTTGGGCAGAGATCTGGGACGACGTCAAGGACGTCTTTGCAAACGCCCGCATCACCGGGCAGGCCACGATGAAAGACGACGATTGTTTGTTCATGAAGAGAAACGGATTTCTTGAAGAAACGTATTTTTCATGGTCCATCATTCCCATGGTGGGAGAGGATGGTACCGTAATGGGACTGTACAATCCTGCTTTCGAGAAGACGAGGAGGAAGATTGCCGAACGCCGGATGCTTACCCTTCGAGAAGTCGGCGAACGGACAGCTACTGCTCGAGATGTCAAAAGCTTTTGGGAGCAGGTTCTGCTAGCATTGACGGAAAACGAATTCGACACTCCATTCGTCATGCTGTATTCTGTATGCGACGAAAATGACAGTGACGCGTCCTCTTTGCACTCTAGCAGTTTGATTGGAGCAAAGCACTGTTACTTGGAAGGGTCGCTGGGAGTTCCCATGGGCCACGAGGCTGCCCCTGAGATGATTGATTTGAAAGAAGGACAAGAAGGCTTTGGACCTGTTTTCCGCGAGGTGATGAAGACGGACAAACCGGCCGTCGTAGGCATCGGGACTGCAGATCTCCCGCAAGACATGATGGAAGATCTCGAGTGGCGGGGCTTCGGAGATGCTTGTCGGGACGTGGTCATTTGCCCCATCCACCCAACCACAGGCGAAACAATACTAGGTTTCCTCGTAATGGGCGTTAATCCGCGACGGCCGTACGACGACGACTACAATCTGTTCATTCAACTTCTGAGTCGACAGCTCGGCACATCTTTGGCCTCGGTCGTTCTTTTCGAGGAGGAGATTCGGAGGGGCCAGAAGGCAGCCAAGCTAGCGGCGGAGGACAGATTCAACCTTTCGGAGCAGCTTGCCGCCCGCACGCAAGAAGCTAGAGAGAGTGAGACCAGGTTCACTAGAATGGCTGAATACTCCCCAGCTGGTCTCTTCATTGCGGACCACGTTGGAAGGATAACCTATTGCAACGACACCTGGTTCGAGATATCGCGTGTCCCCAAAGAGCAAGAGAAGACAGATCGATGGGTTGACTACGTCAAAGAGGAGGACCAAAACCTTATCTTGGAGCACTGGAAACGGCTCGTGGACAATGCCACACCCATCAATATCGAATTCAGATTCAAGGCCAGTTTTGAGTTTCGATTGGAAGACCGAAACCGCAATATCTCAGATACGTGGGTCCTCTTCAGCGCATTTCCCGAAAAGGACGAAGACGGGCAGCTCAAGAGCGTGTTTGGGAGCATCACCAATATTAGTCCACAGAAGTGGGCAGAGGGATTCCAAAAGAGAAAGATGGAGGAAGCCGTGGAGCTCAAGCGGCAGCAAGAGAATTTTATCGACATCACGAGTCACGAGATGCGCAACCCTCTAAGCGCAATTTTGCAGTGCGCCGACGAGATATCCACCATTCTAAGCGATTTCAGATCTTCCGGGTCTGAGATCGTTGATCAGAGTGTCATAACCGACTCTATCGACGCAGCCCAGACTATCGCGCTGTGCGCACAGCATCAGAAGCGGATCGTGGATGATGTTCTCACGCTGTCAAAAATCGACAGCGCGATGCTCATGGTACGTCTTGTCAATTACAACACGTAAACTTGCTGACACATATGTTAGGTTACCCCGGTAGACGCACAGCCCTTGCAGGTAGTCCAGCGTGCTTTGAAGATGTTCGAAGGCGAAGTGCAGACGGCCGGCATCCAGATGGAATTTATCATCGCTGATACGTTCAAAGAGCTTAAGGTGGACTGGGTGAAGATTGATCCGTCCCGCGTGCTCCAGGTAGGGCAATTCGAAAGTTGATGCAAAGAAGTGCTAACCGCTTGTAGGTTCTGATCAACTTGACGACCAACGCTATCAAATTCACCACAACCGAGGAGACGCGAATCATCAAGGTCATCCTAGCCGCGTCACGCAAACGACCCTCCGCCACCAGAACCCCCTGTGTCAGCTACTTCCCCATGCGATCGAGGCGGATAGACCAAACACTCGGTCCCGATTGGGGTGAGGGTGACGAGATCTTCCTGGAATTCGCCGTGCAAGACACGGGTCGAGGGCTCACGCCAGAGGAAAAGAAAGTCCTCTTCCAACGCTTCTCCCAGGCCAGTCCCCGCACACACGTACAATACGGCGGCTCAGGCCTTGGTCTGTTCATCTCGCGAGAACTGACGGAGCTGCAAGGCGGCGAGATAGGAGTCTCGTCCGAAGCAGGAAAGGGAAGCACGTTTGCCTTTTACGTCAAATGCCGACGAAGCAGCGAGCCAACCGAAGTCATCGAAAGCATACCCGCCGTATCGCTAACACGCAAATCCTCAAACGCAAAGGAAAAAGGCAGAATCGACGCTCCGAAAATCAAAGACTTTGGCGCCGCTCCCGCAAAGATGCCCGGCAGGAAAAAACCAAAGAAAATAGACCTCCACATCCTCATCGTAGAGGACAATCTCGGTTCGTCTCATAATCCTACCCCCCCGCACCCCCAACTAACCCAGCAATCCAGTCAACCAAAAAGTCCTCCAACGCCAACTCCACAACCACGGCTTCACAACCCAAGTCGCCAACCACGGCGGCGAAGCCCTCGAGCGCCTAAAAGCATCCACATACTGGAAAGACGCCGCCCCCAACGCAACGCAAATCAGCGTCGTCCTCATGGACAAGGAAATGCCCGTCATGGACGGCCTGCAATGCACGAACAAGATCCGCGAGCTGGAGAGTAAGGGTATGCTTAGGGCCCATGTGCCGATTATTGCTGTCACGGCGAATGCGCGGAGTGAGCAGATTGCTACGCTGTTGGGCGCGGGGATGGTATGTTTTTCTCCCTTTCTCTTTTTTTTTTCTTTTACAGGGGGGGGGGATGGGGATGGGGATGGGAATAAAGGCTAATACGGAGATAGGACGATGTTGTTTCGAAGCCGTTTCGTATTGGAGAACTTATACCGAAGATTGAGGAGTTGGCTAGTAAACATCGCGATGCGTCGAATGATCCGCCGAATCTGGCGGCTATTCGGAGGGAGACTGTGGCTTGATTGATTAACTCTTTTGGTGGACTGCGGATGTTGGTGCTTTGCTGGGATTGGTGGGTGTACCCAGCGGTAAGGTGAGGGCGTGGAGTGTGTATGTACAACCTCGACAACAACCTCGACGACGACGGCGCGACGTGTACGTCTTCTTGTATCCATCCCGCTCGACACAACACGACACGAATTGTGGGATTTTTCGGCGTTTGAGCGCGCATTGGCTTTGGTCTTTATTTCGCATTGGCGGGTAGTAAGGTTGATTTCGACTGGTGTTGATTGGTATAGGCGTTTCTTGGGTGGAGTGCGGATGGGATGGGAAAGGGAAAAAGGAGGCGGTTTTGTTTACTTTAGTTTTTGAAGCTTTGCGAAAAATTATATTGAGGCGTGAGGCTGGATAGAGGGGAGGGGATGGTTAGAGGGAGGGGGGGGAGGAGAGGCTGCATATACACAGCCGTCAGTGAATGAATATCTATCTAATGTGAGATCGTCTTTGGAGTTTGTGGTGTTTGACCTGTTCGGATGTATATATATCGCGATGCTGTCAAGAGAGGACATCGCCGTTTCTGTACTCATTGCCAGAGATTGTCCCTCTCTCTCCAACTCTAAGATGACACGTGAAGATACGACGAAACAACTCCTCTTACTTATTCCCTTCCCCCTCCAAGCAGTCTACGCCCAGTCAGCAGTTTTGTACATTCTTTTGCTGTAGGAAGCTCGCATCATGCTCTCGTGTAAAAGCTAGACGCCGAAAGAGAGGCTTGTGTTTAAGCATGCAACACTACAACAACAACAATACATCTACACCATCAAAAGAACAGGGTAATTTACCTATCAGGAGAGACAAAAGTGCTTGCACTTGTTTTCAGATTCCTTCGAAAATGTGTTGTTCTGATGATCTGACACTGTGTTGGGGGTACCCACTATTCACAGCTTTGAAGGTAGATATATCACTTTGGGGAATCTTGTTCGTTGGAATAAACAACGTGGGCCTGGAAAATATGTGTGGAGGGTAGTTCTAGGTGTGTGGTGTCGAGGATATTGGGTTTTCTTGCGTGGAAGTCTGCTACACTCCACCTTCTCCATCTTCACAATCGAGTCTGTAGAAGGAGTAGAAAGATTGTTTTTTTCTAAACAGCGAGCCAATGCCAAAATGACCTTCAAGAGATGGTATGATGCGTATGCAAAACCTTCGTCGTGAATCATCAGTTCGGAGTTCTATCCATTTGTTGTCAAAGTTGAAAGCGGAGCCGCCTCTGTGAACCCCATCATCCTCGCGGAGAGAAGGAAAAGCTAGTCCGCACACATACTGTCTGTCATCACACTCATACTTGCCCTACACCTTTTTAGGAAGCTAGCATTGTGTCTCGGGTGAAGCTGAAAATTGGAAGTAAGGTAAGATTGGTATCTAAACAACCTACACCACCACAACGATATATTTGCGCTATGTGAGAAAAGGAGATGGACTTGTTAAGAGCTACCAAAGGCCATGCACTTTTTAGATTCCTTACAAAATTGTGGTGTTCTGATGATCTGACACTGTTTTGGGAGTACCCACAGTCACGCTATTCCCGGCTTTCCACCTCACCCGAAGGATCATCTTCCCGTCCGAACAGCCTCTCTTATCACCGGAAAGTACGTCATGCGGCGAGCTTGGTCATATTGAATGCTGCATGTAGCTTGGCTGTGGGGATGTCGAAGCGTCTAGGCTTGATGAGGCAGGAGCAAAACCGTCGTGCATATGCGAACGAGGCTTTTATTCGACAGCCTCACCGAGGCTCGAGATAGTGACCGCAAGAACCCCATGCAATAAGCTTTTCCAAGATAACAAGCCTTTTCAGAATTGCTTAAATATGCCAAGGGATGCTCTGCTTTTTTCACATCTGTTCTGCCTTCGCCTGTCACCATGTTCGCTAAGTCGGTAGCCACGTCGTTGTTGGCCGTTTCGTCTCTTGCGCTGCAAGCCAATGCGGTCTCCAAGAAGCAATGGAGCAAGCGGAGCGATCATCTGTACCTGCCAAAGGCGGTCCATGATTTCAAGAATGCTACCGCTCCGAACAACGTCACTATTCGATACAAGAATCCTGGCATTTGTGAGACTACTCCAGGCGTAGATAGCTACTCTGGATATGTGGATCTTACACCTGATGTAAGTGTCATTCCTGCTAAAAAAATCTTTTTCTGACATACCACAGGTTCATGTATTCTTCTGGTTCTTTGAGTCTCGTAACAACCCAGCTGAAGACCCCTTCACACTCTGGCTTAACGGCGGGCCCGGCTCGGACTCGCTCATCGGCTTGTTCGAAGAAAATGGTCCTTGCATGATCAACGACGATCTGACAACAGCTTACAACCCGTACAGCTGGAACAATGTTTCTAACATGCTGTACATCTCCCAGCCCGTCGGAGTAGGGTTCAGTTACCAGCAGGAAGGCGTTGGCAGCTTCAATGCGTTGTCCGAAGACTTCCATTACAATTCGACCGAATGGCCTGCAACAGGCCGATGGCCACTTTCGGAACCACTCAACACTGGCACGATTGACACCACAGATCTTGCCGCCGTCGCAGCCTGGGTAAGCTTCAAACCACAGATCGTATGTGAGACATTTGCTAACCGCACCCGAAATGTGTAGCACGTATTCCAAGCGCTGCTGGCTACTATTCCAAAATTCGACGCGAAGCTTGGAGCCTTGAGTCCTGCGAGGGAATTCAACCTGTTTACAGAAAGCTACGGCGGCCATTACGGTCCGGCGTTCTACGACTACTTCTACAACCAAAACCTGAAGATCGAGAACGGGAGCATGCCTGGCTACCCGCTCAACTTCAACTCCCTCGGCATAATCAACGGTATCATTGATGAATCCGTCCAAGCCGAGCACTACCCCGAGTTTGCCGTCAACAACACCTACGGCATCAAGGCGTACAACGACACCGTCTACTCGTACGCCAAGTTCGCCAACAACATGTTCAACGGGTGTCTTTACCAGATCGCTCTCTGCCGCGCCGCCGCCGAAGGCAATACCAGCTACTACCACGCCGACGCGCCCATCACCGAAGCCGAGCTGACCCCGGGCGTGATGCAGATCTGCAACGAAGCGCAGGACATGTGCCGCGACAACGTCGAGTCCCCTTACTACTACTACAGCGGCCGTGGTGTCTACGACATCCGCCACCCGTACGACGACCCAACCCCGCCTTCCAACTATCCCGCCTACCTCAACCAGGGCGAGGTGCAGGAGGCGCTGGGCGTTACGCTCAATTACTCAGGCAACAATGGCGTCTACTATGCGTTCCAGAATACCGGAGACTTCATCTTCCCCAACTTCAGGCTCGATTTGGAGTACCTGCTTGACCAGGACGTGCGTGTCAGTCTGGCATATGGCGATGCTGACTATATCTGTAAGATAGATTTCCTGCGTTTCATGCTCGAGATTTGCTAATCAAGCGCAGGCAACTGGTTCGGAGGCGAAGCCATCAGTCTCGCAGTCGAATACACCCACGAGCAAGAATTCCGCGGCGCAGGCTACGACGCCATGGTAGTAGACGGCACCGAATACGGCGAGGTGCGCCAGTACGGTAACTTCAGCTTTGCGCGCATCTACGAGTCCGGGCATGAGATTCCGTACTACCAGCGTAAGTCTCTTTCCCCGGCTCAATCCCCCACGTAGTGAAAAGTCCCTTGCTAACAATATACTAGCTGTCGCCGCACTGGCTTACTTCAACCGCACGCTGTTCCACTGGGACATCGCTACGGGCGGAGAAAAGGTCTCGGCGAATCTCACCTCGTCGGGGATGGCGAATGCAACGCATACGAACTCTTTCGTGCCGTTGACGTCGTCGTATGTTCAGGCTTTCCCGTCGCCTATTTACCCGGCGACGACGGCTGCGTACTAGTTTTGCACCGTGTTGCTTCGGTTCGGATCAACGTTGAGTTGGTTGGATTGAGGCAGGCTTTGGTGTGCTGGTTATGATGAAATGAATTATCGTGTAATGAAGCTAGGTACAAAAAAATCATCATGTAGTGTGGCGAAATGATATTGGTCACGTATGATAAATAGCTTGACTGAAATGTTGCTCTTTGATGTGCGATACATCGATAGGAATACAAGGAAACCCTACCATACTCTATAGAAATGTGGTTGCCGTCAGTGATTCTGACGCTGGGCTATACTACGAGGCTACACATTAGATATCACTGACCTAAACACTCGTTCACCGAAAAGTGAAGATAGTGATAAAACTTGTTCGAACTACAAATAAGATAAAACAGACAAGTTCATAACGATCCTACCTCATTATACAGGAACACTAGAACATTGGAAAATTTTCATCTCGTTCTATTGAACCTTGCTATCAATTAGAAACATCCGGCCGAAACAGATGAAATCCGATTCTTCTATTCTACCAATAAAGTGAAGTCCTTTGAAGCGAGCTCCAAGGTGTAAGAACTTACATTTTCTCCGACACCGGACTGTGTATCGATGGAGATATAAACAGAAGCACCTACCCATCACCAGCTAGGATTTCTAAGTCTAATCTAGGGTAGATTCATGGTATCTGCGAGCATACAGGGGGCGTCTCGAAAAACCACTGTGACTTTCATCATGCTGTTGTTACAGTGAATGGGTTGTCGACGCATGCTACTCAATATCTCCGAGTCCACTCCGTTACTTGCGGGGCTCGTATTCCCATGGCGAGGGGCAAAATGCTCGTGCACCTCGTTCAGTCAGACATAGCGTTGATCATAGCATAGACGTCTGCCTATTGTGCCCGTGAGGCGAAATTCTCGGAGTAGACATTTGACCCGGCTCTTATCTGTCGACAGGACAATCCCCAGAAGACGTATGCAAGGAGATGCAGTTAAGCAGCTATGAGTGTAGGTGCTGAAGACAAGATGCAGGATCTGGATGGCGTACACACTGCTGATGATGCCTTATACTCTCATGAACTCGGCCGAATACTTCTTCACCCGTGCGCGTCATCGCCTCGGGGAACAAGGCGAGCCGAGGAGAGGCGACGGACAAGTGGAAAAAACTCGGCAAAGGAGCATTAGGGGCGATCGAGAAGGCGTCGAGGAGGGAGATCGTAGACGAGGTTTGGAAGAGACATGGATGTGGTGGTTGAAAAGGGCGGCGCTAACTTGCGTAGAGCATCATCTCCCGAAAGCGTCAGACTGGACAAGGGTGTGTTGACCCTAGAGTGTATTTCACACTTGTATGCTGGTCGCGGCAGTTGGTAGTTTACTGTGGATGCAGTTCGCCTTGATCGCTCGTCATGGATACAGATTCCAAGTCCTCAACTTTGGACACGCATCATTAGTGCTGCTTCCCAGAAACGGACGGTACGCTTTCTGTGTGTACGTACGCCATGCTTGATGTAGTTACGGATAACGGTGTGCAACGTCACCATGACCGTGTCTACATGAAGAAAACGTCTAGTGTAGTTTTTGCGCGCTTCACATGTTCGAGGCATGCTAGCTATTCATATCGTAAGCCAACAATTCGGATGCGTGTTGTGCTGGTTTGACGATGGATAGCCCTGTTTGACTGGTAGTCTGAGCTGTGTCGAGATATGCATGTCAAGGACATTAGGAGTAATGCATGTGGCAACGTTGATTGGCCTCATCTCCGCATGAAATTAGGTTGAGAAAGTTTCCAGTAGGTACCGTGTCTGTGATAGGTAGGAAAGCCAGTTTTTAGCCTTTTTGCAAGGTTTGTTAATCGCAACCTGAAACACAAACGGTTAAGATGTCGTGGCAGAATGGTGAATGGATCGATTGACTTGGCACCTGTAAACTACCTCGGACACAGGTGGCTAAAGTACACATGGCAACGTGCAGTCGCAATAAAGTTGCTGGTGAAACACGGAGAGGGCGAAGTGTGTTCATTGGAGGCCACGGAAGTGGTTGCATGAGTGCTGATCTCGAGTCGGCTGAGGGCGACTAACAGCGACAGCGGCGCGGACCGTGTGAACAGCTGTTCAGTAAGTTTCGACAGCCGTTGAGCCAGCTGAAAGGTGTTGAGAGAAAGGTCATGTGCCGACGACAGGTGTTGTAGGGATTGCCGTGCGCTTACAATGGTTTTGAAGTTCTAGCGTTGTGGCTCGAGCGATTCATATTCTTGGAATGTGGAAATCTTGGAATGCTGGGGTTGGCGCATGCCGATCGCTGCTCTTCTCCAGGTCGATCCCAGAGCATAGTGGAGCCTTCAAGGGACCCCCGCAGTGGCTCGACAAGAATAGCCGAGAACGACTCCAGGCGATACGAGACGATCGCAGCGGCAGTAAGGCAGAGCAGCAGCAAGGAAACCGTCCCGGCATCGAGTGAGTGCAAGCTATCATGTGGTTATGCCTCAAGACTCGGCCATGCACAACCAAAGCCGCATGGGTCTAGCGGGCGAATGATGCCTGCTCTCAGCCGTGTTCGAAGCGAAAGTGGACAGCAGCCACCAAACCAACTAACCACAAACAAACGGCTGCCAGTTCCGCCCGTGTCCGGCCTGCCTAGACTACCGGAGGAATTGCGCGGCGCTCTGGTGCCATTTGCTGGCGTTGGATTTGGTTCTCCCACCCTCTGCTGCTGCTGCTGTTGCTCCTCTCGACGCTGGACGCTGGACGCTTGACTCTCGACTCTGCAGGCCATCGAAAAGTGCCCGTTTGCTGGACCCTTGGCAGTGGCACACAGACCTGCCTCGTACGAGGTCGTCAGCCCTGTTCGGCCAAGCCGCTCTCGCGTCTCCTGCTCGTGTTCGTGTTCGCGTATCCGTCTTCTCCGCGCCTTCTCTCTGCAACCTGGGCTCGACATCCATCTGAGCGTCGACATCTCTCGCCAGCCTTAATCCCCCTGTTTCGATCATCCAAGTACACACGAGATAGACGTTGAGGCATGGGACACCAGCAACCGACTCCGCTCCTCGAAAGCCTCGCCATTCGCATCTCCACCCCGATCGCCCGCTGTACGGCTGACTGACCCGCCGTCCTCGCACACGTTGCTTCTGTCCGTCTGTGGGCTCCCATCATCGGCCTAGGATACACACGCCATCGCGCTGGTGTGCTGTGCTATGGTCAGGATGCGGGTACCCATTCGCGAGCAATTGGGGTGCCTGGTGCTGTTGGCCTCGTTGATAGGATTGGCAGTCATAGCTATCGCAACCTGGGTATGTACCAGATGATGGCTTGGTGTTTTGTATACGTGCTGACAAAGTGCAGATCACAAATCATGCTTTCGTGCTTGATCTCCGGTAAATACACGCCCAATCTTCCCCATGTCTACCATGCACTGACTTGAACTCAAGAACGGATCGTCTACAATTCACTGCGGCCCTCAAAACGTCGCAACTATCGTCAAATCTTGCACTAATGCAAATTCTCGTTAAGCAAGCCGCCAATCGCCTCTCTCCCCAATCTGCGCTCCAACGATATTACGAGAACAACAACAACACCGTCGAGAATTGGAGCCGAGTAGTAGAAGACTACGATGCCATATTTGGTAGTGACCAAGACACCAGAATCATTGTACAGGCAAGGATATATCCATACAACTCGTCCGATACTGTGCTCTTTGAGCGGACAGCCGCTACCATGTACGATGTACAACTCCCTTACTCTTCTGCCAACGGTCAAGTTGCGACTATGGGAGACGCCGACAGTGGGTTCATTCCCGAGCTCTACCCAAGCTTCGCCGTTCGCGCAACCGCTCTCAACTCGACATTCAACACGTACAAGGCCGAGTACAACGGAAGGACCATCGACAATACTAGTGCTCTTCTCTGCGGACCGTACCGTATCAATTCCTCTCTCAGCCTTGTCTCCATCACGCTGCCCATCATCAACAACACATCGAACATTGACACGCTGGGCTGGCTCACGACTGTGTTGGACGCATCACTCATCACCGACCCTATCAATGCACTCGAAGGCCTTAGTAATAGTGGTCTTTCGTTGTTGGTCGGCCCCGACAACTCTACGAACAAGTTTCCTGCTGGATACCTCTATAACTCACAAAATCCTAACCCTCCAGAGCACGTAGCAGTGCGTTTTCTAGTAGCTCCGACAATCCGAAATGGCGTTACACGCCATACCAAACAATTTAACGCCTCTGCTTCTACGCCATTTGACTGGACAAGATACCCCGCCATACATGAAGGTTATACAGAAGACTCTGGTGCCACGAATAATGCAAACAGTATAATATCTGCCAAGAACGAGGACCATCAAGATGTGGCTGTTGGGTATGCTCTTGTCACAAATTCTATGGTTGACTGGATGGTTATGGTGGAACAGACACATGCTGAAGTTTGGTCGCCGATCAACCATCTCCGGAATGTTCTCCTCGCTTGCGTCTTTGGCACAATGGGTGCCATGATCCTTCTTGCTTTCCCAGTAGCCCACTACTCCAGCCGGCCCATCAGACGGTTGCGGGATGCCACGAAGAAGACTGTTTCTCCTCATCTATTTGAAGACGACGATGATGATATGAGCTTGGACAACGATGGCGCAAACGACGAGGCAGACGAGGCTCTTGCTCGCAAAGAAGGGTGGCTCGGCCAGGTCGTCCATTATCGAAGGAATCAGAAGGCGAGCAGGGCTGAGAAGAAAGAGATGGAGCGGAGAAAGCAGTTCCGCATTCCTGGCAAGGTCAAGGACCGCAAGCACTTCATCCATGATGAACTGACAGATCTCACAACAACATTCAATGAGATGACAGACGAGCTCATGATGCAGTACGAAAGACTGGAAGAGAGGGTACAACAAAGGACAGCCGAGCTTGAGCAAAGCAAGAAGGCGGCCGAAGCAGCAAACGAGAGCAAGACTCTGTTCATTGCCAACATATCGCACGAGCTCAAAACTCCTCTGAACGGCATCATGGGCATGACCGCCGTTTGCATGTCCGAAGACGATCCAGTGAGGATACGGCGGTCCCTCGGCATCATATACAAGAGCGGAGATCTCCTTCTAAACCTACTTACTGATCTTCTAACATTCAGCAAAAACCAAGTCGGACAGCAGCTGAGTTTGGATGAAAAGGAGTTCCGATTAAGAGATATTAGCACCCAAGTCCTCGCGATTTTCGACAAGCAAGCTAAAGAAGGTGGCATCAATCTGTCCGTAAAGTTCGAGGGCCCGTACGACGCAAACTTGAATGAGGATGGGCGACCCAATACGCTAGGCGATCTAGGACCGTTTGGACTCGGACGTTTGAAAGACATGATTTTGTATGGAGATCAGCACAGAATACTCCAGGTTGTGATCAATCTGGTTTCGAACAGTCTCAAGTTCACCCCTGAAGGAGGGAAAGTCGTACTTTCGATACGTTGTGTTGGGGAGAGTAACATGGTGGAGAGTCGCAAAGCATCCTTGCAGTCACGACACAGCTCGATGCGCAACTCCAAACAGCGAGTCTTCGCGTCAAGCTCTGAGGTTGGATCCAGCTCGGCGGGAGTACCAAATCACTACAGCACAGCGAATGTGATCAATGCAGTGGACAAACCTCACGCATACTCACAAATCATGGCCATGGAACGTTCACCTGCACCCGCAGGCCGATGGCTAGCCTTCGAATTTGAGGTCGAAGACACAGGCCCAGGTATTCCTGAAAACCTTCATGGCAAGATTTTTGAACCGTTTGTCCAGGGCGATCTAGGACTTTCCAAGAAGTTTGGAGGAACGGGACTCGGGTTGTCCATTTGCTCGCAACTCGCTGGCCTAATGAAGGGTAGCGTTGGGCTGAAGAGTGAGGTGGGGCACGGAAGTGTCTTCACCATGTCGATACCGCTGAAGTACCTGAAGAACCGTGCCGACAGCACCGCCAGCTCAAGCAATGTCACGATTGCTTCCCCCCGACATAGTTTATCCATGGATGAGCCACGAAGTCGTCAAAGCGAAGAGGCACGCTCGACGCACTCTGTACATTCAGTCCACAACGAACCTGTCGCCGCAACGACTACTGCTGCTGCAGGTGGCCCGGTGGCATTCGAATCGGACTCCAAGCCGCGACTGGTCGGTCTGAGCCAGCCTTTCTTCGCCTCCACCGCGCCCATGGATTCACCAGGCTCACAAGCAGCGGCTATGAAGCGAGTAGAGACGGATGCGAAGCAGCGAGGAGGCAAGATCAAGGTGCTCGTTGCTGAAGACAACAAGACGAATCAAGAAGTCGTGCTACGCATGTTGAAACTGGAAGACGTCTACGATGTAACTGTTGCCAAAGATGGCCAAGAGGCGCTCGACAGGGTCAAGGAGAGTATGGAACGCCATCAACCGTTCAACCTGATTTTTATGGACGTGCAAATGCCGAATCTGGATGGATTGGAGTCGACGAGACTCATTCGACAGTCGGGTTTTTCCTCGCCTATCGTAGCCCTCACGGCCTACGCAGAGGAAAGCAATGTCAAGGTAAGTCGTCCTACTTGAGATATATAACTACATGTGCTAACCATGCCGCAGCAATGTCTCGAATCAGGCATGGACTTCTTCCTCTCGAAGCCGATCAGGCGCCCCGCACTGAAGCACGTTCTCAAAACATACTGCCCCACCATACTGGAGGAAGAGAGCGATCCGCCAACACCTCCAACCGCTGTGGCAGCAGCATCGAAAGGGAAAGCCAACGGAAACGCTGTGCAGCCTACCACTTCACCAATTACCAATTCGACGCCGTTTTCTCCAACTGCAGGGAGCCGGGACCACGACGCGTCACCAGCCATCTCACCTAATACAACGCCTGGGACGGTGCAATTTCCATAAAGGTCGTTTCTGTCTTTTCGAGTTCAGACTCTTTTAGCTTAATACCTAGCTTTTAATGTCGCTCCTTTGTCATTTTTTTCATATATTTTCTGTCTCATGCATTTCCTAGAGTACATTATACGCATGGCGCTGGGGGGTTGCGAAGTTCTTTCTAAAAACGTGTCAAGGGCATATGGGCGTTTATTTGTGCATAGGGTTGGTTTGGACAGAACTTGTCTGGAGTTTGGTTGTTGGGTGCATGTTTCAAACATTTCTCGGAGTCTTGCCCAACGTGGCTGTGTATCGTGTCGGTCTGGAGCGCATACGCTCTGTTGGGAAGAATACAACACGTGTTTGCTGTGGCGAGTTGAGGATGTCGCAGCTTCTTTCTTGACCATTGATTTTCTCTCTCGCTCGTCATTCTTCTCCTGTGATTTTGTGGCCAATGACGCGCACGTTACGGAGTATGCATGCGTCTGAAAAAGCATGACTCGTGACGTGCATGACCGTTTCCTTTGTCCGTGCTGGTCCAGCCACCGGCGCTCGAGGAAAAGGGGCTAGATAGATGGTAAGTACGGAGACGCTTATCTTAGCCCTCTCGTCAAAACAAATGCCGTCTTATCGCCCGGTGTATGAGTGGATCCTGTCATTTCCAACGGCTTTTTAGGAATTAAAACAACAAGAACAAATTCCCTTTTTCGGCACTGCTGCCGTTGCCGGAGATATGTGTGCGTGCCGTGCTAAGGGCATCGTCGCCCCGTCGCGGGATATGTGGACCACGCGGACCGAATCAAGCAGATAGGCAGGGACGACCTTGCCATTCAGGGCGGAAATGTCGATATAAGATGAGATGAGTGGAGGTGATGTGTCGCGGGTAGGCCCTTTTCACTGTGGGTATGCTTGGGTGAGGAAAAGGCTTATCTGCACGAAGGGAATGGATTGACGCTGCTGTTTGTGGGCGGTTGTCGATCGTGACTTCCTGGATGGAAATTGGGGGAAGGAGGAGGACTGTGATTTTGACCTCTTGCACGTCGCGCTGGTGCACTTTCCTGAGATTGAGACGCGTGGAACGGGGATCGCATCGTTGAACTTCTGCCACGGACGTTTCGCTGCGTAGCTCTCACGTTCAACCACCACAGACGCAATGCATGCACAGGTTAGAGCGAACGTGCTTCTCTGCTCGCTTGTGGCGCTCACACAAGCCTTCTACGTGCCAGGTATGAGGCCGCCAGACGTAGAAGAGTGCACATGCTAACCCTTCACAGGCTTCTCGTACAAAAGCTATCGCGATGGCGACACAATCCCTCTCCTCGTCAACAAGGTCTACTCGGACAACAGCCAGCTCCAATACGCATACGCCCAACTCCCCTTCACATGTCCCCCGACCGGCCGCATACGATCAGGACGCTTCACAAGCGGCACCAGCATCTCGCTCAACCTGGGCGAAGTGCTGCGCGGCGACCGCATAACCGTCTCGGACTATGAGCTGGTCATGGGGACGGACGAGGAGGCGCGGTACCTCTGCAGCCACACCATGGATATTGATGGGTTGAGGCGGACAAAGGACCTCATCCGCGACGGGTATAAAACTGAGTGGATCGTGGACAATCTGCCTGGCGCCACGAGTCTGCAGACGACGGACAAGCAGAGGAAATACTACGCTGCGGGGTTCAGGATCGGGGAGGAGGTGAGGTCTGTGCAGGGTGGGCCGCCGCAGTATGTTCTCAATAATCATGTCACGCTTGTTATTCGCTATCATCGCGCGCCGGGCAGGGATGGGGAGAAGGGGAGGAAGGTGGTGGTGGGTTTTGAGGTCTTTCCGAGGAGCATTACCGCGAGTGGGCGCAACGAGAGCGGGATTCCGACGCTTCTGCAGAGCGAGCAGGAGCCGTTTCTTCTGGTCCCGCGAGGGAACAGTACGAGTGAGGATGATGAGTCGGAGGCTACCAGCTTGACTGCTCCTTTCACGTACTCGGTCTACTGGCGCGAAGAGGAGAAGTTGGAATGGCAGAACCGCTGGGACATGTACTTGATGGCGCAAGATGACAGCTCCAACATCCACTGGCTGGCTATTGTCACTTCGCTGGTCGTCTCTGGACTGCTGACCGTAGCAGTTGCCGTCGTCCTAGCGCGCACTGTTCGTGGGGATATCGCTGGCTCGCAAGATGGCGTTCTGGGCGCATCACAGCTGGCATTGAAACCATCAAAGTCTCCAACACGCGAGAAGGGCGGGCTGCTCGACAAATTGGGCGACGTGGAGGGACGTGCCAGCCTCTCGGACGACGAAGACACCGAAGACATCACAGGATGGAAGCTCATCCACGGCGACGTTTTCCGCACCCCACAACACGGCAGTCTCCTCGCCCCCCTCGTCGGCTCAGGCATCCAGCTCCTCTTCATGGCCATGTGTCTGCTCATCTTGAGCGCAGCCGGTATACTAAACCCGAGTTTCCGCGGCGGCTACATCAGCGTGGGCACAGGGCTCTTCGTCTTCGCAGGCCTCTTCTCCGGATACTACTCCTCACGCATCTACCGCACCTTCGGCGGCCGCCTCTGGCGGGAAAACGTCCTCGTCACCGCCTCCCTCGTCCCCGGCCTGCTATTCGCCACCGTCTTCATCCTCAACCTCTTCGTCTGGATCCAAGCGTCCAGCACCGCCATCCCCTTCGGCACCCTCATCGCCCTCGTCCTCCTATGGCTGTTCATCCAGCTCCCGCTCGTCTACATGGGCGGCTGGTACGGCTTCGAGCGCGTCGGCGCATGGTCCCACCCCATAAAACCAAACGCCATCCCGCGCCAGCTACCCGCACAGCCCTGGCGCGTCAAAACCACACAAGCCATCCTCCTCGCCGGCCTCCCGCCCTTCATGGTCATATTCATCGAGCTGACATGCGCGTGCAACACCCTGTGGTCAGATAAAAGCACCTACTACTACGCCTTCGGCTTCACCAGCATCGTGGGCGCCATCCTCGCCATCGCCATTGTAGAAGTCAGTGTCATAGCCACCTACCTGCTGCTCTGCGCTGAGGTCTGTCTCCCCCTCCCGATATCCCCCCCTTCCACACCATACTCACTCATAAAATAGAACTACAACTGGTGGTGGCACTCCTTCCTCGTCGGCGCCTCCTCCGCGCTATGGATCTTCGCCTACCTCGTCTACTACTTCTTCTCCACCCTGCACATCTCCGGCTTCGTATCCGGACTGCTGTTCTTCGCGTATGGCGCGCTGGCTTGTGCGCTTTATGCCCTGCTGGCGGGCTCGTTGGGGTTTCTGGCTGCGTATGCGTTTGTTATGAGGCTTTATGCGGCGGTGAAAATTGATTGAGGAGTACGTGTATCGGGGGATTTTGGCAGATGGTGCGGATTTTGTTGGGGGTTCTGGGTAAGGCGTATCGTGTGTGGTTTAGATGGGGTGGGCGTTTGGGGTTGCTTGCTTGGGAATAGATGGGGAGGCGTGTTGGTGTTGGGATGGCTGATCGCGAGGAGTTTTTGTTAAGCCGGAGAGGATGGGCTGGCTCGTCAAGTGTGTGGATCGGTTTCAACGTTCCGTGAACGCTTGTGAGTGTGCCTCTACTTTAAGGAATGTGAGAATTACCAAGATAAATGACAATAGTAGTGCTTAAAGCTAGATTATGAACATAAAGTCTATCCTTACACCACCCTTCCAACCACGCAATTGCAGCAAACATCCACAAACCTCTCAATCCTGACTATCGTCTATCCCCACAACAGGAAACACAACCTTCGACACCCCATCCAAGCGCACCGTATGCACAACAGCCCGCATCTCCGTCCCCATCTCCCCCGGATTCAGCACCCCATGATTCCGCGCATAATGCGGGAAACTACCCCCAGCCACAATCACCCTGACCCTCCTCCCGCGCAGAAACCGGTGCGAGCAGTGATGCAGCACGACCTGCACCGCATCCGAATCCTCACCGCGCTCCACATCCAAGCGCCGAAACACATCCGTCACATTGCGCGACGAGCCTTTAGCGTCCACGTCGCTAACGCGCACGAAAATGTCCGCATAGGGGCTGTCAGTGGAATGTGCAAGCGACACAACCGGCCGGCCGCAGAACTCCATATCCCGCTCCAGCGGCGCGGAGTCGAAGACGAGCACGTCGCTGCGGCGCGCAAGCGCAGTATCATTAACGATGCCGTTGCTGAGCAGCGCGTTGCCGCCGATGCTGGGCGTCGGGTCGCGCGGGTCGAACGTGAAGCTGCACGACGCCGAAGCAGAAGGCGGTGCGGGTTCGGTCCCCAGCGCACCGCCCTCGCGGAGGTACAGTGTCGACGGCGATGTGGGCGGCGGGAAGGCGGGTAGATGCCTCCACTCCTGGACGCCTGTCACGAAGTACTGCACGGCTGAGGAGCGCTGCGCGTCGGCGCGCCCGCTGAGATGCTGCTCGATCCATTCGAAGCCCTGCCGGTTTCCCTGCGGTCTGAACGCGGATTCCATGTGTGCCCATGGTCCGACGGTGAGGGCGACGTCGCAGCCGCGTTCGTGGAGGCGGGCGTACTGCTCCATGGATTGCTCGAGGAAGAGATCGTACCAGCCCGTGACGATGAGGATGGGGATATTCACGCGATCCAGGCAGCGACCGAGCTGCATCGGGGCGTAGTGCGGATCAGACAAGTCAGGCTTTGCGACGATGTTGTCGAGCCACCGACTCCCTTCACCGAGATGGGCGCGGATATTCCGCGCCAACGGGGTGCGGTCGAGTACGGAATCGATTTTGCGCTGCGGTTTGACTATCTTGACGAGGAGGTTTGTTTGTTCCTGGCGCGCCATCTCGTCCGCCCACCTCACGATGTCGAAGTTCAGCGCGCCCGTGGTCCAGTTTGGTCGCGCGAAGTCATGGGGGCCGACGACGGGGACGGCCGCGACTAGATCTGGAGGCGGGTCGTACATGAGCGCCCATTGAACGTACCCAAGATACGACCCTCCACAGGTGGCGAACGTGCCTGTATACCACGGCTGCTCGCGCATCCATGCCACAACACCCTGGCCGTCTTCCACCTCGGTGCGAAACGCATCGAACTCGCCACCAGATCCAAACGTACCCCGAGAGCTGACAAAAAGAACCTGATAGCCGCGCGCAGCATATGCGCGCGGCGTGAGTGCAATGGGGAATCCGCGACCATACGGACAGCGCACGAGGATCGTCCCCAACACTTTAGCGCCATTGGATAGGACCGGCTGGTACAGGTCGGCTGCGAGCTCTATGCGCGACAGGCCGTCGGAAAGAGGGATGCGCAAGGGTTGAGTTGTGTAGCTGCATCTCTCTGGTGGAAAGCCGAGGAGCCATGAACCCAGGCGATCTACAATGGAGCTGGGAATACCGCGATGTTGGGGCTGGCTCGAAGTATCACTGCTCGCCATGGCGACGGAGGGAAAATGTACCCGCTTGAACTGGAAGTGTACCGGAATACGGGTTGAGACAGATTAGGAAGAGTGCCAAGTTATATGCATGTTCAGGCACTGTTGCCTACGGTTATGATGTAGAAATAGAGGGGTTCAAGGAAAGGTGGGGTTCGGATAGTACTGGCGAATCAGCCATGGATATATCCCTACTTGAGAGATAGTGGCGACGTGTTACCAAGTAAGGTTTGTTTCACGAGAATGCGGCTTAAACATCCATGTACTCATACACCAATTCTTCTTCTTTGAAACGTCGGGAAAAATAAGAGGGCCCATCCCATGGAGCGACTTCGTTGTAAGCAAACGCCGAGTCGGTGTTTAATGTGGAAATGCACATTGTCATCGCTGTCGTTGTCGTCCAAAGAGTGGTCGGTTGGCTGTGAGTAAGATAATCGTAGTGTTCGCCGGCCCGTCGTATTGTTGGCACCATATCAAGCCAGAGCTCTGTTCTTGGAAAAGAATTGGAAGAATCAAGAACAGCAGAGTTGGAAAACACCTGTTCTCCAATATGTTCCATCTTGACCGGTTGGAGATGATTGTGTATCTCGCAATTATCGCTTTTCTTTGTACTCTTGTTCCTCTGTGTTGCTTGACGCCTATCTCCTGTCCATGTTCTCGATCGAAGACTTTTGAGCAAGACTAGAGTGGTTCATACAAATGGATGTTGAGAGGGTGAGGCGCTACTGCCGGTTGTGGAATTGCGTGCATTTATCGATAGTTGCATTGATATGATATCTTCAGCTGCCCATGCCGAGTTTGCACGATCAGCAGGCATTTACATCATTCCCTCATTGGCGGGACGTTACGTCCGAAGGGCTTCGGGAAGGTTATGGATAGTACCACTCTCACGTACTGTCATACGGAGAATCATCCCTGATGACGTATATCTGGCCAATCAATACAGTGAGTCCAACGACCATCGTTATCGCGATGATGGGTAGATTGATGCGCGCAAATTCCAGGCCGCCTACACGAATGTGTTTCCTGCCCAGGATATCGCGCCATAATAAACCTGCGAGGGACGCACTAAATGCCAGGCTGAATGCCCCGTAGTTGACTCCAATGGCCATGCTGTAGATTGTTCCCCAGAACGTTCGATCAGAGATGGGGATGCCATTCATGCGATGGATCTGTTGCCACGATTGAATGACCCTCGAGAGGAGAATCGAGGTGCCGATGTTGGTGCCTGCAAACTGAATAGGAGAAAATTGTCAGCCTTTTGATTGTATTTCCATCCGCTTCATACGAACTTACGTTGCAAAGAATGACGGAGATAAAACCCATCCCACCAACGGCACCAACGGTACCTGTTTTCTCGACCCAATGGTCCCAACCGTGAGCGAAAACTGGGACCCAGCCTTTAGTGACAAGAGCCTGTACCAAGATGAACATGCAAAAGGCGAACGGTATCAGGGCTAAGGGTAAGTGACTCAGAACTGTCATCGTTGTAGGAAATGTCTCTTGAGACCACCTGTATGAGTTGGCAATGAGCGATGCGAGCGTGGCTGGCTCTTTCTCTTGGCGCATGGCTTGCTTTCCCTCCTCAGGGATGTTTTGCTTCTCGAGCTCTCGACTAGACGTCGCAACCGTGGAAGGCTGCGCCGTTTTATTCGGTACATCGACCGTATTCTGGAAATAGTCGGGTGCAATCGCATCTGCATCTTCTTGAATTACTGACTTTCGTCTCGCCTCTGCTCGTTCTGCTTGTGCAAGCTCAAGCCTCTGCCTTCCCTCGTGAGCAATTTTGCGAGTCTCTTTTCTGCCAGCCCATCCCAATCCAATATCCCAGAAGAACATAATGACAGCAGCCGGAAGAGTGACCCAGAAAACAGGGCGTTCGTGCCCACTTTGCGAAGAGGCGTTGATAGCGAGGACCGTAACTAGCGTGGCTGCCATAATTATAGCTCCAAATATTGCACCTTTCTTATCAAGAAATGGGTTCAAGATTTCTTCAAGTGATAGTTGCTTGGTTTGTTCGTCGTCGGTATTCGGATCGTCTTCTCGTTCTTCTAGTTCACGTTTGGAAAACGGAATATTGGGATTCACAGGCTTCTTGTTCTTGATTTCGTCGGGAAGATCCTCCATCTTGATCGTTGACGGAATCAGTGATTCGTCGTGGAAGATGATGTATAGCAGGAACGGGAACAGAACGATACCGGTGACGACAACAGGTACAATGACATTCGCAGTGTATTTGATGAACGTGATGTTGAATGCACCGGCGAGGACGAGGTTAGTGGGATTCGACGAGACAAGGATGGTGGAGGCGATGTTCGCTACGGAGAATTGAGTGTGAATCCATGCTCTGGGATGCTTGATATTGCTCGACACTCGCGTCATATAGGAGAGGAAAGCGGTACCCGATAAAATGACCGGATCGTTCCCAATGAAGGCTGTGAGGGCGAAGAAGAACGCATAGAGGTAAAAGAAGAGTCTGTGCCCAACTTTACCCCCTTTCTGCAAGACTTTGAACGCCAACCATCTGATCAGTCCAGAAGCGTCGACCGAGATCGCAATGTATGCCAGGGAAATAAAGAATAGCATGATGTCGTATGGTGAGATGTTGTTCGCCCCGATCGTGCCATCATGCACTTCTTGGCGTCCGATTGCTTGAATGGCAAGAAGAAATAAATCCGCGACTAAGGGTGCTGTGATGAAGTTCATGGGAAACCTAAATCGTACAAATGCGCCGGCTTTACCGTTTGAAGTCTTTGAACGATCTCGAGGTTTGGATATGATACGCAGTTTCGTAAGAGTGCTGATCATTATGGCCCACAGTATCCGAGGTATGTATATTGGGATGTGGAAAGAAAACAGTACATTGATATCTTGACGCAAAATCAAAATCAACATAAATTCAGCCTGCCGGCCCATACTTGAGACTTACTTGTCAAGACGAAAACAATCAAAGTGATTATCGACCGCCACTCTTTGATCTTGTTGGTGTCGAGGTCCAGCTCTTCCTGACTTGCTCGATGTGTCAACATCTTGCCGTATGTTTGTGCTCACACGCAGGATACTGAAGGTAAGACTTAGAGCTACTGTCCCCGAGCTGCTCGGTTTGGGCACCGGACAACTGATCATACGATTACGTGTGAGGATCTGCTCGCAGGCTAGGCTTGGCGTGTGGAGTAGTCGTGCGTATTCGAGGACCAGGACTGGGTTTTACAGTCGCGTAAAACGGCCATGGTATGCACAGGGTATGTGAGGCTCTTGTAGAAGAGGTCGGTAGGAACCGCTAGGAGGGGGCGGTGTTGCTTGCGCACAGCCAAGGTGAGATCAGGCTCTTGATGCTGATCAGGCCTGACTTGGCCCGTGCAGACAGTCCCACACCCCATCAGGAAGGTCCAATCGCTCTTAGAGGTTGTTCATCACGACTCAGCCTCCGCCTCTGCAATTCTGACGACTAGGCATACACAAAGACCTCACCGGTGAGATGACCTTTTCGCGATTGGACGGTGGTCTGAGCGCCTCACTCATCGAAACCCCATACAATGCGGGCAATGTTCAATCCTTCCGTCTTTACAAACCCCAGAAATGCAGCCCTATTCAACACGTTCATCCCAACGATATCGACCCTAGAACCTAGTACCTAAATATGCCAGCAATCCAAGCGCTTTATGACTTCTCTGTGCAAAACATCACGAATACTACATCATCAGCTCCAAACGCGAACTATTCCTTACCTGTTGTATGTGCGTGGCCCACATCGGGCCAGTACGGGCCAGGCTCCCGAGTATTGTACGATCTTCGAGACTGCGAGTCGTCCGTTTAGACCTATCGAAAGCTTACAGCTGAACCACAGGTATTATGTTCTTGTAGCTACATGTGTGTTTGCGCGGAAGACAGACTGGTTGAGGGACGCATGCCTAGCGGCGGCGTTGGTCTTCCCCGCAGTTGCTGCGATTCACTCGCTCGTGCTCGCATCCGTGCATGTAAATGGTCGGTCACTCTTCAACGTCCAAGAAATCCAAGAACCACATTTCAAGGACTAACACTTACAACTTCTAGGCGCAGTTGATCTCGACATATATGGAACATTCCAGTTCTGCTCTATCGCGATCCTGGCAGCCCCGCTGACGGTTCGGCGATCTAGCACGTACTTTAATGATCCCGGGCGCAACATCATCTTTTTGTGGACCATCCTGATCCTCATGGGTCTCCTGGCCCTATGCGTTGAATTTTACCGTGTCACCCCAACTGATTGTAAATTCGACGATGCTGGTAGCCCAATTCCCCGTGGTGCAGCCAACTTCCCCTACGGCAATGCTACGTGTGGTATGATTTGCTCTGAAGAACAGACAACTTCTCCAATGCGAGGTGGCGCTGCCAGCAATGTCTACGTAATTCCCGTACCGGACAGACTTACTTTCAACGCCGCTATGTTACTCGCGGCAGGATTCTGTATACCTGCGATCTTGAGCCTGATATTCACCTGGGATAAGATCCTCGAAATCAATTGGAAAAGACGAAGCGAGGCTGATGAACTTGATGAACCGATTGAAGGTGCCAACGTCACAGTCGGTGAAATGAGGGGCATAAACAATATGGTCAGGTTGTTTTTGAGTGTTGTCGAGGTTCCCGTGTTCGGAGGAGCTGTACTTGCCATACTTTGTATTGGTGAAGCCAACTTTTTCAGTGAACAGGTCATGTGGCAGACCGAGCCTATGGCATCAGTTGGTAAGGATGTTTCCTGTCCCATGTCGAGCAACGACTGATGCTCTTGCTATTACAGGTCAATGGGCACCTATCGCAGGTACAGTCCTGGCTGCTGTGGGCTCGTTGTACATCCTTTGGACTTCGAAAGGCAAGCCTGCAGAGGTCATGCGAGATGCGAACTCTAACTCTTCGCGTCATTGTCATTCTAGCGACCGCAATCCTTCCCCTCACGACACCTCTGATATACAACGCTTCTCAGAGAGGAACGCGGAGGGTAACGCTTTGAGATTGTGGTCGTCTTCCCCGAATCACCTAGGTCTCATCCCCACGATCACACACCCTGATAACGAGCAGGATCAACAAGAGAACGAGCGCCGGCTGGAGCATGGTGACGGACCGTCTGCCGGCAGGCACAGAGTGCGTAGATGGTTCACCTCTGCCGCGGACTACTTGGGCCAAGTCGCACATGACAAACTCGATGTCTCCGACTACAACGATCGTAGAGCACATCGGTTTCCCGTAGTGCCTGGCGAAGAGTTTCGAAATCCTGAAATACATCGCATCAGCTCGCAGTTTAGCCAGATCCGTGAGCAGAGAGCGAGTATCTACGCACCAAGTATCGCATCTACATCTGGTATCGGGGATGTTCCAGCGCCACCAGGACCTGGCTCACCACCTATAGACGCCAGTCCGGGATCATCGCGCCCGGACACTAGCCCACACAGGACCCCCAGACGACGAGACACGCTCGAAGTACCAGTTCCGGCCCATATATATCACAGAACCTGAATCTTGCCAAGTCAGGATAGGAGAAGCTGTTCCACCTCAGTATACTCGGTTGATCGGGGCATGTGCCCCGTCACGCGTCTGGAAGGTCTGCAATGAATCTGCTCATCCCAAGAAGAGCACGCAAAAGACACCGAGAACACACAGTGCCGGGCCCCTTCGTGGGCATCATCCGTCAATCGACGAAGAACGACCACAACGGTATCTGATACGCGTTGGTAGTTTAGCTCCTGCTCAAAATCATGATGAGCAGTAGGAAGTTTTCTGAGAACAAATAGAGGAAATGTATAGAGAGGACTTGGTAGATATATAGATTATGTGCGACGTAAGAATCGAAGAATGACTCAATGTATTTTACACATACAGAAGTGAACGAATTGAACAAAGTGACTGATCCTAGTTTAGTAGAATAAACATCTAGGTGCCAACAGGTTTGCATTGACCTAGTAATCAATGACAAAAAGGTATACGGGCTTCTAGCACACAGTCGACGCAGATGTTACGCGCTGTTGAGCTCAGTTTCATATCTCATCCTCAGAACAACAATCTTACCGCTGGGTGGGATGTCTCAGTTACATCGAAGCATACTGTTCAGAACATGGCAACCACGTCCTTCACGACTATCACATCATTACGACACATTCATAAACAAACATTTGTTTTGTCATTTGTATTGTTTCATTGATGGTCCTTTTCAAAGGCTCGGGCGTCCTCGCATTCTCAGCAGAGGCTATACACCGTGTTAAATTGCCGCTGCCAATCTTTCAGGCCTGGCATCATCCTCCCCACTTGTGAGGTCGTACGCAGTCGTGGAAGGAGCCGTCTAGTGGGCGATGGTTCCGCCCTTAGTCATGTTGGTGTCACCCTGGCGCTCGGAGTTCTGTATGATTGTCAGCATATCGTCCACCGAGGATAGCAGGCTGTTATGTGTAGGGTATGGCGTGAGTGGGTATATGTTCGTACCTCAGAGTGCGAGATGCTGCCCTTCTGCAGGATCTGCTTCATGACCTCGTCCTCGTTGTGTGTTCCAAACTCGTTCTCCAATGTGCTGTTCGCGGCTGTGTTGAGAATGCCCTGGGTGCCGTGCCTGTGGGTACAATTGTTAGTAAACATGGTTCCATCTGAATCGCGAGACTACAACCCAGGGTAGCAATGACACAAGGTATTGCAGATATGAGAGAGATAGTGAGCCTAGCAGCTGTCGCTCCAGTACCCCTCCCAATGCCAGCACCCTCAACGCAAACAGTAGGGAGACTCACTTGTCCGTAACAAAGACCTTGAACCCGCTAACTACCTGGGCAAGCGGGATGCTCGAGTCCTCCTTCCACTTCTTTACAGCCTCGACATCATCAACGAAGATGATGAAGTCCTCGTCCTTGCCCTGGTAGTGCACCTTAACCTGGCTGTCGTTTCCGCGAGCCATTGTGTGTGTATTGGTAGATGAGATTTGAAAGTGAATAAGCTTCGGGATGAGATTGGAGTTGAGTTGTAGAGTCGGTCGAGTGTGTGTCAGTTGCTGTGAGGAATGTATGATGGAGGGGTCATGGGATGAGCTCTGGAGGGGCTATGTAGCTGCAGACGGAGCTTGGGCCAACCATGTACGTCATGCCAAGTGCGTGCTCCGTTGCTGAGGTGGCAGCTAATCTGACCAAGGGCGCGCTGAGACATGGCATGCCCTAACTATAATAGGTAGCCCCGCCTTCTGTAACAGGGGGGTCTTGTCTGCTATACAGGGGTGTAAGATTTTAGCTTATTTTAGCGTTATAAGCTTAATTCTTAAAAATAAGATTTAATTCTAAATTAATTCTAAGTTTTCTTAGTAAATATAATAGGCTAGGCCTAGTAGAACCTTAGTAAGTAAAGCCTTAGAGCTTAGTAGGCCTAACTACTAATACCTATACTACTACTTATACTTTAAAAACTTTTAGTATACTACTAAAAGAACTATAAGTAAAGAAAAACTAGTACTATAAATCTTTAGTAAATTTATTTAATTTATACTAGTAACTACTTTTAGAGTTAGCTCCTTATATTTAAATTTACTTATAAAAATACCTTTAGGTATTAAAAGTACCTTAAGAACTACTAGTAGTATATCTATTAAAAAAGATACTATAGTTACTAAGCTAAAAGTAAAAGCTTTATAGCTAGTAAAGATAGGCTTTATATAGAAAGTAATTAAAATACGCCTATAAACTATAGTAGGATAAAACCTAAATAAATAGAAAGTTCTACTAAAACTTTAGCTAGTTTTCTAAAGTCTTTAAAAGAATAAATAATAAATAATAAAGTTTATAAATATACTAATCTTAATAGCTAGCCTATTATTAGTAGTAGCTAAGAAATAACTAATTAAAGAATCTAATAAAAGGTTCTTCTTAAAAGAACTATATAACGCGCTATAGGTACTAACCTAGAAGATTAACCTTTTTAAAAATAATACGCTGCTAGTACCTACTTCTTCTAAATAAAGAGTTTAATAATTAAAGAAGAAGGTATATAGACTAAGAGTAGTTCTAAAACTAATATTAGGTAAGTATAGAGTAATAGGTAGTTTATATACTATTATACTAGCCCTAGCCTCTTAGCTTATATATATAGATAAAAGTACCTTATAAAAAAATATAGGTTTCTTAGTAATTTATCTTATTATATATTAAATACTACTATTTTATCTTTACTATACTACGTTACTACTATAACTAAGTCTTATATTAAAATTACTTCTAATATATAGTAGCCTAGAATAGTAAGAATATCTAGTAAATTATCTACTTATAGGTTTAGATATAATATAAGAACTTCTATATCTTAAGTAAAATAGAATATACTACTATAATCTCTAATAGGTAGTAATAACTTATAATAATAAGGTACCTTCTTTATTAAAGGTTAAAAAGACCTAATTAGGCTAATTATAGATAATTAAATCCTACTACCTATAATTAAGAAATAAATATAATAAGAGCTATAGGCTTTATTTATATAGAAGAAAACTTAGGTAAATAAGCTATAAATTAGGTAGCTATAGAACTTTAAGGCTAGATATAAAGCTAAAGATTCTATAGCAGCGTTAAAGCTACTTTCTAATATAGGTATAGTACTATATACTATAGTAGTACTAAGAATAAACCTACTAAGGCCTAAACTACTATATATATTTAATAAAAATAATAGGTAGAGCTATAATAAATAAAAGAAAGACTATAAAAGCTATTATTTTTATAACTTTACTAAGTTTACTATAGAGGCAAGAAAGGTAGACTTTAAGATAATATATATATTAGAGATATATAAAATAATCTAGAAATTCTATATAAAAGAATAAAAGTATAGTTATTTTTTATAAAAGCTAACTTAGGCTAATTTAAAGCTTAAGATACTTAATACCCTTAAAATACCTAATAAATACTATTAAAATACCTATAATATAGTAAAGAACTATAAGTAATACTATAAATAGAACCTTATAAAACTTTTAAACTACTTATATCTATTATAAGTAGAATTAGCTACTTTACTTTTAATATAAATACTAAAGTTTACTATATTTCTAAAGAAATAGATCTAGTATAACCTACTCTTTCTACCTATAAATAGGTATAATAACTTAGTACTAGTTAAAGAATATACTAATACTATCTACTAGTACCTAGAACTAAATAAGAAGTTTTATAAACTAAAGAAAAGTAAAAGTAAAAGACTTTTATTAGAAAGTAATTAAAAAGACTTACCTCTTTTAAAGAAGAATAATATAACTTCTTTTTTTTATAAAAAGAAAAATAAACCCTCTAATAAGGTAAAGGTAGAAAAATCTTTTAATAAAAAAGAAATAACTTATTACTATTATAATAAGCTAGGCTACTATATAAATAAATACTAAAAAAAGGCTAATAATAAGTTTAAAAGAATTATTAAGAAAAATTTAGAAAAAAAAAAAAGTTAATAAAAGTAAGCTTTCTTCTAGTAGCTTATATATAAGCTTTAAAGAATTATAAGGAGCTAGAGATACTAAAGTTCTACCTTTTTTCTAAACTAGCTTAACTTCTTACTATATAAGCTAAATTAGGCTAATTAAAGGCTATAGAAGCTTTTTTAAATAAAGGTATATAACTTAACCTTATTAATATAAAGTTAGCTAAGGAATAGAACCTAAAGGTTATTCTACTTCTAAGTTTAATTATAAAAGCTATAAATAGTAGTAAAATTACTTTATATAGTATAATAACTATAGGTATTACTATAATAGACTTAAGAAGAAAAGAATAATACTATAATATACTATTTATTATAGCTAACTTAAAGAGGTACCTAATCTACCTTAGTTTTTTTTAAATTAATATATATAATCTAAAGCTAAGGTATTTTAGTAGGTATATATATTTCTATAATATAAAGGCTAAGTATATAACGCTATATACTTATATTATACTTAAAAAGGTAAATAAGTTTAACTATACTATAAAAAGTTTAAAGATAAATATCTATATATATATAGTAAATTTTATAAAAGAGGTAGTTTCTATTATAGTTTAAAATACTTTACTACCTTTATAATATATAAATCTAGCTAATACTATATTAGAATTAGTAGTAAATATTCTACTAGACTATAACTCTTAAGATCTTACTATAGACTTAGAAAAAAGAGCTATAGTACCTTTAAAGCTACTATATAACCTTTTAGTATATAAACTAGAAGTATTAAAAAAGTATATTATAAATTACCTTAAAAAAGGCTAAATTAAAAGGTCTAAGTTACTAGTAGGTATACCTATTCTTTTTATAAAAAAAAAGAATAAGACCTTATAGCTTTATATAGACTATAAAAGCCTTAATAAAGTTACTATTAAGAATAGATACTCTTTACCTTTTATTTTAGAATTATTAGATAGATTAGCTGAAGCTAAGTTTTATATAAAACTAGATATTAGAAATACTTACTATAAAATTCGAATAAAAGAAAAAAATAAGTAAAAAACTATATTTTAAATAAAATATAGTTATTTTAAGTATATTATTATACTCTTTAGCCTTATAAACGTACCTATGTAGTTCTAGGCCTATATTAACTAAGCTCTTAAAGAGCTAGTAGATATATTATATATAGTATATCTTAATAATATCTTAATCTTTTTAGATACTAAAGAGGAATATAAGGCCTATATTTATAAGGTATTAAAGAAATTATATAAAGCTAAGCTATTTATAAAGCTAAGTAAGTATAAATAGTATAAAAAAAAAACTAAATTCCTAGAGTATATAGTATACCTATAAGAAGTAAAAGTTAATATTAGTAAAGTATAAACTATTTAAGAATAGTTACTTTTATAAATAGTATATAATATTTATATTTTTATTAGCTTTATAAACTACTATTAGAGATTTATTAAAGAATTTTTAAAAGTAGCGCTTCTATTAATAAAATTAACTTAAAAAGGCCTAAATACAGCTAAGAAAGGCTATATATAATAAAAAAAGAAAAGTTAAAGCCTAAATATTAGAAATAATAGTTAAAGAGCCTTCTAAAAGCTTAAGAATACCTTTTTAAAAGTACTAATCCTAACCTACTTTAAGTAGAATAAACTTATATATATAAAGGTTAATATATTTAGTAAAGTAGTATCTAAAATACTAAGCTAGTTATCTACCTAAAAGAAGAATAACTTAGTCTAAAAACTAGTAGACTTTTTCTTAAAAAAATTAAACTAAACTAAGTTTAGATATAATACTTATAATAAGAAACTACTAGTAATAGTAGTAAGTTTAAACTACTAAAAGTATTACTTATAAGGTATATCCTTTAAACTTTTAATAAACTACTATAACCTTAAATAGTCTATAAATATAAAGGTTTTAAACTAAAGATAGGTTTACTTTTACTAAAAGCTAATAGAATATAACTTTATTATTAAATATTAACTAAGAGTAATAAACCTAGCTAATAAACTATTAAGAAGGCTAGACTATATAGTAGTAACTTAAGATCTAAACTAGAAATATAATAAAGCCTTTATAGATCTAATAAGGAACTTATTAACTAAGGTAGAAATTAATAAACTCTTATTAATTTACTTTATTACTATAGAAAGTTAATACGTTAGAAAGAACTATTAGAAACTCTAATATATAAATAAGTTAGTAAGATAGAATAGTAAGCCTAAACTAAAGCTTTAATTAATAAAATCTAATTTAGAAGGTTTAAATTTAGAATCTTTTAACTTATTTAATAATTTAAACGCTAAAGTAGCCTAAATTAGTATATAAAAGCTAGGATTAGAACTAAAAAAAGTTATAATTCTTATAATATTAAAATTAAAGTTATTAGTACTAAAAGAATATTATAATAATCTAATAGTAAGCTATTTTAGCTAGAAGAAGATACTAAAAAAGCTTTAGTATAAGTACTAGTAGATAAATATATTAAAAGATATAATAGACAACTATATAGACTATAACTACTATAGAAGGTTAGTTATACTAAAATACTAACTATATAAGCTTCTTTAACTTTTAAAACTAC